AAAGTTTCACCTCCTGTCCAACTTTCTGAAGCATGTGAATCTGACTTTTGAAGAGTTTATAAGTAAACCATTTTTAACTTGCCAAACATGTGGGTTTTTTCTGTGCTGGGGGAAGAGGGAAACTTTGGAAGGAACTTGGAAGAGCAAATTTTAAAGGTCTAAAAGCCTATATTTCCATGCTTTGCTTTGCTGCATTTTATTTTATTTTTAATCTGTGCTGGGGTTCTCTCACCAAAGTGTACTTGCTCCCAGCCTGGATCTTGGCATGCAGAAAATACTCCTTCTATATATTATTTTTCCTGGAACCAACACATTCTCCACTGCAGATATGCTACAAGGCATAATTTCAAGCTTGATCTTTTCATTGGTTGACGTAAGGTGGAGTTGGCAAAACCTATAGTTACAGACTGAAGATGGCAATAGGTGGCAGCACTGACATATGGGTAGGAGGCAGAGGTAAGAATGTAGTTTGGTCAGTAGGTGTTTGATGTTGTAAACTGAAACTGCCAAACTTGCTCATAGGAACATAGATGAAAACAAAGCAGAACTTCAGAACTAACAACTGGGCTTTGCTTAAGACTCCTACAAGGTAGGCTGGCTTCAGACTTGTTTACTCAGTCTTGGGAACAGAAGAGCTCTTTCTTAACTCTGCAAGTTAGCTCTGTTGCTTGCAATAATAAACTGAGTTTGAAGATCAATGCCTCATGGCATGCGTCATAACATGGTTCATGTCTGCAGTCTGTTACATATTCCCAATTATTATGCAGGCAGTGGTTAAAGGCTACATCCTGGACTGCGATGCTACCCAGTGTGTAGCATCCTTCTCGCATGCTTGTATAAGCAAACCTTTCTTCCTTGGGAACTGCAGCAGCTTAATTATAAAAGCTCTGCTTCTTTCTCAGTCTCAAGGGGGAGGGGCTGTGGTGAAATGTGTTATCTCTATATGGAATTAAATCTGCCAGCGGATCAAGCTGTACTCTGAAGATGGCTGAAACGAAGACTGTACAGATTTCTTCCTTGGGACTGTGGTACCCTTCAAACTTGAACATTGTTCCACCAAGACCATCACTCAAGGACCAGCCACTTTAACCTACATATTCATACCAGTCTGCAGTTTGGAAAGGATACTTTCTGCACAGGTGTTTTGTTCCTCCATCTGTCAGAGGCATCCCTTAATAATCCCCAGCTCCTGGGCTTGCTGTCATGACCCCAAAGTTCAGCAGTGATCAGGACACCTTGCCAAGAGCCTTGGATAAGATGCCAAAATGGTTTTCTTGATCTGAGCCCAATACTGCCGATCGGGAACCCATTCATCCCAAAGCACTGGGCCCCATAGAACCGGAGCCAGGACCTTTAAGGGCACCTTCTCTTGAGCCACCAAATGCCTCCCACAGTACCTAACCAGTCCAACAGCACAAGGACAGCTCCAGGCAGAAGGCCATGGGATGAAGAAGTACCAATCTTCAGAGTTGGCCTCTTAAATGATTTTAATTCTCCAAAGCTCCCTTGGGGGTCCTTGAAGAGGTAGACTAGAGGCAGAGGCTCAAAAACCGTCAGTTCACTTCCAACCCTTGTAGGAGCAAGTTGCTCACTTGAAGCTCTCCGTGGTGCTGTGACAATCTACCTGCCTTGCTGCCATTCTGCCAGACCAGAACAAGACATTTCCCACACATTTCTTATGTGTGTGGCAACCCAGTCAGATGGGTCATGTACAAATAAAAGTATTATTATTATTATTATTATTATTATTATTTCTCAAAGGAATGGGTCTCAGGTGGCAAGCTTACTAGCCTCTCTGCAATGTGGTACATCAAAGTTCACAAGGTATGATGGAGCTATTGATTATGCTCCTGAGACATAGGGTAGAATTCAACATAGCACTAAGTGAAGCATGCATGTGGGGAAAGAGGTCTGTTCACACAATATGGCTTTCCCCCCCTTTCACCCACGTGCCCCCTAAACATGTTCTGGGGTTTCCCCCAACTCTCCAGAGCAGGGGGAGGTTCTGTGGCATGAGCAGCCTTCGTTCCATGCACACAATCCCACCCTTTGAGCTACAAAGAAGCCTTATTATTTTGTCCCCTTTCCAGGATATGTCTCAGCAATGAACAGTAGTAATTATGCTGAAGTCTTGCATTTTTTTAGGTGTTTGGAATGTATTTATATTGGGCACTATAAAAAATAATCAAAGGATCAAATAGCAAATTTCTCACCCAAAACTTTCTGAATGGAGCATCCAGCCATGAATTTAGATCCAAACTGAAGTCTGTTGCAGTGCACAACATTCTTCTTGCCCTTGGCAGGAAGACAGTGCAATTGCCAATAATTATTGGAAGATCCCAGTGTTCGAAACTCCCATGGTTCTAGGTGCATTTTGCGACAAGGAATTTCATTGGCGCAAGCAGTTTCTGAGCTCTGGGTGCAGCGCTGCACCTCAGATTTCAGATTAAAACTGCACAGTGGAAGGAAAGGAGGGCCTTTTTCTGCCTCCCCACTTCTAGCTACTCTCTGAAGACTGGAGAAGAGACTCTCTTAAGAATATTAGGAGGGTGGGCAGGGGAAGGACTAGACCATGTGAAAAATGAATATAATATTTTATCTGCAGTTCATTTATTTTCAGCTTTGTATTCTTGTTATTTAAAAAGTGCACCTATAAATTCTGTTGTTGCACCCATAACCTAGGTTTAAAGTGCCATTCAGCTCCTAGTTTTCATATCTCAGTTTCTAACACTGGAAGATCCTACAAAATAACACACAATTTCCTCCATTATGTAATGACAGGTCTTTACTAAGTAACTCAATTTGTACAGACCCTGAATATGAACCCAGCAACCCCAGTTACTCTTACTTACAAAGTGGGCTGCAAACCTGAACCTATTACTGAGGGTCTTGTTCTAATTCTACGCATGCACTTCTAAAAAAGAAAGAAGCCACTCATGAGAGTATTTTGAGAACAGGCTTTAAAAGAATGTGTGCGAAACAAATGAATTGTCAGACATTAGGGAGAAAAGAACTTGGGGAGGAGGAAACAGAACAGATACAGAAGATGAAAGGACAGTTAAATAGATAAAAAGGAGAATCTGGTCAAAATGTATAAAGCATGAGATGCTAAGAACAAAGCAAAAAAAAAGACAGCTTTTCAAAAATAGCAAGTGGTAAGAGAGAGCAAAGCCAGAAGAAAATAATCTGATAGTATTTTAACACTATTGTAATTGCACACTGAGGCTGCAATCCTACATGCATGTAGGGTAACACTCGCTGAGCTCATTGGGACTTACATCGAAGTAGACATGTATAGATTTGTGCCATAAGAAATGCCTTCTAGAAAAATGTGTTCCTGTGTTCATAATTTGGTGGTGCAATTCCTCAAACACCAGATGAGTTACATGAAGGATTAAATGGTCATTTGCATGGCAGCAAGTAACATTATTCACTATAAATCAAGAGAAGGATGAATCCAATCTGGACCTCAACCATTAATATTGCTAACAAATTCCAAGTTCAGAGAATAATGATATTTTTAAAAATCCTCAGTCGTGTTCACCTCAGTTCTTAGGCACGTTTTGTTAATCCGTTTATAACAATTGAGGTTTTGTAATCATGCTTCTAATGCCAGCAGTGACTTTTTCCACAATTATTAGTCTAGGGTAGCTTGTGTTAGAAGTGGTTATTAAAATATGGATGAGTCTGTTACAGATGCAAAGAAGAGGATTGCACATTCTTAAGGCTTTATTGGCCAGCCTGACAGCCTGCACAAAAGCTTCCAGATTAGATTCCACTTAAAGACATTGTTCTTTTTTTCTGATTCTGCTACTTTGGGTGTAATCCTCATAGCACATTTGAAGGAGATGAATGTACAAATCCATGAACATACAAGCACTAGCAGCCACCTTTCTCCACACCCCCAGCAGAAACTTGAGATAAGCATTGGGCCAGCAGAAACTGAATTGTCCAGAAAAGGTGTGGGAGCCATATAATGGTACCAAAATGGGGGGTGGGGAGCATAGAATCCTTCTTGCACTTTTAGTCTAATAGAAAAGCAAACGGCCTATTTGCAGCTCTCCTACCACTTGAAGTGCAGGCAAAACTTTTTGGGGAGTAAAAATGAAAAATGGGCAGAATGCTCTGGTGGAGATGATCCTACCAGCAGGCTGCATCCTCAGTTCCCCCACGGGCCACTTTGAAGGCTGCCAGCTTTGCCCACCTGCCACTTACCTGATGTCACCATGACATCAAGCAATCCATCTTCAAAGAAAATAATTGGGAGCACACTATTAAGCTCACTATCCATTATTATTTTCTTCCTTCCTTTCTTAACCGGCTTGGGTTCAAGCCTGGCTGCAAAGGAAGATTCCTGCAGAAAGCGAAGCTTGCAGTCCGATCAACACTGACCGCGGACCACACTTGTGAAAGGATTGCGTGTTTCAGGTAAGGTGTGGGAGTTGCTTGGGGATAATGGTTCTATGGACCACATTAGGACCCTTGATGGGCTTCATCTTTTCAAAACGGCGAGGAGGCATCCCCTTTTTTGCCACCAGGCACCCAAATGTGGGTGACTTTCCCAGACTTTCATGGGGAACAACTAGTCCTGAAGAAGTGAGAGAAGATATTTAGGACAGCTAAAATTTGAACTAGCTCAGCTATATTGGAAGCCTCTTTGTGGAGACATTTTGCCTTGAAAAGCAAGTTATAAATAACTAAAGAAACAAAGGGAGCAATTCCATAACACAACTCTTAGAAGCTTTTTGCAGAGTTCTGTATATTGTGCTATAAATGTACACTTGATTCTATTTTTTCTGTGCCCAATGCTCATATTTTCTCTCAGTTCTTAGAAATACTGAATTTTCTGAGCACACAAAACACAACGTTTCACATTTGTGAAAATGCTTTATAACCTTCCCTTCTGGTGCATGCAGAGTTCAGGAGTGCTGCTTTTGCTTTTTAAGGTGTTTTTCTTTTCGTTTCTTTTCTTTTCTTTTCTTTTCTTTTCCTTTTATTTTGGAGGAATGATGCTACTTTAGGACTAGCACTACTTAAGTGCCTTTTTCTCCTCAGCAGCTGAGCCTGTGTATTTGTAAACAAACCAATACAAAAATCCAAAGTCTCCAATATTCTTTCCCTTTTAATTCGAGGAATAAGCAACACAAAACAACACAAAAGAAATAATTCAGATCACTATAAGAAAAGGTGATCTCTCAATCTTCAGGGCTTATAGAGCTTCAGATACTGAAAATATTAAATTTCATGGCACCCTGGTGACAAAAGATACACTATAACTCTAGCTATTGTCGTCTGATCCCAGTCAGACCAGTTCAGTCACTTCCATTTCCCTGTCCAGTCAAATAATGTGGAAATATACATGGTACAGACTGCAGTACGGAAGTGGCTGTTAGTACACATCTTCTCGCTTTTGTTTGTGCCGCCTTCTTAGCATTCTCTCAGCGTCTTTCCAGCTGTATGCATTAACTTTTAATTAGCATTCCCTCAAACAAAGCAAGAATCCTATTATTAACCACTGGAGGTGTTAATTTGTTTAGGAATCAGGATTGCTAGGATCTATCTCTCCCTCCTCTATACCTCCACCCTTCTTGCATAAGCAAAGCTCTGAGACAAATTGATTTGACTGGGGCTTCTTTTCTCCCCTTACAGGATCATGTAACAATTAAAGCAAATAAATGAAATTAAAAGAAAATTGAAATCCGCTCTTTCGACAATACTTCTGATTTAATTTTATTCATGCTAGTGAATAAAACATGAGATTCTTCCCCAGCCTTTGACTGAATGAAGTAAGTTGCCTTGTGCATCATACAGCGCCGCCTGCCGGCTGCTAATTTGTCCAGTGTTTGCTTTTGTACTTATCTACCCTTTGAGATGTTCAGTGCCGTTAATCACTATTTACTTATCATTACTGAAGTACCTTGAAGCATGTTAGAACTTGTTTTCCCAGGATAAGGAGCTAAAACCAGACTCTCTAAACCGCAAACTTTATAATCTGAGCTGAGATGAAACAATGAGTGTCGATAATATAGTGCTGGGGAAAGCATGAAGCATTCAGAGATAAATGAAGGTCGCAGCAACAATTCCTGTAGTTACTGAGGTCAAACTTATAGCTGAAGAAGGAATTCATATGAAATGTATTTATTGGTTTAATAATGCTAAGTGACAAAGTACAACAGTTCAGGGATGGGGAACCTGTGACACTCCGAATGTTGTTCAACTCCAACTCCCATCAACTCCTGCCAATATGGCCATTGGCCAATGGTCAGGGATAATGGGATTTGTAGTCCAACAAAAAACTTTGCCTTAGACCAGGCATAGGCAAACTCGGCCCTCCAGATGTTTTGAGACTACCATTCCCATCATCCCTGACCACTGGTCCTGTTAGCTAGGGGTGATGGGAGTTGTAGTCCCAAAACATCTGGAGGACTGAGTTTGCCTATGCCTGCCTTAGACCCTTGTAAAAATGGTGTCACCCATACAAAATTATTCAGATGGCCCTGTAGCAGCATTTAAAAAAAAGATCCGTCGCTAAGACACACACTGAACCTCGTTCTACAAAAACCTGTGGAGAGGGGGAAGGGAGACCATTTTTTAAAGGAGGAGATGCCCTAAAAGGGAAAAGATATCCTGATCTAGGCGAGTAGGAGAGATCTGTCCTGTAATGCAACATGCCAGGTACAAACAAGTCTGTTTAATACCAAACATAAGGTGTGTTGGTTTGCAACAAACCAGTTGACTCAGTGATATCTCAGCATCTTCTAAACTGACACATTGTGAGTCACTCCCTAAGCCTGCACCTGTCATGCCTTCTCTTCCCATAATGCAGGAGCAGGGAACTTTTATGAGTCTGAGAGCCTGATTACCTGGATTGGAAAGTTCTTAGGGGCTGCATTTCAGTAGCAGGTGAGGCCAGACTTCACACAGACACACACCAGAAACGTAATACATTAAACACAGATGCACACAATAACACACACTGTAACACCAACAGGGGAGCCCTTTTCTCAGTTCACAGGGTGGAATTAAAGCGAGCTCACGATCCAAGCTGAACCCTGCATAGCAATGTTGATCCACTGCCTTGGCAGTAGATCAAATCAAAACAGATGCGTCAAATGTCCAGTCCTGTACATAATTCATATGAGTACTGTTTAATGGTGTAATGGAAATCGCAATATTGGCCTTTTCCACTAAATACACACAAAAAATTCTAAAAGCTAGAACTGTCAATTTAAAAGTCTGCTCCTACCACACCTCTCTGTCTTTAAGGCGACAATTAACAGGATCACACTCCACACCACACAGATTGTCACAATCTAAACTCAAAGGCAGCAAATTGCATGGTATGTTGTATTTTTATACTACAACAGAAGTTCTATTAAGTTTAAAGTATTGCAGAAATGTCCAGTTTCTTAATTGTACATAATCAATCTATCTCTACACAAAACAATTATCTCCAAAAAGAGCACAAAATTTTATGTAAAGAATTATTGCTGCACTTTGTCGATAAAAGCACCCAGTTGGTAAAATGCTAAAAACTTTCCAATGGACAATGAGAGCCTGCAACAGAAAGGTAAAATGTCTATCTTGGCCGAGTCCACCTTAAAAACCAGATCAGTTTATTCAAGATGAACAGGTTTCTTGGTGAAAATTTCCAGTAACTATTTTGCCTGTGGGTAAGCCAACCTGTTTCAGAGAGGAAATCTTTTCAGAGGAAAGATTTTTTTACCTACATGTATCTTTAGGAATGAGACACAAATATCAAGGCCGATACAAAACTTGGCAGCAAACTCTGTGGAAATAATAAACGTGTTTGCAAGATTTCTTTGACCAGTTTTGATTCCCAAGATAGCTGCCCAAAACTGGGAATACTTCAGAAACTGAAGATTGCAACTATTCATAGTCATTATATCTACAGTGTGGTAATAAACTCTATTGAACACAATGGGGCAGTTAGGCTCTATGCACATTTACTGGCAGTCTTTCTCATGGTTCCAGACAGGAATTTTGTCCAGTCCTATATGTGGGAATATCACAGATTGAACCTAGAATCTTCTGCACAGAAATCCAAATTGTCTTACAGCGAGCATTAATATCCAAGAAACACAACTTAAATTGATGTCATGTCTATAGTCAATGCTGTTTTCTCCAAAATGATGGAGGCCAGTTCATACTATTATGTATAGCAGAAAAATCCTGATAGCTGGGTCAGCTGTACTATTGGGCAGTGTGAGGTAGCTGCCTCAGGCAGTAAATGCTGAGGGAGCAGTGATGTCCCATCGGCAGTGTTGAACTAAGATGCAGCTACCAGTCCGGCTGGTTTCTGTACATAAAATGGCTGGGGGTGCCATCTTGTCCTCTGTCTCAGACAGCAAAACGTATTGAGCTGGTCCTGCCTACAGATTTAAGATTTTTGGGTTGAATTTAAAAATTCAAGAATGTCTTGAAATCTGCAATACGCAAGGATTCAGAGTGACTCGGTTGTACATCTGGAACCAGATAGTACACTGTAATCTCCTAAAGCTTTGCAGTTTATTCCTGGCTGCTAAACCTTTATGGGTAGGGTAGTTCTCTGTTTCACTCTCACAGAGGTCAGCGTCACAACAATTTGAAAGTTATGACTGTGGCCCAACTTGTTTTCCAATACCTTTCTCATTGTTTGCCTCCTCTTCTGAAACCATCTGGAGAGAGAAATGAAGCCATCACAATACAAATTTATCACTTTGTATTAATATTTATGTGGTTTCATGTTATGAAATGAGTTTTCTTTCTACTACAGTATCTGCACAAAGTTTTGCTGCTGTTTTGATTTTTTCCCAATAAACACAGTGCCTTTATTACAAGATTTCCCAGACAATATGGGCAGTTTTTGTTTTAAATCAAAGTGACTCCACCATGCAAGATAGGGGACCAGAAAAAGCTTGAGTTGATAGGCAGGCAGCCACCCACCCACTAGACACCCTGCTCCTCTCCTCCTCTGTATATCATCCTCCAGAGATGAGGCCAGAGTACAAGATGGTTAACTCATTTTCTCCCCCTAACAAAGCTGAGATAGGTTTATAGAACGTGATGATTAGCCCAAGGTTAGGGATTCAAAACAAAGTGTAAGTGTCCATTGTCTGATCCAGACATTCTGTTCAACTACTGTGTAAACAGAGGCCTGAAAGGACACAAGGCTGATTAGTTTGCATACTTTTGTTCAGAGATCTCTCTGCAGTAGTTGCCATCTCGTTTCTCTGCACTTGCAAAGCTCCTGTACCTTCCAAAGCTGCATGAATAATTACACCAACCTTATATTAAACAAATGCAGCTTACCCGCTTTGGAAATACAGCGAGGACCTGCTGAGCATCTGCCTGAAATGCAACTGAGGCGTTCCTGCCCCAGAGGCCGCGCCAAGGCAAACCCTTCCAACCCTGTGAAAAGGAGATGCCGAGAGCCGTGCTGCGGAAAGACCAGCTCTTTCATCCTAAAGATGAGGGGAAAGGTGGTACTCTGCACATGCTCAGAGACAATGACAGTCATTCACAGACCTCAGGACTGAACCCTCACCTTCCTAAATTTAGGGGTCTCCACGGGACCCTGAGCGTTAAGCCGGAGAAAACCGCGCTTGGCGCCGCGCCTGCCCCCCACCCTCCGGCTCCCCCACTTCTCGCGCCAAACTCCTCCGAGTGAGCGCCCAACTTCACCCCCCCGCGCGCGCCAACCCCCCCCCCCCGCTTTCCCTAACCGAGGAACATCGCCGATTGGCTGGGGCGCAAGAGCCTCCGCGCTCCAATTGGCTGAGGGGGCTCGCCTCCTCCGCGCTCCTTTCCACGCCCACCTTCTCCGCCCTCCGCGGGCCAAATTCAAATCGCTGACACGGGCGGACCAGCAGCTTTCAGCCTAGCGAGGGAGGGGATGGCGCGCGTTTCATCTGAACGGCGACCGCCGCGCCGCGCCCGAGATTCCCCCTAAGCGAGGACGAAAGTGAGGGGGGAGCTCATACACACACAAAAAAAGGAAGGTGAGGGCGGGGCGGCGATTATTCAGCTCGCGGGGTTGGTGGCGCCAAACGATTTAAACTGGATCAGGGGAGGTCTCCGCCCCGCTCCCATCAAGAGCCAATCAGAGGCGCCATGCGCCCGAAGGGTGGGAGGAGCTTATCCCGAACGAAAGAGCGCGGGTGGAATCCCGGGGCTGGAAGGAGGGGAAGGTTGAAGTGGAGGAGGAAGGGCGGGGGGTGAGGGACTGGCAGAGAAGGAGCAGTAGCAGAAGGCAGAGGAGACCTGGGGGGCGTGCTTGAGAAAGCAGCCCGCAAAAAGGTGATTTTAAATGGTGGGCGTTTTGGGGGGTGTTGACAATAAGGTTTGGGTTGCAGCAGCGGGATCCTTTTTATTTATTTATTTTAAAAAGTGCTGCTTAATGGTTAAACCGTGTTTGCTGAAATCAATAACCTTGACGATATTAAGCTCAAATCTGATTGACTTGTACTTTGACAGATGCACCAAGGAGCCTCTATCCTGTGTGAAAGTGTGTGTTGTGATAAGTTTTGTACATTTTTATGGTATCTTGGGGGTCTTTGCCTCGTTTTTGCTACAGCTGGCTTCTGCTTCTGTGATTTGTAACAAATAGCAATGAATTGGACCTTGGAGGTAGCACAGGGCACTCTGGCCAGATTCAGTTCCTCCAACAACCATGATAGCTGCTGTACCATTGGGGAGAATATAATTGCTGCATAAATATGTATACGTATGTATTTCAGAGAAAGTGAAATGGTGCCGTTTTCCCTTTCAACAAACACAACTATCCAATGCTGTTTCTTTTAAAGTACTGGTGCTTTATTTCATAATATCACAGGCCTGCAAATTTAAAAAATATCATATATAATTATGTATTTCACAACACAGGTGCCCCACAAAACATTTACCTTTGCTCCACAGTACTTTAAAAAAAATGTGTGGGAACTGCTGGGACAGGGAAAAGAAAGCCACTCAGCTTGATAAACAAGTGGCAGTCCTTGATATGTTTTCCAGAGAAGGAATGCTCACCTTTGAACGGGATTACTGGGAGGGTTGTATTCTGGATGACATACACTGCAGTCATCAAACCTCTAAAGATATGTGCAGACTGGCAGCCTTGGAGTCAATCTGCTGTGGCTGCAAGAAGGTGGTGATGTGCTGCCTACCATGTTGTGTAATCTGTGGTTATCCATTCTGCCAGTAAATGGTGGGAACAGCCAGCTGCACCTTGTTAAACAGATATTGACCAGTGTTTGCCAGTCTGGTGCAATCCAGATGTTTTGGGCTACAACGCCTATCTGTTCATACCTGAATGCCAGCGGGGGCTGATGGAAGTTGTAGTCCAAAACATCTAGAGTGCACCAAATTTGTGAAGGTTGGTACAGACCTTCCTACAACCAGTTTGGACAGAAGTCTCATGCTGCAGTTTCTGATCATCAGCCTTTATTAAATATTTTTCTTTATTGTTTTTATGTTATAATGCTAATTTGGCAACTTCACAATCACCAACTTGACTGAAGCAAGAAACCTGAATCAGGATTAAACAAAACTAGTGCAAATCTAGACACATATGTCAGCAAATTGCACCAGTCCCCTTCGTGTAAAGACATGTGACCGTAGTAAGACAAATTTAGCAATATGTGAGAATAAGAATCATGTAGACACATTCTTAACAATGGAGTTGGGAAATCTTTTTATAACCCTGCAGTCCTAAGCGTGCTGCCTATGGAGTAAATCCACCTAAACTCAGTTGGCCTTCTGAATACAGGTGCTTACTGCTGTGTGGCACATTTGTCATCTGAATGAATGGCCAGAGTTCTCATTCTAGAGGTCTTTCACCAGTATTCCCACATTAAATTTGTTTCAGCATCTCTGGTAAAATGATGTCATCCTCACCCCACCTTTCCTCCATGGAGATTAAGGTGACATACATGGCTCGCCCCCTCCCCATTTTTTCGCCACAACAACCCGTGAGGTAGGCTAGGCTTAGAGAGTGTCCTGAGGTCACCTAGAAAGCTAACTGGCTCAGTGTGGACTTGAACTCTGTTTTCTAAATCCTAAGTCCAACACTGGTCACTGTACCATCACAGACTTCCATCTACCGGTATTCTGTTTTTTGCTTTGTTAAGTGCATATACATAAAATAATTTTCCTTTTTTCTTCTCAAAGAATGCTGTAAAGGTTGCCCAACGAACAAAGCCCTTATTCTATTTAATTCAAACGAATATGAATAAGAGAAAAGCTTGCAGTGGCAAAATGAATGCTGAAGACAAGGTAACCTATCTCCCACTTTATCTACTGTATAGCAAGTATTGGCTAGAGGTTGCTGCTCATTGGGCTGTGGCTGACACAGTTCTACAATAAACAGATAAGAATTGCAAATTACATATGAACAGCCATCACTATCCTTGACATCTTCTGTTTGTTGTTTGGTTTAACAATTTGGTTTTACTTCAGTCTTGATAAAGAACTGGACCTGAAGAATAGTTACCTTCACTAACATTCAGTCATTTTGTTCTCTGCATCTGTACAGAGACAAGTCACTTGTGAAGCTATTGTCGAAGGAACTTCCAGACCCAGCAATGGGTAGAAACAAAACCCCATCAGTTTAACTCATTGTATTTTATCAGCATTAAAAATGGCTACTCCTTTGACTTTGAAATTAGCTGGCCAAAAAATGTTATTCCTAACTTAAGTTTTCTTCATATAATTCTCATGTTCACTAGTTAAATGAGTCTCCTGGTATAAGCCACTGTGAGAAGAGAATGCTGGTTTAGATAGGCGCTTGATTTTATCCACAGGCCTGCTGTTACGTTCTTCAGCTATTTTTTTCTCTTGTTTACACTTTTTGCTTTGTTAGCAAATATAAAATAGACAACAAAACTTAATTATGTTTTGACACCATCCAATTTTGTCCCCAACATTCTGTCATGTAGAAATGCATGATGTTGTATATCAAAACACAGGTAAATTGTACACATTATGCGGGGTAAGGGTTTGGCTGCAGCCTTCTTTTACTGCAGCATGTATTTCTGCCCTAAAGCAAAACAATCAAGACTGACTGAAATACATAGGAAGTCTGATAAAATCCCCTAGGAACTAAACAGGTGAAAGTTTTGACACAGTGGTTTTCAACTAGTGGTATACTGCAGCCTGATCGAAGATGGGTCACAACTACCACCATAAAAATACACGGCAAAATGTAAAGGAATGTGTCCTTTACATGTTTGGGCTAAAGGTGGGTCCCAGGTCTGAAAACATTGCAGACTACTGTTTTGACAACAGGCACTTGATTGATTTCAACATGACATTCATTGGTTTATTGATTAAAAACAGCTTTCTTTTCATATTGCTTTTATGCCTGGCATTGCTGATCTTGAGTCACACAGTTTCATTTCTTTTTGGCTCAGGAAAATTGGTCTTTTGAACCACATGAAAGCACATTGAAAACTCCTCTGAAACAGGCAGCGACCTCCAACTGGCTTTTGGCAGAGAAGCCGCCTCCTGCTTCTGGCCATCTGACAACGCCACCCAAGCCTAATGAAATCTCTCCTGGAGACCCATGGACACCGACGGCTAACCTGAAAATGCTAATCAGTGCAGCTAGTCCTGAGATTAGAAATCGAGAACAGGAAAAAAGATTGTCAGACAGCAGAAATGAAATCCCTGAGGTAAAACATTTGTCTTCTTATCGCTATAAATATTATTGAGCGCTGTACTCAAAGCTTAAGTATGCACTTGAAAAGTAGCTCAGCTTTGGTTTGTTTCAGTATTTTGTGCTAGACCTCAAATCTGGAGTGTTAGTTATTTTTAGAGATTATAGTGTGTGCATAGCAGACGCTTCAGGGTAACTCTATTATTTTGAGGCTCACCAGCTGTCACCAAGAAGGCACTTGGCATTGCGCATTGGCCAGAAATGCTGTTACTAAATCTGTCGAATCTTAATATTTTTCATGTAAGGCGTTACCAATTGGTGTTTCTGCATTGTTTTCTTTCTGCAGGACCATTTGTCAGGAGACGAATATGAAAAATCTCAACCCAGCCGTAAAGAGAAAAGTCTAGGGTTGCTTTGTCACAAATTTTTAGCTCGCTATCCTAGTTATCCCGACATCTCTAAGAACAATGAAATTTGCCTTGATGAAGTAGCAGAAGAGCTTAGTAAGTTTGGGACTAAGATCCGGTGTTTATTACTGGAAAGAGCAAAACTCACTTCACGCTGTTCAAAATGATAAGCGATTGATTAGAGTCTTGGTAATTCTTATAAACAACTTTATAATGTGGTTCAGTATCCTTAATAATAGCTGTCAACATTTCCCTTTTTTAAGGGAAATTCCCTTATTCCGAATAGGATTCCTTGCAAGAAAAGGGAAAAGTTGACAGCTATTATCCTTATACTCCCACAGTAGCTGATACTAATAGGTTATTACATTAATAACTACAGTTTTTATTTATTTACTAAATTTATATACCGTCCTTCATCCAAAGATCAAAGGGCAGATTTTATACTGTATTTTGACAAGACACATAACATGATACCCTCCCCACCCACCCCAAATACCCCCATCACATTTTAAAAGCCACAGATTGTTTAAGCAGCCCAAGGCCTGGGAGAAGGAAAATGTTTTTGCCTGGCACCTAAAGATATATAACGAAGGTGCCAGGCGAGCCTCCCTGGGGAAAGCATTCCACAACTGGGGAGCCACTGCTTCCCTCTGGACCTCTCATGGAGAGGGCATACGGAGAAGGGCCTCAGATGATAAGTGCAAGGTCTGGGTTGGTTCATATGGAGAAAGGCGGCCCTTGAGGTATTGCGGTCCTGAGCCATTCAAGGCTTTATAGGTCAAAACCAACAATTGGGCCTGGAAAGTTACAGATCAAAACCAACACTTTGAATTGGGCCTGGAACGTAATTGGCAGTCAGTCCAGGGCTGGTGTTACATGCTCAAACCATCTTGCCCCAGTGAGCAACCTGGCCATTGAATTCTGCACCTACTGAAGTTTCCAAACAGTCTTCAGAGGCAGCCCCATATATTGCAGTAATCTAACATAGAGGTTACAAGGGCATAGAAAACAGAAATTAGGCTATCCCTGCCCAGATATGGAGGCAGCTGGGCTGCCAGCTGAAGGTCATCATACAGGTCCTTACAGCAACCTTACAGCTCCTTACAGCAACCAGGAATTTGGAACGGGGCATGTTATAGCGAGGCAGACTATGTGGAAAGAGCACAGTCTCCAGTTTTCCAGTCCTCCGGTTTTCATGGGGAAGGAAGATCTAATCATGAGGTTCTACCCACCTTCCAGAATGTGACAGGATTAAAAAGCAGGTGGAAAATAATTTTTTAAAAATTGCCCTTCTTACAGATGTTGAACGCAGGCGCATCTATGACATAATGAATGTACTGGAAAGTCTTCACATGGTGAGCCGACTTGCCAAAAACAGGTATTCTTGGCATGGGCGTCATAATCTTAAGAAAACACTACAGATTTTGAAAAAAGTGGCTGAGGAGAACAACTATAGTCAGCAAGTTGAGCTGATTAAAAGAAGACAATATGAAGAAGAGCCTGAAGGGGATGACCAGAAGATTCAGTTGATGGCAAAGCATGTTAGGCCAAATGACCATACAGACATCTGCTTTGTGGAACTTCCTGGGATGGAGTTTCGAGCAGGTACACCTTTGCTTTCTAATTTTGGCATGCCAGTATCTTCTATGATTTGAATTTGGTTGGTTCCAAATGCTTGCATTTGGGGCAATGTTTAATTAATTAGTTGGATTAATTTGTTTTTAACTCTTCTTATGATTGGCTTGTATAGTAACCTGACTGGGCAGCAAATCATTTTTTCTTTAGAAAGACAGCATATAAATCCTTTAAATAAATGCATGGAAACATTTATTGGGGGGAGTGGGTGAACCCGAAGCCTAGGCGAGTTAGGAACAATGATTTCAAAGCTCTCATGACTTGGATTATATTCTGCCATGGTTATCTCTCCGTACAGCTTCAGTAAACAGTCGTAAAGACAAGTCTTTACGGGTGATGAGTCAGAAATTTGTGATGCTGTTTCTTGTTTCAACCCCCCAAGTTGTGAATCTTGAAGTGGCTGCTAAAATATTGATTGGCGAAGACCATGTTGAGTATTTGGATAAAAGCAAGTTTAAAAGTAAGTGGCAGAAATGGCTATTTCCATATCTTCTCTATACTGTGTCTTAATTTTTACATATTTAAACACTTTTTCCTGTAGCCCATCAATACAGTGGTACCTCAGGTTACATACGCTTCAGGTTACAGACTCCGCTAACCCAGAAATAGTACCTCGGGTTAAGAACTTTGCTTCAGGATGAGAACAGAAATCGTGCTCCGGCTGTGCGGCAGCAGCAGGAGGCCCCATTAGCTAAAGTGGTGCTTCAGGTTAAGAACAGTTTCAGGTTAAGAACAGACCTCCAGAACGAATTAAGTACTTAACCCGAGGTACCACTGTACAAGACTAAAAATATGAAAAAATTAAGATAGCATACTGAGAATGTAGGTGTTTTGCAACTTAGCATGCCCTTAGTCCAGGTGGGTTAGATGTTAGCTCTTAATGGCCAGGTTTGGCCCAGTGTTGGCCCATGAAACTGATTTATTAGAATAAACTCAAATAATGTGTCCCCATGTTCCCTCCCCTTTGCTCATCTTTGAAGATCTCATGATTTCTTAAATCACAGTTTCCTATGATGTCCATACTGGGAGACTGTGGTTTAAGAACCAGGGTATCTAACAAGCCAGGCACACAAAAGTAGGATTGAATGCACAAGCACACACCTTTTGGTTCAGTAAACTGGCTGATTGGACCTAGATAGTGACTCCTGAACCAGGCCAGTATATGATGTTGGCCTCCTCATAATTCATGGACAGGCTGTCATTTCTTAACTGGCTAAGCAAGTCATGAATGAATCCAGCCTCCTCTACCTGCTCCTATCCTCCTGCACAGCCAGGAAGAATTTGGGAGCCTTCACTTCCACTCGGTTAACTGCAGTTTGTTGTGTTATACAAACTGATAAGCGGTGCCTTATATCAACTATGGTTAGTTTGAAACAGGAATGTGTAACATTGGCAAATGGTCAGGGATAAAGAGTTGTCCAACACCAGAGGGCCGCAGGTTCCTCATCTCTTGTCTGAAACAAGCCAATGGCCTGCAGCGGTTTAACCATAGCTACAGTTCTGTGTTCAGATGAGACAGCAAGCTGCAGCTAAGTTAAAGCTTGTGGATGTGGGAAAGATTACTCTTTTCTCATCCAGCCTCCATCTAACAAAGCAAGGTGTCTGTTGAGAATGTTCTTCGGTGGGGACACAGTTCTTTGGACTCCTACCAAATTTAATTTTCCACAGTTTCCTAAACCCCACCCTTTTGTCATTCACACAGAAGCTCATTTAAAAATATTGAGCATATGGCCTGACCAAGGGACCAAAATTTAACTAACCTATTTGTGTACTCCTGTGGATCCTTGGAACATAAATGACCCTGTTGCTTTTGTTTTGTGTGTTTAAAGCACCATTTGGACTAATAGGAGAAGAAGGGTGATGTTTTCATAGTACTGAGCCTCTGCTTAATGGTGATGTAGTAGTACTGCATTTTCATTAGTCTTTTAAACTTATTTCAGCTAAAATTCGAAGGCTGTATGATATTGCAAATGTTCTCAGTAGCCTTGAGCTCATCCGGAAGGTTCACGTTACAGAAGAGAAGGGTCGCAAACCAGCATTTAAATGGACAGGACCAGATGTTTTTTCAGAGATTCTGGGTAGGTGGACTATTACTTCTGTACTCTAGAATTGTAGGCAATTCCCCATTTCCGTAGGGGTTTTGTTCCAGGTCAAAGCATGCATTGACAGAATGTGTGAAAATGTGCCCCGTTATGCCACTATTCCTCCCTCTTCCGGGGTCCGAAAGGACCCGCATGTTGGTGGTTACATGTCAGTGGTTGCATGTCAATTGGACTCACCTAAAATGGTCGCCGCCTGTCACTGTAATGGTGAAGCTTTCTTATCCACTGCTCCTTGCTGCTATCAACCAAAGAAGGCTTTTTGTGAAAGGCATTTTTCACTTATACGTAGATGTGATCATTTCCCAATAGTTCTGCCAAAACAAAGGCTTAATAACAATTTTGTGCACGATTGATTTATAGCTGCACAGCCTGTATCTACACCCACTGCGACTGCTTCATCTCATCCTGCGGAAGGGAAGTCTTCCAAAGAGCATTGTTCCAAGAACCTCTTCCCTACGAGAAGCAAGCAAGGCTTCATACGGCACCCATCTTTAATGAAATTGGCAAAGGGTGCGCAAAGCAATCAGAGGAAAATTAGATCTGCTCCAAGCAGCCCCGTCAAGAAAAATGCAAGTACGTAGTTGAAATGTAAACTCTATTCAGTGTCATTCCGGAGATGCTATTGAAATGTTGAATGGTTCTGCTTAATGCCTTAGCGCAGAAAAACAAACAAACCCCAGTATATCTTGCAATCTCTTGAGTTGTCTGCTCCTGAGCAGCCTTACTAAGTTTGGCTAGACTTATACAAAGTGGAAGGTATGTGCTATACAGTGGTACCTCAGGTTACATACGCTTCAGGTTACAGACTCCGCTAACCCAGAAATAGTGCTTCAGGTTAAGAACTTTGCTTCAGGGTGAGAACAGAAATCGTGCTCTGGCGGCGCGGCGGCAGCAGGAGGCCCCATTAGCTAAAGTGGTGCTTCAGGTTAAGTACAGTTTCAGGTTAAGAACGGACTCCAGAACGAATTAAGTACTTAACCCGAGGTACCACTGTACTCAGGTTGGAAAGGCTAATGGGTAATGGTGTTAGGTGCAGTCACAGGTTCCATTTTGAAGGTTTGAAGTGTAGTAGGCTCCATCCATGGCATTTCCAGCTGATGATTTTGAGTAGCAAGGCGCTGAAAAACCTTGAGCCCTTGGAGATGCTGTGTTGGATCAAAATGCTCTTAATATGACAGCTTCATGTAATCCTATGGACTTGTCCCACTGTGGCAGTGGCTGTGTTGGTGGCCAAATCCAGGCCACAAGACTAACCATATACAACACCTTAGGAGCAGTACCATAAGGTGTTGTCCTTCCAGTGACGGACTCTGGAAGGCCATGAATTGCTCATCCTCAAGCTGTGCAAACAGTACGGTTTTAGTGAAATCTCTTTATTTATCTTTTCTCCCAAAGGTCAAATTCCACCAAGCTTTCCAAGCAAGATGGCTCAACTTGCAACAATATGCAAACAGCAGCTGGATGAACAGTCAAGGTATGTTCGTAAAAGAGATGCATACAAAGCCTGCCTACTGAAAGCAAAATTTCCCAGCCTAGGTGAATCCTCCAGCAGCATATCACACTTACTAACACAACTCCTCAACAACAGGACTAAAATTAACATATTTGGTGTAAGAAGAGCATGACTTAATGTTTGGCAGTGCTTTCTTTGCTAAATAAGAGGAGCCAATTCTACTGTATTGCTTTGGCGGAGCCATTTTGGATGCAAGGGTTTTAATGCTGTGGATTTCTTTTCTTAGGGATTTCAAGAAGAGAAAAATGAAATTGGAACATTCTACTTTTCCATCCCCTCTAGGTCTGCCACCCAAAACTCGTTTGAAGCCTAAACCATTCTTGTTACCTTCTCAGTCTGAGATCCTACCTCTGATCCACAACTCGGTACCTCCAGCAATGCTACCTCTCCATCCCAATGTGCCCTATGCATTATATCTGCACCCTTCCCAAACACAGCTAGTGACAGCATACAATCCAAGTTTCACGGTGCGGCCTGTCCACTGTGCTAATGTGGCTGGAAGTAAGTCTACCACGGAGCCCAGTTCCCAAGTAGCCCCCGGTAAAATATTTATTGAAGACAGTGGCAGCAATGGAGAAGGAAGTGCTTCCTGTGCTAAAGGCCAGGACCTCTGGCTAGCGAAGGAGCAAGAAGGTACAAAGGATGATGTGGTGCATGAGAGACATTTTAAGAGACGTAGAATGGAGGGCAGTCCAATGAAAAAATGTGCAAGTGAAGAAGCGGTGCTGCATGATGTGCTACTGGTAAGCTGTATTAAAGTGCACACTCTTTCCAAATACTAAATGGGTGGCTGAGGCATGAAATGCATGGAATAGGGCGCTCTAATTGGTTGCCGTGGAAAATCAATTCAATAGTTAAGGGTTCCTGTGAGTCAGGTTCATGCACAGGGTCTACCTTTAGCAGTGGCAGCTTTTTCAAATCTCAGCTGTGCCACAGGTAGCCACACTATCAGTGGAGCTCTCCTTCTGACCACCTGACCTCCACTCTCTTTCTACACAAAGCCTTAGGAGCAGAGAAAGAAAACAGCTTAAGAAATACAGTAGTTTTATTTTTTAAAACAACAACAGCTGAAAAAGTTCCTGCCAACACCCAAGGTGCCAAATTCATTTCCTCCTCCCCATTCATCCCTATTGCAAGCCCACCTAAAGTAGGGTTGCCATACATCCAGACATACCTGGAATACTGCAGTCAGAAGCAGTGTCCAGACATATGGCAACTTGTGTTGGCAGTGTTGTTTTTGGCGATTTCCCTTCAAAATAGCTCAAAACCTTTTTTTGCACGTTTGCCAAAAAAGGCTTAACAACCTTTGGCAAAGCTAAGAAAAACCTGACAACTTTTGTGTCCGGATTTTCACTTTTTGAACTATGGCAACCCTAACCTTAAGGAGGAGGCCATCTGCTCAGGCTCCCTTTTAACTTCCAGGTAGCTTTGCTTTTGTGGTATTGGAGCGTCCAGTTACTCCCCATATAGAAGGACAACAGTTACCCAGCCTCAGAAGAAGCTGTCTTGTGTTTTTGGATGAGTTACAGCTCTGGGCAGGGCTTCTTTTCAGCAGGAACTCACCAGAACTCAGTTCCAGTACCTCTCAGGTGGGTGCCATTGCCATTCTAAGAGAACAAGGGAGACGTTTGTGGTGAGCACCTCTTTTTCTAGAACAAGAGCACTGGCTCTGGGCCTGCCTCCTTCCAACTGGCAGGTATATTCAGAACTGCTGCCACACACACTAACACGATATAGCATCTTTTCCTGCTGGGGGAGGGCGCATGGAGAGGTAATTCATACTTCTTTCACCCTTTACAGATAATGGGCTAAAGTATGCTTTGGAAATTTGTTCCCTAGATGCTGCAGAACAGTGGGACACATATTACAGAGTGCACCAAGTTTTGGAGCAAGCCTATTATTTTCTACCTGACAAATCAGTAATTGCAGATTATCAGTTGTTGCAAAAACTGCCCTCCTTAGCGGCTGGCTTGCTAAATGCAGAGCTCTTGTGACCCATATATTGAGCTGCTTTTTTTTAATAAGAAGTTGATCCAAAGGTGTGTGTCCAGGAGTCTTCAGTCATTGAGATGGAACATCAGTGAGCACAAAGCAATACACAAGTAGATCACATTCCTCAGTTGAAATGAATGCAGAAGGCATTAAGAGTGGAGGAAATCCTTTTTTACAACTGGGGCATCTGCTCACAGAACCAGCTGCTGCATTAGGGTTGTTTCCTATTTTCGTAGCCCTGATCAAATGTTCTGGAAACAATATCAAATGTATTTACTGTGTGCACTTTGATGATAAAGCAAAGTACTGTACTAGAGTATGCTTGTACGTCTCTCTTTTCCTTTTGCACTTTAGTCAGGTTCATCAGCTATTCCCTATGCCTTTCCCCACTTCTCCTTGAGTCTCTTGGACCAAGCTAGTTCTGCCTTTTCTGCTATTGATTAAATTTCATAACTTATTTTCACTTTCCCTCTGTTTTGTTACTTTTACTGATTTTAAGCTTGGGATTCTTCTGTATTATTGGTGCTTGGTGGCAGTAGCCAGGATTTTTATACTAATTTTGTGGGTGGGGTATTGGTGAGGTCTAGAACAGGGGGTTGCTTTGGGCAGGATTGGCAAGTAATGTGAGGGGGTAGAAGACTCCTTAGTAACAAATAAGTAACAACATGACTAAAGAAAGATGAAATAGACCTCTGTTAGGAAGGGTTACATAAGGATGACACCTTTTGGAGAGGCACATTTCACCAGCTTTGCTAAGGTAAAGAATATCTTGAATCTGACTAGTGTCGTGTGTGTGGAGACCTGGGAATTTCAATAGCCCCAATCAGTTGCTTTTTATAGTTATGTTTTCAAGGCACCGTGTTTCTCCATTATTTATTTTTTACTTTGTACTGTATTCCTGTTTTTCTGAGTGATGACAGCCAGTTGCTTGTTTCAAAGAATCTGGTTTGATATAGATACAAAATTCTGGGAACTGGATATCTCTCGGTTGTGCTTTGAGCTGCTTTTCCAGGAGTGCAATAGAGGGTGGGCAAACTCCAGCCTCAACTTGGGAGAAGGGAAAAATAGGAATTGTGTTGGAGAATGGAGTTGACTTGCAGAATGCGGGAGAAGGAGAACAAGAAGGGAGAAGGCACCTTTAATATTACTCATTCAGAGATATGCTTTCTGTGTGTGTGTGTTTGCGTGCACGTGCACCTGCCTATTCTAGATGGGGTTTCACTCACTCTGACAGAATAGATTGGGGGCTGCTCCCCGATCCAACTTTGTCACTGAAAGCTTAGGTAGCCTCGTTGGGGAGGGGTATATATTACCCTGTACAGACAATATGCCAATGACAGTAATTCTTGGACCGGAATAGTCTTGCCATAGTGAACCATGCCTTAGTAGCCTCAAGACTCAGTTATTGCAATGTGTTTTATGTAGGGCTGCACTTGGGCCTTGTCTGGAGGCTTCACCTATTACAGAACGCTCTGACTGTAGCATCGTTGGGGAGAGACTATCACCAGCACATAACTCCAGTAGCACTAGCAGCCTGCATGCTCTGAGGCCAGGCTCCAGATTCTTGTTTTAACCTGCAAGGCCCTTAACAACTTGGCTCTCAAGGACCACCTGATTCATTATATCCCTGCCCAATCACTGAGGTCTGAAGGGGAGTCACTTGTTAGTGGTCTCCCATGGCTTGTCTCCACCAGGAGTCGCACATTCAGCATTGTGGGCCCAATTGTATGGGACTCCCTTCCAGTTGAGGTCAAACAGTGCCTGCCCTTTGGTTGAACTTCCATCACCTACTGAATTTTTTGTTTATTCCAAAAGGCATTTTAACTGAATTCTGATATTATACTTTTAACTGGTTTGTTGTTGCTGTACTGAGTTACTTGTAAACTGCTTAGAGACTATTGTAATTAAGCAGTATATAAATTGTTGAAATAAATAAATAATATCCATATGTGTGTGTGTATCCACCTCTAAATTAGCCTTTGGTTATTTTGCATTTCCCCCACCCCCCCACCCCAGGGAGCATCTGTTGAGAGCAAAAAATCCCGATGTCCCATAGCTTCGCGTCTTGACCAGGAAACCTTAACTTCATCAGCTGTGAAACAAAGTAAATCTGAAAAAACAGATCAACACTTGGAGGGTCAACCTACGCAGCAGAGGCAAGGGGAATTTTTGGAACCTGACAGCGTCACCACAGTGCAGGAGATGCCTGCAACATTTGCAATCGCTACACACAAGGTATACTTCCCCTTAAGCACATTTGTCCTATATCATTGCTCTTCTGAAAGGAGCACTGAATGTCTTAAAGTAGGCATTTTATGCTCCATCTTTACAAAAAAAGAAAGAAAATCAGATCACATTCAGGACCAATGTAATGTCTGATAGGTAGCTTCAGCCCATGGACAATTCCCCCTCTTTCCTTTTATATTTTAATTAAGGACTGCTGCTGGAATTTACTGTATTGCATTTCAGACAGACCCTCGCTATTTGGACAAGGCACATGTTTTGTGCGATCCATGGGCAGAATTGTAGAATGCAATAATGGACATGTCATACTGTCCAGCAACACTGATAATATATCAGTAAGTTGCCCATATTAAAATTATCCTTTATAAGACTCCAGGATGAAAAGTAATGGTCTTTTAAAATATTTGATCATTTAAAAAAAAAATTAAGAGATCAGAATGAAAAAGAATCATGCATTCTGCATGCTTGTAGAGCACAAACACATAGTTGCATTTTTCTTAAAAGTCGAACGTTGTATTTATCTCCACCCACCCCAAATATGTTTAATTTTCATCATTATTCATGGATGCCTTTTGCTTCATATACATAAGGTCTTCATTTTTAATGTGGCGTGGAAAAAGAGGAAGAAGGAAAACATAGAAGTGTGGCATGAATTGAGCATGAGGTGGTCCAAAATTGCATCGGTGTGATGGTTGTTTACGATCTTCTCCCTCCTACAAAGTTATTATTATCCATTGCAGTATTGGAAAAGTGCAATATCAAACTTGGGGTTCCAAATATTGGGCTACAACTCCCATCTTAGCCAGCAAATAGTCCAGGATGATGGGAATTGTAGTCCAACCTCATCATTTGGAGTTCCAATGTTGAAGAACCCCCCACCCACCCATGGGTAACAGTTGCTTTGCGGAGAGGAGTGGTTTTCCATCTTAGAAATGGCATGGCTAAGTTCTCTTACTGTTTCCCTTCAGTCCCAGTGGCTTCTTTAATTGTTAAACAAGACATCAAGAGATCCAGTCATTGTTCTGCCATGTCATATCTATTTTGGCCCTTTCTTGTTTAGGAACAGTGCAGTACCTGGGCTAAATCTATGAAATTTGTGTTGATTATTGTTGTGAATATAAACAGTACATTTCCTCTTGTTCTTTAGACTTGGTTTCCTTCAGGATACCTTATACCTCTTCCTCACTGTACCAAGCTTGGTAATGAGACCATTTTTTCTAACAAGGAGAAAGCTGAGATGTGTGCAGCAGAACAGAAGTCCTATAGTTCTCCTATTGCTGGTGTGTATTCATTAACTGTGCCTCTAAAGTATTCCAGACTTGTTTATATCTGATGACTCCTGTCAGCTATTGATGAAGGACTTTAGGTGGGAAATTTAACTACAGCTATTGCATGCCTGAGGCCTGTGCCTTCCTCATTCTGTTTTTGTAATGGTGGCTTGTTCCACATGGTTCCACTTTCTGTGATCTGAAGAAGATGGATTTAATCAGTTCAATACAATATATATTAACAGTTCTGAACTCACTTACAGAGGGCTTACAAAACTACAAATAAAAGCTAACATTTTTGTTATCCATTTAATAATTCATTCTTATTGTCTCCTATAATTCTCATTTCCTTCAAGCACTTCTTTTTGTTTGTTTGTTTCATAAAATTGATATGCCGCTGGATTGTTTTTGTTTAAAAAAAACACCTCAAAGCAAATTTGAAGCGAATAAAACAATAAAATCATCAGTAACAATCCATAAAAACAACGCAGTAAATCATTCAAAACATAAAATCAACAATAAAGGAAAAAACCAATTAAAACAAACATCCACATTCTACACATGTTCCATGTTCTGATCTTGAGGGGTGGTTGTTTTTTCAGTTATTGAATGTATTTAAACCAATGTTCTAGGTGAGTCATTTTGTTGTTGCAGGACCTTTTCAGAGTTTCTTATAATGTGATAGTTTGTGCATTAATATTCTATGCCCAGGCTTAATTGCATTCATTTGAAGCCTGCTGTGACCAAGCTCCTGGTGTTTGGCTGGCCTTTGTGTTCACGCCTGCCAAACATTGGCCTGTGTTCCTTGACGCAGAAGTATTGTCATTTGTGACGGTTTATTCTTTCTTTCTCCTCCTCATAGGTGGTATTCCAGTGACGTCTGAATTTACTGCCGTTAATTTCCCTGCTTTTCATATAGCACCTGTGAACCTAAAGCTACCTGCATCTTCTGTAGCTACTGTCCCCGTGGTGAATGGCACTGCTGTGACTTCAGACCAGGCTGACTCGATCCAAGCCCCAAGCGCTTCAGTTATGAACTTTACACTACAACACTTGGGACTGATTCCAGCCAATCTACAAATGTCTGCAAATCAAGTACTTAGATCTGGCCCAGTTTGTCAAGGAGCAGAACATGTAGGCTTCAAACAGGAGAAAGCAAAACAGAATGTTTTACCACCATACGGTGATGAGTTAAATGGTAAATCAGTTTCAGCAGCTTCTTTACAGCAGGTAAGAGAGCTTTTAAATAATACAGTGGTGCCCCGCAAGACGAATGCCTCGCAAGACGGAAAAACCGCTAGACGAAAGGGTTTTCCGTTTTGAGATTGCTATAGGACGAATTCCCCTATGGGCTTGCTTCGCAAGACGAAAATACCTTACGAGTCTTGAGATTTTTTTTCGCTTTCCCTTTATCTAATCTGCTAAGCCTTTAATAGCCTTTAATAGCCTTTTAGCAGCTAATCCCTAAGCCTTTAAGCCTTTAATAGCCGCTAAACCGCTAATAGCGCTAATAGCGCTAATCCGTCAATGGGCTTGCTTCGCAAGACGAAAAAACCGCTAGACGAAGACTCTCGCGGAACGGATTAATTTCGTCTTGCGAGGCACCACTGTAGTCTGTTTCAAATATTAACACATATTCATGCCGGAGTGTACAGTCGCTCATAAGCAATGGGGCATTTTACATGATTTGGTAACAGGAGCAAGCCAGCAGGAAACCACACCCAGCAATTTGGAGTTAACTCTTTATTAGCAACAACAGGATCTGAAAGATATGAACAGTTTTGGATACAGATGTTGGAAAAGTGGGTTTTCAGTAGCAATAAAATTTTCAGTATAATAGGATGTTTTATCTTTGCATACCAGTGCTTGTAGAGATTTACTTGGTTAAAACTGTTAAAAATGCAGACTCTGCTAAAAGAGCAGTACCATTGTATGAAAAGGCTAGAAAATTACAGAAGGGATGCCTAATACAACATTGTGAAATTGGCTGTTATATTGGCAACCCTCTCCGTATGTACAAATATTTACCAGTGGACCAAAAGCATTAATAGAGTATGCTGAGACAGGATAATTAGTAAGACTTACCAACAGTGTCCTTTTCACCTGCTTCTTGTTTCCTTCTCTGTTGTTCCTGTTTCTTCTGCTTAGTTACAGTATTGAAAAACCCCAAACAGGGTTCCAAAATACATTTTAGTTGTTTCAGTCTCATCACGTGCAAATAATTTAGTTTTCTCTTCCATTCAGGCCACTGTTCCTGTTACGTCCAGCATTCTGGATAATTGCCATGACTTCCAAGCATCATGCGAGTCAGCTGTAGTTCCTGAGTTTTGTTCATCCTTTCATGAATCAGATAGAATATCTCAAGCAACACTAGCAATTCCACAAAGAGAACATGGTGTTTCAACAGAAGATAAATTTTGAGTTGGTATAAAATATTGTTGAACTCTTCCCCCAAACAGATATGATTGAAACACTTATTTCTGGTATTATAAATGTGTACTCTGGAAATAATATTTGATCACAATGATGACTTCTTCATGCTTGAATATCTTTTTAGTTACAGTTCTACTTGATCATATATATATATATATATATAAAGTAAGGACACACACCATTGTCTGTAAAAACACCACTTAAATGTCTGACTTCATAGTTGTGTGGAATAAGAAAGCTCTTGTTCGTTATTTGTATAGAAACATATTAAATATGTACTGGCACATTGCAAGTACCAAACATGTAATATATTGTATTTTTAAAAAAACTATTAAGGTGGCTCTTGTTACTTAAGTTTACATAACATTTTAATTTTGTGTGTTCTTTAATACTGTTGCAAAGTTTTAAAATCTTAATCACGTCTGTGTAAATTTTAAGGTTTATTTAAGGGATTAATCAATTTCTTCAAATTAAATTTTGTGTCAGTTTTCTAACTTTTATACTTGTGGGTTGTTTCTTGGCATTGAAACAAAATGAACATGCGCAGAAAGAGCGTGCAGAAGAACGTGCCATATGTATATCAGGAAAAGTATGGATAAGGATAAAATGCTGCATAATGCCTTAAAATGGACTGGAGTGTGTGAGGATTAGACCAAAGGGTCCATTTCTCCAAGCTCTCCAACTGAGGTGGACTCCCACCAGATGCTGTCAATGGAGTGACAAAAGTGTCGCCAACCAATCCTTTTACCTGCTAAACATGGTTGTATCCATTCTTACAGGGGTCAGCAGAAAACCCCAAAATGGTGTTCGGAGGGTAGGACTGAGCCAGGCCAGGACCCACAGGATCTCAAACTGCCCTCAGTTTTCATATGATGGCATTGGGTCCAATTACTGCCCTAGCCTGGAGTTGTCACAGTGATGAAGCCCGATCGTTCATCCCCTACTTTCTGTCATGGCTGTAGATGCAGCAAAGCCTGTGTGTGTGTGTGTGTGTGTGTGTGTGTGTGTGTAAAAGGTTAAGATTGTGCCCCTAAATCTGACTAAACCCTTGCCAAGGTTCAAAACCATGTGGATGTCATTTGGAAATGGCTGCAAAGACTTGCTGCCACCTGTCTGTTTGGGTTGTAGCCAGAACAACTTGGTTTTTACTAGCTTCTCGAGCACATAGCTCATGCCCTTTCCCCCCATCTGTTGAATGTTGTCCTAATATATAAATTGAGTAATAGATTGCATCCAATAAAAGCAAATGGAATCTATGGCACAGATGCGAGAGACTGAAATCTCTTCACCCCAGCAGCTGAGATTTTTCTGTATAGAAAGGTGTCATGTTTGAAATCACTTTGACCTAAGTACTTTTTAGTATAATTTTATACATACTATTAATAGTGTGAGCATCTTACACCCCAATCCTAAAGTTAGTTATCTAGAAAAAGAAGCTGTATTGCTATTTGTAAATAAGTTTGTTTAGGATCATTGCGTCAGAGTTGATATAAAGCACTACAAAAATATGAATGGAAGTACTACAACTGGCCTTGTATCAAATCACATTTATTATCATTTTTCAGTATTTATAACATTAAACCAGGGGAAAAAACAAACTAGGTTTTGAAAATAATTAATATCTGAACAAAATAGTGAGTCAAGGTGACAAAGGCCTGGGGCAAAATCATAATCTTCCTGTACTTTATCACCCTGAACACTCAGTGTTCAATAAAAGATTGGCTTATCAGTTTATATTTTTGCAGTTTCTGCCGCTGATAGTTGAAAAACCTCACCATTCTTTCAGAATGAAAGAGTGATCTAAGGCTAAAAGCGATCTCAAGCCTACTCTGATTTGTACTTAGTTCTAAGGTCCTGGTACCTTAAGGGTAGGTAAGAAATTGAATTAATGATGATGAGGCAATAATTATGCCAACCAAATTAGCTTATTGCCTTCTATCCTACAGAACATTAGTCTGTCAAATATTTTGTCTACAGACTCTCCATTGTTTTATTCATTTGAAAACTGCATTTTTATCTTGCCCTCTACTCACTTCTTAACTCCTGCAGGTTCTCGTTTGATACATTTTTATATGAAGGAATGACTTAGAAGAATGAACTACTGTACACCAATTTATGTTTTGTATAGGAAAAAAATACAGTACTCTTCTGTTTTCTATTGAGCCACTGCAATATCAAGGCTTCCTGGCTCTGCTTCTGAAATAATAACAACTTCTCTAAAACTTGCTCTTTTGTTTCTTCTTTTTAATTTCTCGGAGGTTCTCTGGTTCACGTTTACAACATGACAACCTTTCTGTTATTTCTTTCCTATTTCCTATCTCTTAATACCATCGGTGATCTGCTTATCAGACTTGCTGTGCTTTTCCGCCAGCCTGACTTAAAATATAGTATGACCTGATTGCCTCATTCACTTGCCTGCCTTGGGAAGTTCTCTTTGATCTTGGGTCTGACTTCATGTTCTTGATGTGCAGCTTTCAAACATTTGAAAGGTGTTCGTAGACTCTGCACATATTCCATCAGTCCAAATAACTACATCTTGCACTTCTAGTGATTGAAATAAAAATTGAAGCAGCTGCTGTGATTCATTTGATGAAAAACAAACCTGCATTTACACTTAGATTGAAATAAATAGAATCTATGGACAAAAAGAGACACTTGTGGTTCCTTTGAAGACTAAAAAAATTATTATAGCTTCCATGTACTCGTGTCCTGAGTTATTGCTGTATATACACACGTGCTAGAGCGGCAAAATTGTAAACAAGCTTACAAGCTTAGCCCCTGGCAATTTTGCTATATCTAAAGCAAGTATATACTGACCCTGAGGTCAGTAAAAGAATCCTCCATTGGTGGAAGACTTCCGGATTGGCGCCTCCGGCAATGGCGGAGCTCCTCCGTTCGGGAGGAACTTGCTCCGTGAAAAACAGGGTCTGACTGCCACGGCGAAGGTGGAGACCCACTGAAATCACAAGCGGGAGAAGCTTGTGAACCTGGGATTCGGCTGGCACCTTTTGCGCCTCCCCTACTCACGGGAAACCCTGTTTTGGGGGTCTGGAGCGACGTGGGGTGAGTGGTGCGGTGCTTTGAATCGACTGCTTCTTTCACGGAGTGAAGCCGCATTGCTGTTGCCGGAGAGCGCTGACTATTTCCTGTGGACAATTGGATGTTAAACAACTACGCGTGAGTAAAATGGAAAATTGGATTTTTAAATACTTTAATTTGGCATTGAAACGGGAAGGTTGTAAACAGGAAGTCCGCCTCCCGTTTTTGTAAATAGACTGAAGCAAAGACGTTACAAGTTAAAGCCTTTGAAAGTTTTTGGCAAAGGATTAAATTTCCACCGGTTTAAAATACAAAACCCCCCTTGGAAGCAGGAGAGGAGGGGGGAATTTTGGATCTAGTGAGCCTGCAGGAGAGAGTGAAAAATTAAATTACCACTGCTCTGAACCTGGGAACGGGCTGCCAGATGACGTTTGGAGAGAGTGCATTTGACAGAACGGATTTGACAGCTAGCTAAATAAGAGTAAGATACTGTTTCCATTGTCCTTTTCTGCGCTTAAAAAAGAGGAAAAGTAACTGAAAATTTATCTTTAATGCTTGAGTTGTGCCTGAAACAACTGATACAAGTGGAGACTGTTTCCCTCTAGAGGGAGCTTTTGAAACTGTAACAGGAGTGTAACTGGGGGATTCCCAGCTGCAGATAAGGATTCTGAGAACCAGAGAGCAACCTTGGACCATTTAAAAATATTGACAGGAGAGGCCATTGTGACTGTTTTATGTAAGATAAGCTGTTCGCTGGGACAACTTCACAAGAAGATGGATGACATGACTTTTAAAGTTGATAATTTGGAACAGAAAGTGACCAATTTGAGTCAAAAAGCGAACACCAACACAGAAATAATTCAGGACTTGGTACAGGAATCCATTTTGGCAGAACAAATGATGGAGGAGGAGGAGGAGAAGGAGAATGCTGCTGTTGTTGAACATAAAATAATACAAGTGAGATCTGTGGCTTTACAGAAGCAAATTGAGGACTATAAGTTAAGGCCTTTTATGATTGAATCTAGGAAAAGTCAGACTGAGGAATGGATCCCGGTTTGGATTAAAGAAGGAAAGTTGGAAAGAGCCCTCTATGCAGGGATTAATTGACTTTTGGGACATGGACTCGGGCCTGGAGGAGATTGAAGTTTTGGGGGCCTTTGGACTTGGAGGAATCCTGAAATATGCCCTGAAAAACTTTATGGACTGTAGCTTTAACTATGGAAATTCAGCTGATTTGTTCAGAAGGAAGAAAAGGATTGACAGGTTGGAGTTTCCCCGAGATTTGCTTTTTAGCATTAAAGAAAATGAAGAAGACCTGCAGAAGGGACTTGGAAAAGAGTTAAGAGCCTCGGACATAAGATCACCAGGTTGATGGACTTTATGGAGCTGACGGAAAGGACTGGCAGAATCCGAAACCTGGGAGAGGAGATGGTGGAAGAAGACTGGAAAATTTAAAGTTTATATATAGACTTATGGTAAAACTAATGAGTGATAGAAAAATGGTGGAATGATTTTTTGTATTTTTTATTTTTTATGGGCTTAGTAGAAATGTTATAAGGAGTTAAGCATATATAAGTATTTTAGTTTTAATGGAAAATAAGGTTAAAAAATACGTTATTTACAATATTACAGAAAATGGAGAAAGATGGAAAGGATTTGCTGAAACAATTAATAGAAGTGGAATACAAAAAGGGAGGTGAGAGGAGGTCGAGGAAACAAGGGAATGAAAGATAGAGTATGGAAAAGAGATGATGTATGTTTTTAAATTGCTTTTGTTTTGTTTCGTTTAGGGTTAAGGCTAGGGAGTGGGGTTTGTTTAATGTGTTTAGTTTTGAGTTTAGGGTGTGTTTTGTATTGTCTATATATTGTATTGTTTTTTCTTTTTGCTTTTCTCTTTTGTTTTTTTCTGGTTTTTCTTTCTTGTTCTTTTTCTCTTTTTGTAATCTATAAAAGTAATAAATATTATTTTTTAAAAAAAGAATCCTCCATTGGTAATAGGACTAAATCTAAATCTGCATTTTCGGAGAAACATCACCACATTTCTTCATAATGTTTTCTCCAAAGGAGCACTTTGGTCCCCTGACTCTGAATTCTAATTGGCCAAATGTCCCTTGTGACCTCCCTGCCTCTTTGTGGCAGGAAACCTACAATGATATCCCTCATATCCACTCCATACATGCATTAACTAGCAATTAATGTTCCTTTCTCTCCAGCACTATCATTAATCTACCTCTGAACTAGAGCTAAAACTCTTCAGGAAATGTCTTTCCTATTACTAAGTAGTTCAGATTCCCAAATAGTTTAGCCTTACAGGTTTAACACTCACTTGGCCACTCTACATCTCTCTTCAAGCCTTCTCCAACCCCTGGATGCCTGCAGGAGCAAAACGTCTTCATTCTGGCTCAATCCCTTTATGTCTGCCTCCTCTACTACAGTATCTTCTTGTCTCTCAGCCATGATTGTTATTTTCTTTGAATTAGTCTGGACTCTTGTAAGCACAAGCCACTGTTATACTTTATTCTTCTTGTAATGTTGAACTAGAGTTAAAGGATTGTGAAGGTTTCATTCCACTTCTAAGCTTCTTCACAGTCCTCTCCTGGTTCCTTACTTTTGCAATGCCTAACTGCCCACCAACATCTTCCAGGGTTCCAGGTCTCTGAAACTGTTTCATTCCCTTTTTCTCTCTTGAAGTTTCAGGCCTTCACGTTTCTGACTTCACAGCCATCTGACTAATTGATCTATTGTTAAACATGACCTATATACAGTTGTTGTTTTTACTAATCCACCCCCCTTTTACCCAAACAGGAGGAAAGGAAAATCTGGGTTAATTTTCTATTTTCCCTTAATTTCCAGATGCCTAGAATGAAACTTTGACCCTCCCTGTGCAAAATGTTGTAAGCAAACCATCACCTCTTAGATTTCTTACTCTTCTGTGAACAACTTCCTCTGAACTTTGGACTCTCCTAAGCAGGAGGTGCCCTTGAAGCAAAAAAGCAACCATTGAAACCAAGTAAAAACCCAGAACAAAATGTCTGAAAGCCCTGTTTCTTCACAAAAAGTGAACAGAGCATTCTGTAAGGCTTTGTCAGAAGTGCTGCAGCTTGACAAAGTAGGAATGAGTGCCAGCTCCATGGTTGATACCTGACCAACTGGCTCGACTGTTACTGGCTTTAGGTTGTAGCAACGCCATTCTCATATTATTTTCTTTACACAACTTAGTATTCATGTAAGGTATTTCCCTAATGACCATTCATCGTGGCTGTGGACACCGTCATACTGCTGCCTATATTGTTGATCAGTGTTTCTGCCTTTAATTTTATTTTTAAAGATTCAATCATAATTGACCCTTCACCTAGCACATGCCCTGTGTGACACATTGATTTATTAAATTTCTTTATATCTAGGCAGCTGCACTTGGAAAGGGCATCTGGGTGTAATCGGAGGGCCCTGCATTGTTCTGCAACTTGCTCATAATTGGTGCTCAATCCAAGGCTTTGTCACAAGTTATTTTAAGCCACCTGATAGCAGTAGCATTGCTCACGTACTCTTTCTCCTGTGCCCCTTCACGCACACACACACACACACATGCACACACACACTACTCCCCTCACTCTTTCCTAGCCAAAGCTTGTAACTACTTGGAAGTATTTAAAGACTTCCAGATCCTAGCTTAAGCTATTCAAAAAAGACACAGAAGACAAGGGGATACAACTCATCCTGGTAAGTCATGATGATAAAGTGTCAAAAGGCTCCAATTAGGTTTAATGAGGAGCACGTTGAGCATTTTCCTTTTCATTAAGAGAATGTTTTTCCTATATCTCATTTAATTTACAAGCCAAGGTAGTGCTCTGTATTTTAAGTTTGTGGGGGCATGATGCTTTATGTGAAGATTCCCAACATGTTGATTATTAACATCTTTTTTTGGCTGCTTCCAAATGTGTTGTGGTTCTCTGAATTTTTCTTCCAATAAATGAAAATCTATTTAGGTACAGCACAACTAAAAATGTAATGCTGGCAAAAATTATGTTAAGAAGTGGCGGTTAGCATCTTGATATCCAAAAATTCTGAATGATAGATTTTTAAAATACCCTTAGAAAGATGAACATTATGTGCTGTGCAGTGTTAAACCTCCGATACTGAATGAAACGTTTGCTGCTCCTGATACTAGCACTAGTAGTAATTTCATTATTAGATGGTGTTGTTTTAAACTGGAATCAGGCCTTAAGTTTCCTGATAGAGAACTGTGGGTGCACTAGGCAACTAATTATCTTAGCCATCTTATGTCACAAGAAATAGTAATTCAGTTGTTTTGCTCTAGCCGAAATCGTTTAAGAGTGAAGTTATATTTCTGTGTTTTTCTTCATAAAGAAATAAAGAAAATAGAAGTTTATTGAAGTCTATTTGTTCTTTAAAAGACTCTATGACAGTAGTGTTCCTAAGTCAATATTTCCTTAAACTTGAACTCTTCAGTATTCAGTATCATCAAATGCATTCAACATTGATGTGAGAGAACAGGTTTAGTGTAATGCTCTTAGAAATGGCAATATTGATAGTCCACAGCAGTTCTTCTATAGGTTTCCCAGTATTATGTTTTCTTTATAACTCATATCAGCTCAGATTATTTTGGGGTGGTTTTTTTCTGCTTTAAGCTGAGAAAGAATCAAAGCAACTCCTTTTTGTAATATATCAACACAAAATCTGCTCCATATTCTTTTTGACATTTAGAGGGTAATTTTTATGAATGAAGGATAGAACTTGATAAATCTTTCACTATTCAAAATCCTTTGACTCAGTTAAGAATACCTCAGTTGTGGTTTTGTCTAGCACCACTGAGAGAAACTCAGCACAACTTTTATTTTGGGGGTGAGGTTGCTATAGTAAGAAAACAACTCTCCTGGCAAGGACTGGGTCAAGAACAACTTGACAAATGTTGATGTGGTGTTCTAATGTCAAGTTAGCATTTGATCATCCAAGAAAATATGACTCAGAGACATCAAGAAAGCGCCATGAGCAAAGCAGATACCCACCTACTAGATTCTGCGGTACATCTGAAACATGAGTCAATGAAGAGGATATTGTGCTTACTTTTTTGCCACCAGCCAAGCAGGTGTGATTGTATCACCTCTCCATGCTCACAGAATATAGCCAAAGTATTCATTTCCCCTTTTATCTCTGAGCTTAATGACAATGCCAGTCACCTAAGATGAAGGACGTATCTAGACCACGGGTAGTCAACCTTTTTATACCTACCACCCACTAATGCATCTTTCTTGATGGTAAAATTTCCTTACCATCCACCAGTGCTCAATGGAAGGAGGATTCAGCTTATGCGGTAGAACCCCCTACCACCCACCTAAAATCCTGAAACGCCCCCTAGTGGGCAGAAGGGTCTAGACCCCTTTTCTCTCTTCCAGCCATTACCAAACCTAAGAGGTGATTGGTACTGTAAAAGCATGCAGCATGATGTGTGGTTCTGGATTAATTTCATTTTGACCTCTTAAATACAAAGGTTAGCATAACTAAACACATTGCCAGGTCCAGGTTTCAAGGAGCCCCTCTATACAAGATACTTTCACCAATCTCCTACTGAGCAAAGTTTCTCTGCACAGAACTTTAACAGAGACACCCGCTAGATTGCTTTTGCTATGTGAAATTTGCGCCTGGGCCCTACAACCAAGGTGAGGCAAATGATCTTTTTATTAGGCCTTGCTTGCACCATACAATTTAAGCAGCATCACATCAGCTTAAACATTCGGACATTCGGCATCTCCCAAAGAATCCTGGGAACTACAGTTAGTAAGAGCTGAGAGTTATTAGGAGGCTTGTATTTCCCTCCCAGAGCCACAATTTCCAGCGTTCGCTGGAAACAGGGATTGATCGTTTAAGCCACACTGAGAATTGCAGCTCTGTGAGGGGAATTGAGGTCTCCAAACGACTCTCAGCACACTTAACAAACTGCAGCTCTCATAGTTCTTTGCGGGAAGTCATGACTGCTTAAAGAGGTATCATACTGCTTTAAATGTATACTGCAGATAGGGCCTCAAAGACATTCACCAACCGTTTCAGGAGAAAGTGGAACAACAGTGTGGGAGGCAGCATGCCTTTGAATACCAGCTCCTGGGCATCACAAGTGGGGAGAGTGTAGATATGCTCATGCCCTGCTTGTGAGCTTCTCATAGGTTGGCTACTGTGAGAACAGGATGCTGGACTAGTTGGGCCTTTTGCCTGGCCCAGCAAGGCCTTCTTAGGTTCTGAAAGTGCCGGTGCTGCAAAACAACACTTCAGAGTTGGAGATTTGGCCTGCGTTGCTAGCAATAGCACAGGTGATCAGCATCGGCCAATAGATAAGCATGCATGCTATGTAACTCTTTGGAGCAGATCAGCTACTTTTTTTGAGCTTGTTAGCACTGATAATTAGATAACTGTAATTAAGAATGTCAAACATCTGTTAAAGGTCCTGCCACAGCTTGAGTACAATGATGCAGAGACCTCCCATGACTGCAACATGTTGAAAAATCTGGTAATAACAGCAGTAATGGAACAGTAGAAATCATGGGTGTAGCCATGATTTTTGTTAGAGGGAAGCAGGCTTTTGGGGGGGTCAGAACCTCAGATTTGTATTGATTTGGGGGAGCAGGTACCCCCTGCCCCCCTTTGATATGCCCATGGTAGATATAGTGGCTGTGGAACCTACTCAAAAGAAGACTATTAGGAGTGACCAAGCTATCCAAAGACCGTCCAGACTTAAAGACATGTTTATGTCTAGTGCATTTATATAAGTACGCATTTTAGAAAGCATGTGTAAGTCTGTGGTAAGCTTTCTAATGTTAGAAGTGTCACTCAAATCTATTATTGTTCATTTTAATCTTAAAAAAAAAAAAAAAAGAGGGAAAGGGGAAATGTAGTATAGTTGCTGTTTATTTATGAATAATTATTCATGAATACTCCTGCAGGACTAGTTTCCAGGAGAGAAACTGGAACTTTTCTGTAAGAGATAGAAGAAGAAAAAGGAAGCCAGGAAGTAGAGAGCTACCCAGGGGGTTAAGAAGGAGCTGACAATTTCAGTACTATTACAACAGGCTACCCTGTGGCTCCTCTCCCTTCACCATCAGCCATGCTGGCTGGAGCTGATGGGAGGTGGAACCGAATAAAATTTTGAGGGCCACAGGTTAGCCACTCCTGTGGCACAGGAATAAGAGGTTAAAATAGGGTTGCCATATTTCAAAAAGTGAAAATCTGGGCACAAAAGTTGTTGAGCATTGGGGGGGGGCAAAGTTTTGGGTCTTTTTTTGAAAAAATTCTCCCCCACCCATGAAGTTTTTGCCTATTTTTGGGGGGGGGGACTTGCCAAAAAAATTCAGCACTGCTGATATGGGCTGCCATTCCTCCCGGATACTCTTTTCGATAGATGAATCCCAGCTGTGTCCGGGAAATTCCGGATGTATGGCAACTCACTATTGAAAGAGATTTCATTGTTGGACAAACCTCAAAGAGACACAACAGAAGGAAACTGCTCCATTATCTTACTCTTTTCTCTGCTTACCTGCTCAGAGAGGACAATTGAACAGGCAGTGAGACTGGCCCTGGGCTCTAGGGTTATGCAAAGGAGAGGACAACTCTTCTCTGTTTATTTTCTCCACACCATGCATAATCCAATAAACCTCTGCAATGTGTCTTTCCTCCCCATTTTTTCCCTAAACTATAAACCCCTAAATGTTTTAACCTCTCCTCATAGGGCATTTGCTCAAGCTACTTGATTATTTGGGCTTTTCCTTTTCTACTTCTTTTCCAATCCTACAATATCCTTTTTGAGCCGATACACTTTCAAATGCTCTGCACAGACGTGTGCATCGCTGTGCTGTAAAATCCAGCATGTGGGAATTCATTCTGCAGTCTGCCTTCATAACCAACCGTATCATATCAGAGACACGATGCCTGCGGGAAAGAATTCCTTTTAACTTCCGTCGCTGAGCAACACCACATAGCAAGCTGTGATAAAATAGCATCTGCTCAGGGGGGAATAAGTGAGAAGACTGAGCTAAAGAAAGGAAAGGAGCTCAGCTAGAAACATAAGGTGGCAGAGAATATAGCTGCCTACTGGATACGGTAGGCAAAAGAGGATACTGATGGGTGGTTTTGATGTATAACTGAAAATTTAGGAGGAAAAAATGAAATAGAAATGTGATTCATCTCACCATGGTGGGAAAGACTCTGACCAGCTGAGCTGTGTGGCTGCTTAATCTGCCATCCAAGTGCTGTTGATGGGCCGATTCAAGGTCCCTTCACTCTCTTATTTTTAACCTTTAAACCAGATTTGGACTGGACAGACTTCAGTCAGAGGGCTTTCTTCCAATGACTCCTCAAACAGAAGTCTGTCCGCTTTAAAATATGACGCACAGCCACCCTAGGGTCCAAATGTAGCTCTCCAGACCTCTTTGTCAGGCCCAGGCCACACCAATTACTGGTTTTGTTTCCCCCCTCCACCCGTGTTTTTGCCTGGCTGGACTTTGTCCTCGACCTCTGATAATGCCTCTTGCTTGCCTGGATGGAGGATAGAAAAGATAAAAATTGTATTTGTTACTACACTCACTTTTGCCTCTGACCCCACCCAGCACTGTATGGTGGTCCAGAAGAGAACTTAGCCCCCAGGCTGAAAGTTTTCCCACTCCTGTTTTAAATCGATAGAGTTATCCTATACCATTACCATGGCATATTTCTCCTAGCAGTTTACTAGGGATTGAACTGCCAGGTATACCCTTATTCCTGATGAATATACATGGTCAGGAGTACCCCCAATGTATCATTGCAAGAGTCAGTTCAAATGCTTTAGGAATACAGTACAACTCTATCTCCTCTCCCTTCTCCTGGGCTGAGTACATGTAGTTAGGCAACATTTCCATTTCAAAGGCAGAATCCTTGTTGCCCCCTTAATAGGCACAGCATAGTCCCTCAATAATGTGGCAGAGCCATTACTTTATTCTCAATGTGGAGATGAATCCAAAAAGTTCAGCAGCGCCTTAATCTCTGAGGCAATTGCATGCAAGTAGAGTAAAAGTGAAATACTTGGAAAGAACAAACTGCAGTTTGAGAAGGCAGGTGCGAACACATCACAGGCTTTGATGAAACAGTAATTGGAGCAGCAAGAGATGTCAGCTGTGTACCTGGTTCAGAACTGGAGGGGATTTCTGTATCATTAATAGCTGCACAGAAGGCAACATTTCTTGGAGTGCATCTTTTTAAAAAAGGAAGAGCTGAAAGTTAAATTCAGCTTAAAATGTCTGTGCAAAATTGGCAGGAAAATTTGGGGAGCTTTGCAAATTAAGCCCCTATCCTGTATGAAGTTCACAACAGGTCACTGAGATTGTTGGCAGTGGGGTATTGTTGTTGTTAGATTTTCCTCAAGGGCCGACATTGTTGCCAAAATCCAGCATCGCCTGGCCTCTGCGAGTGCAGCTTTCTCCACATTGAAGTGCAGTGTGTTTGAGGACTGGGACATTCGCAGGGAAACAAAAATGCTTGTTTACAAAGCTATTGTACTACCAACCTTATTGTATTCTTGTGAAACGTGGACCATTTGTAAGCACCATCTCCAACTCCTCGAAAGATTCCATCAACAGTATCTTCGACATTTTTTACACATCACTTGGGAATACAGGCAAACTAAAGCCAGTGTCCTGGAAAGATCACCAGTGTTGAAGCAATGATTCTTCAACATCAGCTTCATTGGACTGGTCATGTTGTGCAGATGCCTGATTATGGTCTTCCAAAGCGACTACTCTATTCCGAACTTAAGAATGGAAAGCATAATGCTGGTGGTCAACAAAAGAGGCTTAAAGACTCTCTCAAGGCAAATCTTTAAAAATGTAGTATGAACACCAACAATTGGGGAACACTGGCCTGTGAGCACTTCAATTGGAGAACAGCCTTTACCAAAGGTGTCATGGGCTTTGAAGATGCTCAAACTCAGGACGAAAGGGATAAATGCACTAAGAGGAAGGCACGCTTGGCAAACCCTCACCATTATCAACTCCCACCCAGAAACCTATGCCCCCACTGTGGAAGGACATATGGATCCAGAATTGGCCTCCACAGTCACTTACAGACTCATTGTTAAAACCATGTTTATGGAAAACAATCTTACTTGGCTACGAGTGATCGCCAAAGAAGAAGATTGTTGTTGTTAGATTTTACCACAGAAAGGTAAAATTCAGATTGGGGGGGTGGGGGATATGGTCTGGTCTTTTGATGCCAGAAGGAGATTTGATGCAAGAGGAGCACTGAATAAACACCCATCTGGAAGTCCCCAAAGTCTCAGGAAGGCATATCAGTTTCACAGTAGAGGTAGCAACCTCTGCTTGCCTTTCTTTTCTGCCGCTGCCACCAGAGGTGGTGGAGCAACTCTGAGTGGTCACCCTCTAGGAGCCCACCATTGCTTCCCCCAGAATGCTCTAGAATGATGCCACATCATGACGTAGCTTCCTTCTAGGGGGCATTCTGAAGGGCTGCCGGAACGGTGACCACTACTAAAGAGAGAGGTATGAGAGAGCAAACTAGGTTACTAACATGTTCTCATTCTGGCTCATTTGTATTTTGGTTTAAAGGTGTCATTGCAAACCAGTTGAAAGTTTCAAGGATGCCAAACTGGGGAGGTGGAGCCAAATGTGGTGCGTGTGACAAGACTGTCTACCATGCTGAAGAAATCCAGTGTAATGGCCGTAGTTTTCATAAGACGTGCTTCCATTGCAGTAAGTGGATCTATGCTATTTTATTTCACCAGTGAATCCACAATGTACTACAGTAAGGTTACCAGATTTTTTTCAATGAATCCAGGAACACTTTTCAGCTTCAATGGATTTTGTATGGAGACTGATTTGTAAATCCGGGGACTGTCCCTGGGAAACGGGGACGTCTGGTAACCTTATACTACAGTTGATTGTGGCACTAACCCTACTCGTCTAAACTGAAAGGAATATGTGGAGAATGGAGGTTTATGGTGGAATAGTTATTATCTGAAGGGTAGATGGGGTTGTCAACCTGGGAAGGTAGCCCATCTAGGAGAAGGAAAACTCTAATCCTAACCCTCTGTTGCACAAATTCAGAGTGGAGCCCCAAAGACGGTTGGATGGCACCTTGCATGCTTCCTTCCAGCAACACCTGCAGCCAAGCTGGTGCCCAACATATTGCTCTGCTTTCCTTGGGACCATATCAGCTAGGTCAAGAGTGGGGTCCTGTTGCCTGGGCAGCCCAGAACCTCCATACACACTGCCCAGGCTTGTGCCCTGGGGAGGTCACGCTGGTGCTGCTAACACAGTGGTTTGACTGGAGGCACACATCACTGTCTCTTGGGATAGACGGATGCCAACAAGTTATTATCTTCAGTGAAGAATAGGGAAGAAATTACACTCAGTTTAACTCAGCAACAACACCTTTATTATTTATATGGGTGGCGCTGTGGGTTAAACCGCAGAGCCTAGGACTTGCTGATCAGAAGGTCGGTGGTTCAAATCCCCGCAGTGGGGTGAGCTCCCATTGCTCAGTCCCTGCTCCTGCCAACCTAGCAGTTCGAAAGCACATCAAAGTGCAAGTAGATAAATAGGTACCGCTCCGGCGGGAAGGTAAACAGTGTTTCCGTGTGCTGCTCTGTTTCGCCAGAAGCAGCTTAGTCATGCTGGCCACATGACCCGGAAGCTGTACGCCGGCTCCCTCGGCCAATAAAGCAAGATGAGCGCTGCAACCCCAGAGTCGGTCACGACTGGACCTAATGGTCAGGGGTTCCTTTACCCTTTACCTTATACATCTGACAGGGCTGCTCCAGCTACTCTGGCTGACTCCCAACAAAATATTAAAAAACAATAAAAGCAGATGTTTCAAATCAAACAATCATCAGATAAAGTTAAGGGGGAGAGGACAAGGTTAAAAAAAGGAATTGCTTAGCAAGGCATGGACAGAGAAGGATTGATGGCTGGCAGCCAGCAGCTTGTTTTCCTTACTGATTGTCCCTGATTGGTAAGACATTCTCCTCTAATGTTCAACCCTCATTTACTTTCCCGTAATTTAAACTGAGATCCATTGAAGATAGGATAAAGAGTGATGGTTTTAAAGTACAGGAAAGCTGAGCTGTGGTTAAACTTTAGAAAGGACTTCCTGCCTCTACAACCCTGATCAGTAATTATTTTTCTTGCCGGCTCTCTGAATGACAGACTGACAGTGAACGGTGCAGGGCAGGTCTACCCACACTTTAAGTGGGCTATTCACAATTCAGTTTCTCTGTTCATAGTTTCTGCCTCTGATAGGGAGGCAGGCAGCACTCTGCCTCAGCAGGTGATGGCATTTCTCTTCCTGAAAGTATAAAAAAGGGGGGGGAAAGCCCAAAGATGTCCTCTACCAAGAGTAAACCACATAAACTGATATCAAAATCCTGTTTTATTGGAATGAACAGGAGCATTTGTGAAGCACATGCTACTATCATTAAAGGCTTTCTATCAGGTTGAAGATGTCAATACACCTTTTATGTTACTGGATACAAATTTTATGTTATAAAGTGCACCAGTTCTGTCCATCTTGAGCTTCATGCCCTGTTGGCATAGCCAGCAGGTGACTATTGCCAGAAATTGCAGATACCCTTTGTCTGAAGACTTTGATGTAAATCTAGGTTTATTGCTGTCAGTTGTGGGCTGCAGTCCCATACATGCTTAATTGGAAATTAGTTCCATTGAAGTGAGCAGGATTTATTTCTGAGTGAACATGCCTTTACTTGCATTGTGAATGTGTAATATCTTCTAGCTGTGCTGCTGTTGATATGGTTTAGATTATACATTCTTTTGCATTGCTTTTTGAAACTTCGTTAGTTTTATATACAGAGGAACCTCGGTTTTTGAGCGTCTCGGAAGCCGAACAATTCGGAACCCGAAAGCCAAAAACCCGGAAGTAATTGCTTCCATTATTGAACACGCCTTGGAAGTCAAATGGCTTCCGTGGCATGTTTTTCCATTTTCCCCATTGAACTTGCCCATTGCTTTTCGATTTTCTCGGTCTTCTGGAATGGATTACATTTGAAAACCAAGATCCCACTGTATAAGTATATAGTATATGATCTTATGCTCATGCTGTACAATATGCTGGCTACATTATTCAAATACGGGGGCATAATTAATAAATTAATATATTGATTATGATAGCAATAATAATAACTTAAAGCAAAGCAGCAAGAATCTCGATTCCCCTGGTAAAACACTAAAACCACACCAGTCCATAAAAATAACAAAATCAGCTACAGCAAAGATTCAGTCAGAGATTAAATAAAAAAATCATCGAAAACTAGAGAGGTAAAAGCAGCTCATAATGTGCCTCAAATGCACAATATCACCATCCTCTTCCTATTTCTATAGTATAATGCAGGCAGAAAAGTCCCCTTCCTCCATTTTTAAAAAAATTAAATGCCCACTTATTATCTGCAGCCCTGTGACTGACTTGAAAGATACACTTCCATGTGTGGCTTGCTATTTACTTACTTCCCAGCTGACTTTTACTTAAAGCACATCTGTGGTGGACATGTGGCATGATCACAATTTGTAAGCCTAAAACTAATTCATGGCGGCTGTGCTGCCTCTGCCAGCAGATTGACGAATATCTCGGAGCTGTTTCAACAATAGCACTTCAAGGGCTTTGACTCCATCTGTTGCAGCAAACAGATACTCTGTCCCAGAGGGGCCAGAAATAGAAGCACTTTATCTGCATCACTCCCCTTACACACACAGACACACAAAATCATTTTTTCACAGAGAATAATGCAGAAAAGGGACAGATCAGCTTCACATAGTGCCAGAAATGTCTTGCTTTACTGGTCTTAATTTTAGGACAACAATATAATCCCCAGAGCTGAGGGTGATGAAATAATCGTTGAGACGGCTAGAACGCTGGTGGCAGAAAACTCACTCTGAATTGGACCGGACACAGGTTAGAGCTCAATGTTGAGCCTACCAAGTGGCAATGGCAACAGCGAAGAAGACCTTCTTCATTGCCTCTATTGCATCTGCAGAAAACAGCAGCAGGAGACTCTTTCAGGTGGTTCGCAATCTATCGGAACCACCTTCATCACCGGGGCCTAGTAGGGACCCCAAGATCTCCTGCAATGCTTTTGCAAAGTTTTTTTTGCACATAAAGTTGCTCAGATTCGGAAAGAGGTAGAATTCACCATGGGAGCAGGGCCGGGGCGAGAGAGTGCTAGAGTCCTGTTACATGGGATCAGTTCCAATCTGTTACCTCCAAGGATGTGGACAGGCTGCTTGGACGAGTGAAAGCGACCACCTGTCTCCTTGATCCTTGCCCATCCTGGCTAATAAAAGTGAGCCGGGAAGGGCTGGGAGATGGGCTCTGCGGGGTGGTGAATGCTTCCCTCTGCGAGGGAACCTTCCCAGATCCGCTGAAAGAGGCGGTCATTAAACCGCTTCTTAAAAAACCATCTTTAGACACGGCCAGTATGGCCAACTATCACCCAGTCTCAAATCTTCCATTCTTGGGCAAGGTGATTGAGCGCGTGGTTGCTGAACAACTCCAGACACGCCTGGAGGATGTGGACCATTTGGATCCCTTCCAATTGGGATTCAGGCCTCACCATGGGACTGAAACTGCCTTGGTCGCACTGGTTGATGATCTCCGACGAGCCAGGGACAAAGGTGAGAGTTGTTTCCTAGTTCTGCTGGATCTCTCAGCGGCCTTTGATACAATTGACCATAACATCCTTCTGGACCGTCAAGAGGGGCTGGGAGCTGGGGGCACTGTTATACAGCGGTTCCGCTCCTTTCTCCTGGGCTGTGTCCAGAAAGTGGGGTTGGGGGATGAGTGTTCAGACTCCTGGGCTCTCACTTGCGGGGTGCCTCAGGGTTCTGTCCTCTCCCCCATGCTTTTTAATATCTATATGAAGCTGCTGGGAGAGATCATCAGGGGGTTTGGGCTGGGTGTTCATCAGTATGAAGATGACACCCAGCTCTACCTCTCTTTTAAATCAGAACCAGTGAAGGTGGTGAATGTCCTGTGTGAGTGCCTGGAGGCGGTTGGAGGATGGATGGTGGCTAACAGATTGAGGCTGAATCCTGACAAGACAGAAGTACTGTTTTGGGGGGACAGGGTGGGTGGGACTCCCTGGTCCTGAATGGGGTAACTGTGCCCCTGAAGGACCAGGTACGCAGCCTGGGAGTCATTCTGGACTCACAGTTGTCCATGGAGACACAGGTTAATTCTGTGTCCAGGGCAGCTGTCTACCAGCTCCATCTGGTACGCAGGTTGAGACCCTACCTGTCCGTGGACTGTCTTGCCAGAGTGGTGCATGCTCTAGTTATCTCCCGCTTGGACTACTGCAATGCGCTCTACGTGGGGCTACCTTTGAAGGTGACCCGGAAACTGCAATTAATCCAGAATGAAGCAGCTAGACTGGTGACTGGGAGTGGCCACTGGGACCACATAACACCAGTCCTGAAAGATCTGCATTGGCTCCCAGTATGTTTCCGAGCACAATTCAAAGTGTTGGTGCTGACCTTTAAAGCCCTAAATGGCCTCAGTCCTGTTATCTGAAGGAGCGTCTCCACCCCCATCATTCAGCCCGGACACTGAGATCCAGCACTGAGGGCCTTCTGGCAGTTCCCTCATTGTGAGAAATGATGTTACAAGGAACCAGACAGAGGGCCTTCTTGGTAGTGGCGCCCGTCCTGTGGAACACCCTCCCGTCAGATGTCGAGGAAATAAGCACCTATTCTATTTTTAAAAGACATCTGAAAGCAGCCCTGTTTAGGGAAGTTTTTAATATTTAATGCTGTATTGTTTTTAACACTCGATTGGGAGCCGCCCAGAGTGGCTGGGGAAACTCAGCCAGATGGGCGGGGTATACCGGTAAATAATAAATTATTATTATTATTATTATTATTATTATCATCATCATCATCATCATCATCAAAGAGTAAATACCATTGAACTCTGCAGGAATTTTGGTTTCTCTCTTTCCCCTACTCTCCTATTTCTTCACTATTTAGGACTGGATCCAAAATCCAGTGATAGAAAATTAAATATCTCCAGTGGCATTTCTTCCCTTTTATACCACTCATTATATCAGGATGTTTTATGTCTGAAGAGAATATGGCATTTTCCACAACTGAAGCAAAGTATGAATAAGAATTGGAGCAGGTTACAATTCTGGTGATGGCTTTACTAAGTTCTGTTAATATGTGCAGAGGTAATAATCACTTTTAGAATCAGACAGCAATTACTTCCCAAAGTGGTGCTTAGATGTAATACACATTTATGAGACACAAGCAAGGCTTAATAAGACCAGACCTTAAAAAATATATGCAGCATTTATGAATATCCAAAGCACTTCACATAGATCTTCTTAGTAATCTTTACAACAGCCCTGTAAAGTAGGCCAGTCCTGTTACTCCTGTTGTGGAGAGGGCAGGACTGTATGTGGCTTGCCCGAAGCAACTTAAAGAGTTTGTGGCTGAGGAGAGATTTGAAACAAAGACCTCTACCATTTAGTATTTGCTCTCCTAACTTTTCCGGGCCATTTACCTGTAATTTTACTAACATCCCAGATGTGAATAGCATATTTTGCCACTGATTTTTAAGTAGCTTTTAGTAGACCTTTAGGCTCCAGGAACCCTCTCCTGTCCAACTCCCCCAAACCTGTAGCAAACTGTAGGTGCATATGTTTCAGTGCATTTGCTTCCTTTCCAGTGGCCTGCCGAAAAGCTCTGGACAGTACGACAGTAGCAGCCCACGAATCTGAAATCTACTGCAAAACTTGTTACGGGAGAAAATATGGCCCAAAAGGGATTGGCTTTGGACAAGGTGCAGGCTGCCTCAGCACAGACACTGGAGAGCATCTTGGGCTGGATCTACAGCAGTGAGTGGAATCCTTGGTTTTTAAAAAAATAATAATTATGGCCTCTGTTGCATCAAGTCACTTCATTAGTTTCCATAACAACACGCAGGGGAAGCTGTAGCGCAGACTTTTCTTCAATAGATCTAATAATTTTTATCCATTTTAATGATGTTCTGTCCCTGCAGAATATTACTTGAAAAATATTTCCTATGCCAGTGGGCAATTACACTACAGAAAGAGCCCTTGCTTTACATATTGTCACAGTCTTTACTATTCACCGCAACTGTGACTCATTAAGTGCAGTACAATCAAAGGGATCGGTTCTCAGTACAATGATGAAATTATTTTCCTGTGTTGTACTGAGATGTTATTAATACTTAAATAGCCACAATGTAATCTGTATTGTCTAAGGAAGGCGGGCAGAAAAATGACTGTGGGTATTTTATATTGGGGGGCGGGGGCTGTTTCATTTGGAGAATTCTATGTTCATAAAGACATGGAATGAAAGGTTACAATTGCAACACAGTAAGAATAAGAAAAGGAGCATTACAAGATGTGTGGTGGCATGAATATGTTAATTCCATAAAGATTTTCATCACTTGTAGAATCAGATTATTATTATTTCCCAAAGCTGTAACCTTAAGGAAACTTATTTGAAAATTGATAGGACTTACTTCCAAGTACAGTGGTACCTCGGTTTTTTAATGTCTTGGTTGAAGAACATTTTGGTTTTCGAATGCCGTAAACCTGGAAGTACTGGTAAATGCTTTGGTTTTCGAACATGCCTCAGAAGTCGAACATGCCATGCAGCTTCCGCTGAGTGCAAGATCCTGAGGCCTAGCTATCGGCTTTTGAGTTTTCAGTTTTCTAATGTTTCAGAACTCGAACGGTCTTTGGGAATGGATTACGTTTGAAAACCGAGGTACCACTGCACATTACATCTCATGGAGGAGAGGGTTATTGAAGGGTAGTAGGAATGGCGGCGGGACGCGGGTAGCGCTGTGGGTTAAACCACAGAGCCTAGGACTTGCCGATCAGAAGGTCGCAGTTTGAATCCCCGCGACGGGGTGAGCTCCCGTTGCTCGGTCCCTGCTCCTGCCAACCTAGCAGTTCGAAAGCACGTCAAAGTGCAAGTAGATAAATAGGTACCACTCCAGCGGGAAGGTAAACGGCGTTTTCGTGCGCTGCTCTGGTTCGCCAGAAGCGGCTTAGTCATGCTGGCCACATGACCCGGAAGCTGTACGCCGGCTCCCTCGGCCAATAAAGCGAGATGACCAACGCAACCCCCGAGTCGGTCACAACCGGACCTAATGGTCAAGGGTCCCTTTACCTTAGGCATGACGGCTACTTTCTGCCTCCACAGAATGCCCCCTCTTTTTGTATAAAGTATTTGTATTCTTCAACCAAAAGTGATTAGTGTTTTGTTACGGATGCAACGACACGTCTTCTGCTTGTAGTGCTTAATTTAGCTGCTCCAAGATAAAAAGCTTAATGTGCACTGAACATTCTTGTCATCAGCTCACCAAAGCCAGCTCGTCCTTCCACTCCTACCAACCCTTCAAAGTTTGCCAAAAAATTTGGCGATGTTGATAAATGCCCTCGTTGTGGGAAGTCAGTGTATGCTGCAGAGAAGATAATGGGAGGAGGAAAGGTAAGAAACATTTAATTCAAACGTTCAACTTCCCTGTTGGAATAGGTAAACCCATAGACCAGATTAAAAGAAAACAAAATAAGCTGCATTTAAATTCCACATAGAAATAAAATGTTTTAAGACTTCACATAAAATCATATACAACATAATTTTACTAATTTTACTGCAACAGCTTTGCTTTTATTAAGGCAACTAAAAAATATTATTTCACAAATGTAAAAACCATTCTAAGCTGAAGCCATTGAAGGTGGGAGGTACAAGATAAAAATAGACTAAAACACTGCTCTAAAAACATCAAACTCTATAGCCATCTTCACAAATTCTTTTTTAAAAACACAGTTAATATTCCACAAATGACTGGGTCAAACCCCAGGGAAAAACTTATTAAACAAAAATGTCTTCAGTAAACATGCAAACATCATGACACGAATGTTCTTGTCTAATTTCAGCTGGTAATTGAGTTTATATCCTTAAAACTCAAGATTTCTACCATAGTTGCCTGAAATGGATTCTAAATGTATTTTCCTGAGACTGGAGGGCTTGATTGCAAAAGAGGCTAACTTCCCAGTCAAATACCGATTAGCTTCTTGTAATAGAAAGCTTAATGTTTATTCCTCTCCCCAATATTTCTGCTGCGCCACGGAAGGACACCAGTGCAATGGGGCCTTCCAGTCTCCCCACACCTGCCACATGCCTCCTATTTGCTATGGGAGAACCCCCAGAATGGTGAGTGGGGGGAGGAGAGGTGAGATCATTCTGTCAGGCAAGCAGAACTGCCTGTACTAACAGCATGTTTGTAAAAGCGTGATGTCGAATTCCTTCTATGTTCTTTATAGTGTTCTCCAATAGCAGGAAATGGAAATTGGTACTTGGTGTGAATTTCTATTTACAGATGGAACTGGAGGACATTCTCTGGGTCAAATGATGTCTCCCTCTAATCATGATAGGCAGGCCCTTCCAAGTCTTTTGCCTCCTCTTCCAGGAAGAGGAATTGTCTTGCCCTCCAGTCCAAACTGTCAAAGGAGGAACAACTCATGTGTTGAGATTCCAGCATTGCAGGGCGTTGGACAAGATGTCTCTTGGGATCCTTACAACGCCCCAGTCCTATTATTCCTCAGCCCCCACAAAACAAAAATGCACAGGAACCATATAAAACATGGAAACTTAGAAAGTAGATCAACAATTGGAAGGAAGAAACCAAACACAAGCACTAAACATGATATGTATGAGGCAGGCAGAAGCCCTAAAACCCAGCCCACACCAGAGGTGGTCTCAAGAAGAAGGAGAGGTGGGCAGAATGTCCTCCAACTCTTATCTGTAAATAGAAATTCGCTTTCCATTTTTACCAGATGGGGTTGGAGGCCATTCTTTGAGTAGAATATAATAAAGCCGTGTCCATATAAACCCAGGAAGACTTTGTCTGACAAACAGCTAGGCTACCCTCTGGAGAACCTTCCTTCCAAAGGATAGATCATCTGAGGAAGATGAGTCAATCTTGGAATGTGTGTTGGGATTGCCAAGTGGCTGCTTGACAAATGTACAAGAGAGGAAAGCAACCCAGTAGAGCACTGAGGTAACAGTCCCTTTCAGAGAATGGGTCATCATTTCTTTGGGTGTCCACCAACTCCATCTTGTAAATAAAGCTAACATCCAGTAATATAGCATAGCAATTCACTATATTCTTGAAATCCTTTCCAAGATGGCGTTCCCACCTTTTTCTTTTGCTGTGCCTAGAGCAGGGCAGGAAGCCTTCCTCAAGTGGCAAAGGCAGGGAGTAGATCAGGAGTTAGGGGGTGGTCCTGCCTCTGATGTCTTCCTCAGACGTTTAACTTCCTGCCAGTGGTGAGATAGGCAGAGACAACCCATATCAAGGATCACATTTCCTTTCTACAGGAGAATAATAGGTTCCATCGCTTCCAGTCAGTCTGGTAATAGATTTCCACCTGAGCTGTTGAAAATGTGAAATCTGGGGAGAGGTGTGTGGGTGTCTGTGTAAAGGGAGTTAATCTCTTTATTTACCAATGCAAAAATCTTGGAAAGGAAAACCTGCAATGTCTATGATTTCCTTAATACTCTTTTGCTTTCCGTTTCAGCCGTGGCACAAGACATGCTTCCGATGTGCTTTCTGTGGGAAGAGTCTAGAGTCTACAAATGTCACAGATAAAGATGGAGAGATTTACTGTAAAGGCAAGTGTAGTTGTCGTGCCTCAAACCTAATTCAGACAAATTAACGTGCCTCCCTTGAAGACTTGTGGAGTTACCAAAAAAGCTTGTTTTCAGAGTGAAACTCCGCTGCCACTTGGTTTTCTTAAAGGTCCTTAAAGAAAGAGGCTGCCTCTACTGCTCACATTTTGGCTGCAATAGCACTGGGTTCCTACCAGAAACTGGAAATATTATTAAACGAAAGGGGAGGGGGTCAGGATGGGAATGCTAGCTTTATGAATTCTAGGTGCAAATTTTCACAGGATCAAATTGTCTTCTCGGGGCTGGGCTAAACTAAACATGTGAGAAAACAAATCGAGCTCCTCCCTCAAGTATGAGATACCCCCATGTCTTGACACCACCCTATTCTGAATCTTCCCACCCCAACCTGCCAGTGATGCTGAGGCAAGGAAATGCAGGATACCCTCTTCCCCTGGTGTTTTTCCTCTCCTTCTCACCCATGTGAAACTAGGCAAAGGGCCATTGATCTGTTAGTACAATGGGGTTTTGCCTCCACCCCAATTGGATCTTCAGGCTCAGAACCCCCAGAACAGCACACAGGCAGAGGGGAGGGGGATCATTCCATCTGGCAAGTGGAAAACTTGCAGTTTTTGTAGTGCTATACTGAATTCCTCCCAATCTCATTTAAATTACACATACTTTGGCTTAGTTACAATATGTTATTGGTTGTTCCAAAGGCTTCTTTTGGAGAAGCTGAGTTTCAGGGACAGCATTGAAGGAAGTATGGGATATGTGTTTTGTTGAGTGCCACATGAAAACAGCTCAAACTTTATGCCTTTCTTTCTTTTCCAGTTTGCTATGCAAAGAATTTTGGTCCTAAAGGAATTGGATTTGGTGGCCTCACTCAAGTTGAACAGGCTTAGGCTTGTCCAAATAGTAACACATGAACAAGAACGTATTAAGAATACTTTTTTCATCTGAAGAAGTACTCTCCTTTCTTCCAGAAGTTTTGTAGAATGGTGCAGGAAAGCTTGTTGTGAGAGGTAGTTTAGGAAAACATTTACTTTCTTAACAGCTACTGTTTAATATCTTAATTTCTGGACTGTTAACAAATAATTTCAGAATTGCTACCTATTTTAAATAACAGGAGCACATAGGATACCACTATAAAGATTACTGTTTTTACATCAATGTTAAAGAAACAGAACCTGATTCCTATTTTACATTCTGTTGCTTATAAGTGCCAAAATAGCACTTTTGAAGATGTGTTGTTGGTATGTCATGAAATAAAGATATTGGACTGTAAGCAGCCACAATAATAATGTTTTTTAAAAAGCACTGTTCCAGTTACTACCAAGTTCATTTATGAGGATTATCTCATATATATTTTTTCCAATTTGAACCTCTCAAAACCATGCCATTTCTCCTTGGGAAAAACTTGGGATGGTATTATCTCATCTCCAAACAGATAATACAAGGACAGCACTGAATGTAGAACCACTTGCATGTTGGCAGCCTGATTTGAAATAAAAATATGCCTTACAAGTGCAGGTGCTGAAAAAAAGCATGTTATATTTACCTCTTGGATTACAACTGATCATTTCTCAAATTCTTCTGAGTGTCTAACAGAGCCTGTAATGTAATTCCACAATCCTGACTCTGAACTCTACAACCCTTCTAAAAATGGACAGCACTTGTAATTTTAGCAACAGAAGCCCAGTTTGATGCCACCGTCTTTCATCAAGAAAAAAACTTGACAGGAATAAGAGTGAAAACAGTATTAAAATCAAATCATGGTCTGATTCCTTAAGTTGTAATACACAACATGCTGCTTTTAATGCCATGGTGTCTTCTAAAATGATACATTGTGTACTAGTGGAATAAGTCCATTACTTTACTATGTAGAACTCAGCTACAAGCAAGTCTATCACCGTAATTTCATTATTTCTACTATTACATTTATATTCTGCCTCTCCTCCAAGCTCAAGGAAGTGTAGCTGGTTCTTCCTACCCTATTTCAACTTCAACAACCACTGGAGGTATATTAGATTGGTTTTTACTGTATTCTGTTTTGAAAACTTTCAATTAAAAAATCAGTTGTTTTTTTAAATAACAACAACAAAAACCCTGGAGGTAGATAAGACATAGAAAGTGAAGGGCCAAAAGTCACTCATTGTGACTGAGTTTCAGAGGTAAATCCAGGTCACATCAGTTCTGACATTTTAACTGCTATTCTATACAAGATCTTATTTTTCACCCAGCCCTCAAATGTTGTGCTTGTATGGGAACTAAGCCTCATATCCAAAGCAAGAATTATACTTCAAGACCAACAAGCTTGGACTAATTCTATAATCTTAAACAACATATGTTCACTGATTATTAATTTTAACCTCCCATTCTTCAGTGTGACTTTTTTTTACTACAGTATGAAACTCAGGGTACACAGGACCCTTGCTGTGTGTCAAGCCCACCGAGACGTATGATTTGTAGTATTTAAGAGCTGCACACTCCGCTTAAACTTTAAGAAAGGTGAACCACAAACCTGTGGTCTGAAACAAGCCCTTCAAATGCCATGAGAATTTTGCAAACTTGTATTGAAGCTGCTGCTACCTGCTTCTAAATTCATTAGCACAACTGAGAGAAGTATTTCAGCCATTATTCATCATTATTCAGTGTATCAGGGCCTTAGCCACGGTTATTATTTCATATATAAATGTTTTCCCTTGATTAGTTGAAAAGCCAGTAATTACACTTGTAAATACAAAAATTTTCTAATTTAATAAATGTGAGCATGAATATATTAAATCTAAACAGCCCTTATATACAGATTTACAGATCAAAGAGACAGTTCAAGTTACAAATCAGTTTTCATATACTAAAATATTTTGAAATTCAAAGCATCTCTCCCCACCCTTAATTATCAAGTGCAAATTTTAATGGACACGTAAGAACAACAATGGCTAGGATTTCCAGGCTGCTTTATAAAAAAGGCCTTTCATTAGCAATTTGAAAAGTGACATTTCACAGTTGTACTTACTTCCAACCTATTGGAAGATTTAATATATGAACTACAGTTGTCCCACTGCATTATCCACTTTGCTGCAGTTTGTTCACATAAAACAACCTTTCCCAAAATAACAGCGATACAAATATAGCAAAGGAAATTCCGAAGTAAGTTGCAAACTGTAAAATGTATACCAAATATCCATATTTATTTCAGCTTCCAGCTGATTCCCAAGGACTGGATGTAGGTTATCTTCACACGGCGTGAACATTTCTATCCTTCAATGAATGAAACGTTAGCGTGTACTGCTTAGTCCAGTCAATGATGTTGGGCTTGAACATTCCAAAGCATCTACACTGGAAGAAGTCTGCTAGGTTCTGAAGGCAGCCATAGCTAGGAAGGGGAAGAGAACAACACAATGAGAGTGGAAATATTTTCCCTTGTTTTGCTAATAAACAAAGTGTTTGAAACATTTATGATGGCAACAGGGAAATGTCCTGGAAGGAGAAGGGGACTGCTGAGCGGCACTCCTGTGAAGGGGCTGTTTGTGAGAACTAGTTTCTCAACATGCGGCTATAGTCATATATGCCCCATATAGAGATACTGGTTTGTATATACAGTATGGCACTTCCACACTGGCCTTTACATACTTCCAAGGTACTCAAAATGGACATAAGTAATGTATTTATACGCTAAAAGAAATCGATCAGATTTAGCGATATGTGACAAAGTTTTACAACACAGAAACAACATTAAAACTAAACAGCGTCCCCCATATTTCTGAAAAAGGTTTCTGACAAATTTTGGGACACATTGGTTGGTTCTAATAAAGGCATTGGACTCTTGTGAATATCTATGAAAACAGATATTAGAAGAGCTATCAACTGTATCCAGGAAAGGAATGCAAGCTTGTGGTCTATTTCAGTCTGCAAGTCCTTGCCATGGATGAATGGATCCAGCTCAAGACTGAGATCTCTCTTCTTCTTCTTTGGAGATCACTCGTAGCCGAGAAATATTGTCTTCCATGAACACATCTTAACAGTGAGTCCATAAGTGACTGTGGAGGCCAATTCTGGATCCACACTTCCTTCCACAGTAGGGACACAGGTTTCCAGGCAGGAGTTGATCATGGTGAGGGTTTGCCAAACGTGCCTTCCTCTTAGCACATTTCTCCCTTTGGTCCTGAGCTTGAGTGTCTTCAAAGTCCATGACACCTTTGGTAAAGACTGTACATCCTTGAACATCCCAGTTTGAGGGGTGATGGTGGAGGGAATGAATAACAGCTTTGTTTCTCAAGGTCACTGCAGATGCTTCAAAGCAACATGGTTCTTATGCACCGTTAGGTGGAGGTCCCCTCTATATCATGCGAGTGATGCAGACATGAAACAGAAACTCTCCCAGCAACTCTTCCCTAATCTTGTGGTCTCTAGAAGTTGAAGGCATATTGGCTTGGGATGATGGGGACAAAAGTTACTTACTTATATGGAGTTTTCCTGAGTGAAACGGGATGCTTTGAACGCTTACTCTGCTTCCAGAGGGCACTCCTCTCATGTGAGGTCAATCCAAGAAAGGTAATCTTGAAAGAAACAAAACACACACACAAAAAAGGAAATTGCCTATTACATGCAATTCAGGAAGAATACGGAAAGAAATGAAGTACCTTATTTTTCGCTCCATAAGACACACTTTTTCCCTCCTAAAAAGTAAGGGGAAATGTGTGTGTGTGTTATGGAGCGAATGCAGGCTGCGCAGCTATCACAGAAGCCAGAACAGCAAGAGGGATTGCTGCTTTCACTGCGCAGCAATCCCTCTTGCTGTTCTGGCTTCTGAGATTCAGAATATTTTTTTTCTTGTTTTCCTCCTCCAAAAACTAGGTGCGTCTTATGGTCTGGTATGTCATATATATATAGCGAAAAATACGGTATTTTAATGAAGCCATAAAAAACAGGGCCCCTTTCAGTTAAAAGCATATTAACAGTGGAAAACTGTGAGAGCGGTACCACTAACAATTAATGCTGGGTTCACCATCCTAAACTATTGACAGAGGTCTCAATACCAAGCTGTTAGAACTGTGTGCTTGAATCACTTTCTGTGTAATGCTATTAATTATTCAGCAACTTCACCAAGTCAAGAACAGTATCAATCTTAACTAAATTCTGTAAGCAGGCATTCTTACTTAAGATCATGTATTTTTCCCCCTGTGCAGTTTTAATAGCTCAACTAGAAACACATCTCCAATCATTGCCCCATATGCACAGTTCAAAAGAGTCAAAATCAGGAGAAGAGAAGGGTAGATCTCAGAATCTCAGACTCATGCCAGAAATAATTGCCAGTGGGAGGGAGGCTACAGAATCCCCTCCTCCTTAGGTTGAATGTGCTCATGATGTTCAGCACATTCCGCTTGATCACAGCTTAAAGAAAATGAGCTAAGATGACCAGTTTATGTATTTGTTGCTAGTACACTTTTCCATGCTCGTTCCTTGGCTGAAAATGAGCGCACAAGTGGCTACTTATGCAGCCAAGCTGGCATCCTTGATTTGTAATGGCACAAAAATAAAGAAGAGGAAAAGGTGACTTAATGCTCCCAGGCAGCTATCTTCAAAGGTCATAAAGGGTTTAGCATGGAACAATGATGCACAGCTGAGCTGCCCGACAGTGTTCAGTTCAGCACTAGCCACTCCACTGGGCAGGATCAATTATTCATACCCTATTTTTAGAAACTGGCAACGGGACTATTTTTCTCTCAAGTCCTTGCATCCGAACATAACATTCTCAACAAGCATTTGCTGCATGTGAACCTTAAACTAACAGCCCAACTTTAAAGGTCTAGTTTACTTGCTGCAGTTTGCGATCCTGCAGCTAGAGCAAGATCCCAAATATGGAAGTAGGGCAATTAAGAGCAAACCGGGCATGCTACACACCAGGGCAGGGGATGACTGAAAATGAGAGCAACTCTGTTGTACAATCACATTAAGTGGAGGACTTGTGCAATATTGGCTGCTGGTGTGCTGGGATTAGAGTTGGAACCAGTCCCATCTCTGGCACTGGGACACCAGTTTGTCTCTTGTGCCAGTGCTGAAGCTACTATCCAATCCTCTGAGCTGCTGCATTTCCATAATAACTTAGATTACAGGATCATCATTCTATCTATATCCAAACTTCAGAGGTGAGTGTGGATCTTTATGTAGCCAAAACACACAAGAAGGGTATCAGCAGGCCTGGAGGAACTCCAAGGCCTGGAGAAGTACAAAAAGTCTTTTGGGGGGGAGAAATGGACAGGGAACGGAGCCCTCCAAAACAGCCCAATGAGAATTTCAGTAGCCACGGAATTGTTTTGGGAGGGAAACCAGAATGAAATATCATGAAGGAAGGTGTGGATGACTAACAGAACAGAAGCACTCTGCACTAACATTTTGTTGCAGATGTACTGATTCACAGATACACTCTTGATTGGCACCTACTGGTTTGAGATGTTTGTGGATATTAGTGTATTTTTGGTCTTTGTGGAAGCCGCCCAGAGTGGCTGGGGAAACCCAGCCAGATGGGCGGGGTACAAATAATAAATTATTATTATATATTATTATTATTAGATCTACACACAAAACTGAGGTTCAGTATTGAGATATTAATTATAGGGATGCAAGGGTAGGTTGCTGAAGAAGGATTACAACTGAAAAACCTTTAGGACTAAACCTTAGATAAAATCAAACAGTACCTGATAGAGCTGAAGGATTAGCAACAACATAGCCCATGACGTGTGAAAAGATATTAGTGTGAAAATGTACAACACCCATGGAGAACAAGACACAATCTGCGTGAAGGAAGTCCATGCTCCATCTTCCCAGTATGTTGTTGTGCAGTGTTCTGACCAATCTAGGACAAGGAATTTTTATTTTCAGTTTTTAAAAAAGGTTGCTTGAGAACAGATGATGGTGAGCTACCCACAAGATCCAATCTGTACATTTACTACAAAAGTATTGTTCACATATTTAACAACCCACAGGAATAGCTGAATGTAAAGATAAATAGGGAGTGCCGTTCTCTCAGTGCGGCCAGGGTCAAAGATCTATTTGTAGCAGAACTCTTTGAATTGAAAATTAAAGCTTTAGGGAGAGATATTGCTCAACGTGAACAAGCTTCCCTAACAAAAGGTAACCTCCATTTGTTCCATTGCCATTTACATAATATTTTGTGTGTGTATGTCAGAAGCTATACATTTTGCAAGTAGAATTGTTCACATGGTAATTTCTCCTGATCTCAACTTTACATATTCCAGATTAGGACTCCAGAGTTTTTTTTAAAAAAACATTTTTAGCTGGAACATGAGACAGTGGAATTTTCTAAAGTGCTACTCAATACAGGGCTAGGTATCAATATGTAGCAGTTTGTGTCAAACTAATTAGTGAAATAAGTGTAGGGAATACATACACAGAATTGTTCCGTACAGTGCCCAGATATTCACCATTGTCAGGAAAGTGAGAAACAGGACAAAATAAGAATGGTTGCCAACACCTAGATTAGAAAAGTTAGTAAGGATTTGTTTATACCACAGCCACAAGGCAATTCTTCCACACCGTATCCCCAGTCATCAAAAAATGCACCCAGTAATTCATGGAAGCAAAACTAGTTCAGGGAAATTAATAACTAAAGTTCTACATGTTTTCTGCTGTAAGAATTCAGGAGTTGGCCATTTGAGATCCCACCCAAATCATGGTAGTGTTAACAGAACAGAAATGTGCATGTTTACTCTGAAAAGCTCAGTAAGGCTGACTTTTATATGTATAGGATTTCAGCCCAAAACTACATAAAATGTATTTTAAGTACTTCAAGCCAAGCTTTTTAACAATACCCAAACTGTGCAATGTGCATATGAAACTACTCTTACATTCTAACTGGTTGCGGTTCCCTGTGCAGCTTGTCAACATCCCATCACATAGCACTCAACTACTAAAGTTTCTCTACATGATGTATTAAGGGCTCTGCTTTGAAGTCTCCAAAAACATTCCTGGCACTAACAACGGACTTCTAGTTCTGCTAAAATAAGCTCACCTATGCATCGTCCAATCCAAATGCAATGCTGGTCATATCTAGCTACACATGAGTTGCAAGTGTGGCAATGCATGGATCTCAAAGGTTTTTTCACCTTGGGAAGAATGCAGGGGAAAGTAATTAACTCATGATTCAGACAATATATTCACAGATGTCCTGATTAGCTTTAAATCTTCATCCTTGTTTACTTACAAAACCACACAAAACCCAACAATATGAGCCACCACTTTGGGTGGCCAAGATCATGGCTTGGTTTGATTCAGAGAAGCCTGTGTGCACATGCAAAGTGCTTCCACGTATGAATGGGAGGCGGGAAGGAAGGAAGTTCCCATTCATGTAACATAAAGGATACCATTCTGAAGACGCCTATTACCTTTGGGGAAAGGGTTTTAAATCTGAATGCAGGCCAAGGCCAACAAGCAGGCTGCAAGAGCTGTTTGTTGCCACTGATGGACCACTTTTGTTGGCACTCCTATCAGGTCTTGTAACCCCTATTTCATGAGCTGTCAAGACAGCAGAGCAGCTTGCAGGATCGGGCTGCAAAAAAAAATCTCGGGTTACAGACGCTTCAGGTTACAGACTCCGCTAACCCAGAAACAGTACCTCGGGTTAAGAACTTTGCTTCAGGATGAGAACAGAAATTGTGCTCCGGCGATGCAGCGGTGGCAGGAGGCTCCATTAGCTAAAGTGGTGCTTCAGGTTAAAAACAATTTCAGGTTAAAAATGGACCTCCAGAACGAATTAAGTACTTAACCTGAGGTACCACTGTATATTGAATGGGGTATGCATGCACATTCCACACATCCTCTGGGATGTGGTCAACCTGAAATCAGACTCCACAAAAACAAAACTGCTGATCTGCAAGTGCTGTTGCTTGCAAACTTCTGGTGGGCACCTTTGATTTGATCCATCCTGGCTATTAGAACACTTAGGACTCCTGCCATAGTACTGGGCTCCTTGGTTTTAGTCTCAAGAGCAAGCAGGAAGGAATTGTGCAAGAAGGCCTCCGCCAACACTTGGCCCTTGTGCTTAGATGTTTGCTGACCAGCTGAAGAATAGAAGGAGGAGCACCCATGCTTCTGGTGTCATTCTAGAATAGCCATAAAGGCACACCTGTGCAGACACACTTTGTGTGTGTGTAATTTCTTATATACCAAATTAAAGATATATCTGTGGAATTAAAAAAAAATCAATACTAGAACAAAGCATGACTTACAAGACACGATGTGCAAAAGGTTCTGAAATCCAAGGAGCCAGATTCTCCAAGATTAATAATATTCTGAAAGACAGATATTTTGCAATCATTTTATCTTTTTTTTGTGAATCCTCATAATGGCATCATCATTGAGAGATCCTACATTTACTTTTATATACTTCTGTAACCCCACTTTGGGTGCTGGGAGTGGGATTTTCATTCCTTTCAAGGCAGCCATGACATCCCAATCTAAAGCAGTTTATCTCTGCCTGATTAGTATCAGAAGCTTCTCCACACCCCTTCCTGGATCCTTTCAGCTTTAAATGACCAGAGCCTTAAAAGTTTACAGTATCTTAGTGCTGTGTGTGTGTAACAAAAGAGTGGAAGAATGTTGCTGGCAAAGAAGTGTGATGCTGGAGCAGTGTTTCTGAAACTGGGAAGTATCCCCAACATTATTATGGCCCTGGAAAGCCTTTTTACTTGTCCGTGTATAGTTGACACAAGCAAACAAGTTCCTATTTTCTTGAAGTACGGAAATGTTTCCTTGCTATACTCTCACAATTTTCCCCAAGTTGCTATCAATGCTATCAATGGTAGTGAATATTTACATTACGAGGAAAGTGCTAAGTAAAGTATCTCCAAAATGCATTGTTCTCAGGTGACAAATGTATAAAAAATACAATGTATTATAGGAAATCATGGCATACATTTGATGCAAGCAAAAAATACCTTTTTATTCTCTTCTTCTGTAGTCTTAATGAATCCAGGATCAGTTCTGATAGTTTTGTATAAATAATAGAAAAGACCCACGATACCAAGAAAGAAGGGAAGCCGAGAAATTGTGCCTGAAAAATGTAAGCTCCAGTTAAGGAATATGTCTAAGAAGGTGCTGGCTTAGATGAGCCTTTGTTATGACCTAAGAAGGCTCTTTTTATGCTTCCCAAATTCATGTATTGCTGCATATTAAGCATCCCTCTCCAAGGACTCAGCTAGACTGGTAAAGAAAAAGCCATTTATATGCATTGTATAAGCAATATAAGTGCCTGGCGTGCTCTGGTCCATGGGGTCACAAAGAGTCGGACACGACTAAACGACAACAACATCATAAGCAATATAACATTGTGCCACCAGATGGCGATGTGGAGTCCCATTTTTCTCTACTTGTTTTCCGTTTAAATTTACAATGCTTTAAACTGAAACGCTTCTTTGATGTGCCTAGATCCAGCCCAAGCTACGCTTCAAAGTTGAATGGATGCCTTAATGCCTGCAAAGCATGCTACAATAACAATATTTACAAAATTGTAAATAAACCACAACATCATAACACTGAAGCAGCAGTAGCGCCACTACTATAAAGTATCTTTATTAGAAGCCAAGCAAATATATGCATGCATTTTAGCTGGAACATGCCCAAGCAGTTCACAGGAATTAATCCAGATAATTGTATTAATGAGATCTCATTAGAAACCATGCAAAAAGAAAATACCACTTGAGAAATGAAGTAATTAACATTGAAATGCTATCTAGTACTAGAACAGATTAAAGATGGCTTAAAACAGTAATTATTGTTGCTGCCGAATCTCTGTTATCCCTTTTCATAAAAAACAAAGCCCCATGTGCAGAAGCTAAGCAAAATAGAGGGCTGAAAATACAATATATGAATATCAGAATCATGTCACTCGCACAATGCAGCTGTGTGAATTAGCAATTCTATGCAAAATACAGCAGCTGCAAGTAAGAACATACTGTTATACTAGGACAAACTTAAAGGCAATGTGGAGACAGAGATGTTTGTTATGCTGCAACCTAGCTGTTGTCTACCAAAACATGGCTAATCTTTCGCACAGTATATCAACACATCGGGCTGCTTACACCATTCTCTCACTGTGTGTTGGTAATGCTTTGCTAGTATTCACCCAAACCCCGTAGGAATAAATTACCTGTATTTTATCTACCCTACATATATGGGGAAAGGATGCTGTTGAGAAGGAGGCGATGCGGACTGTATTCCAGTTAAAGACAAGGGGAAACTACTGGATTCATTGGCGGTATCTGCTTTCCTTTCCTTTGACGGCATAGCAAGACATCAGTGTTGTCAGAGGCCAACAGCCCTGACAGATGGGCGGTGGTACATGTTGCAGAAACATGACTCTTCCTTGATAAGAAAAAGCCCACCTATTGCCCCAAGCTGTCAGTACATTGAAAACTGTATTTTATGTTTCCACCTCAACAAATGTCTTATAGCAGCTTCCTATAAAAATGTTAAAAATTTCTTAAGATTTCTAGAGAATGAAAGCATTTTAATATCTGAAAGAACAAGACCAGTGTTTCTTCTATGCAATAAAACACAAAGGATATCAGGCAGGAACAAGATGAAACAGGTCCAAGATATCCAGAAGACAGAACCAAGCAAGAATGCTAATGGGAAATATTGTAGTTTGTTGACTCCTACAAACTGCCTGAAAAGGAAATTTGAAAAATATTTCCATGAAGTATACAACATTTAAACATTCAAAATAACACATGACATTCAAACATTAAAAATAATATTTAAAAATATTCAGCAAATTTATTTTTCAGGTTACTCAAACGACAGTTCTGAGTTTATATGTAACACAGAACTGCAGTTTGTTCTAAACTGAATTAGAAGCTTTCATTATTTCCCTCTTCCATGAAGACAGGGGATGAGGAGTCCCAAAGCTCATGAAGGCTTATCTACAAGATGGGAAACCACAGTTTCCTGTGATGTCTCAACTGAGCCTTCCTAAATCCCCCACCCCAAAACAAACAAACAAACAAACAGAGAAAGAGAGAAAGACAGACAGACAGACACACACAGAGAGAGAGAGACTTAAAATACACTGTTTACACTGATGTAGATTTGAATAATGTTCCAAGGCTGTTTCACACAATTCTATTTTTTCTATACAATAGAAACTTTCAAAATATATGTAATCACTTGTAAGCAGTGCTAGAGACATGACATGTCTTGTGCATCCACCTGGTGCACACATTGTGGGAAGCTGCAGTCAATTACTGCTGCATGTAGCCAATCAATGACACATTTTTCACTATGAAAGTAATTTCTGTGCAAGAAAGCCCTAGTTTGTCCAGCAGAACTTTTTCCCTTTGGATTCTATTCAGTGCCATCTCTCCATCCAATACTCCAAGTGCCACAATTAATATTATTGAAAGACTACCATCTTATTCATGAAAGAGGGCAACGCTTGTTGTGGCTCATAATTTAGGAGGTGAGCATCTTAACCAGGCCATGCATAAGCATGTGTTTTCCCTTTAACTTAAAATGAGTTCCTTGTTGATCTTCCAGGAACACAAAGCATAACTCTTTGCAATGTAGAAATAACCACAAGGAAGCTAGGGGCACCTACCTTGCAATCAGGGACATGATAACAAATATGAAGACTAGCAAGCTTCCTTTCAACAGCCACGAATCTGAATTTAAGTCCGCTACATATCCTATAGCCCATATCAACGCCAACGATGACACTAGCAAGAGTAAGAACTACAATAAAATAAAATAGTATCAGTTTCATAATAACATGGTATGGAGGGAACAACATGTGAAAGTCGGAAAACAGATCAGAATAAGCTGATGCTGAAGAATAGGAAGGGGAGAGAAAAATCGTATCTCACAACTCAGAAACTTATCAGCTAGAAAGTAGAACCTATCTGGCATCTCTCAGGTACACCCAGTGCTTCCCAGGGGGTACTCAGTACCAACACCTCTGTATGTTGTTGCAAGTGTGGCACTTGCTGTAACAACTTCATGGTGAGTACCAGCACCTATTTTTCTAGGGAAAAAAGCACAGTGTACATCTCTTCACTTGACTTCTGCCTCTGTCGGTGGGGAGCAAGATCCCAGAAGTACAATTTCCCTCTTCCCAGCCAGATAACAATCATTTAAAGTTTTTTTTAAATCGTGCAAAATATTGAAGCTCAATAGATGCATTTTTTTAAAAAAAAAACACCCCACAACTTTATGATTAGAGAACCATAGCCAAGTATTTGGCTGGTGTGTTTAAATAAGTACAGTGGTACCCTGGGTTAAGTACTTAATTAGTTCCAGAGGTCTGTACTTAACCTGAAACTGTTCTTAACCTGAAGCACCACTTTAGCTAATGGGGCCTCCTGCTGCTGCCGCGCCACCGGAGCATGATTTCTGTTCTTATCCTGAAGCAAAGTTCTTAACCTGAAGCACTATTTCTGGGTTAGCGGAGTGTGTAACCTGAAGCTTATGTAACCCGAGGTACCACTGTATGTGATTGTACGCCCACTACCTTGTTTGTCTCTTTGACCTTAATACTCACTTACAGTTGCAAGGTTCAGACCCTAAGAGGACTCTTGTGGCTGTCAAAGAATAGGAGACTTTGCCTTATTTGACTTTCCCCATGACAGAGCAACTGTGTTAGAGAAAGCACATCGGGAGCAATTTTCTCTTCCTTTAAATTTAAAGGAAGCCTCCAATGGTCTGAACCAACAACCCTGCATTCCTTGAGTCTGCTAATTGTCCCCTTTCTTTCTACCAACAATACACAAGATCTTACTTTTCCTAAACCCATCACGAGGTTTCTCTCCCAGCTACACGTTCTCCTTGCTTTCATAAACTTTGCCTCCACCGTTCATTTTTTGAGGTTGACTCAACCAGCAAATTCTATCAAGTCCTGGTTCAATTCCAGCCTAAGCAGTAAGTGGGAATCTGCAAGCATTCCTAACTCAAATAGGTTTTCTTTAAAAGCGCACTGCTGCATGCCAAGATGTGTCTCACTGTACAATACCTCATACTTTCCCAGAATCCTCAGAAACCTGGAATTTTTTCTGGCTCTCAGTTTTTCTTCTTCACAAAGCAGATGAACAAGTAAGTGATTTTTAGTTTGATGAGCAAGGTCAACCGGCCTCTCGCCCTTCAAATAAAAAGTTTTAAAGTTCTTTAAAAACCAAGTACGAGGAAGGAAAGATCAAAAAGGTTATGTAGCTACTTCAGTTTAGAATTCCAACTACCTGACAGTCCTAAGTGTTATATTTAGACTGGGGCTATTCTACAGAAGGACTTGTCAACCTTTTTGCGCCCATGGTCCATTTGCAAACTGGAGAAACTGTTGTGGGCAGCGCGCACGCGCACGCACACACACACACACACACACACTGCAAGCAAGCACATAGCACAACGTCTTCTATTGATCACAACAGAATGCTTATTTCAGGCCTAATGTCAGCAACCCTGCAGGTGTCAGGGAATGCCTCTGTGGCCACACGTGAGCTCGTGGGCACCATGTTGGCAACCTTAGTTCTAAAGAAGCTTGACAAAACAAACCCTTAAGTTTACCTTGTAAGAAGAGAAACTTATGGAAATGTTTAAAAGTTAAACGGTGTGAGGAGATTAACAGATATATTAGCTTTGTGCAAATGAATCCAATTATGAGAAATAAATGAACTATTGTAACATCAGCACTACAAATAGCAGCCCTCTCTATATGTCATGCAGTCCTAGCTCCAAACAAAGTTAAAATTAAGTAGTGCTAAAATCCCGAGAGATATACCAGGATACTCAAACAGGAGAATGCTTTTAAGTATTCTGCAAAACAACAGGAGCACAGATTAAATGCCCTTATCATGTATTGTAATGCTACACTCAATTGCCTTGAGATCTACCATATTATACTTCGGTTTATGTGTATGGTTGAATTACTGTCAAAATCTCGTATTTATTCAGCTACCCTATTTAAAACCACAATTCACATACAACTGTGCTGGCTAGGGCAATGGGAGTTGTAGTGCAAAAACATCTGGAGGGCCCCAGGTTGTCAAAGGCTGCCATAAAGAAAACAGGTGTTTTTAGAGGCCAGGTGTTCTACCTGTTCTAATAATAAGCTATTTCTCTCCCCGCACTCCACAAAAGATGACCACTTATCCTCTTCACAAAAATTTCCTCAAATTGATTTCCCTCACAAATAATTATGAAGCTACACTACTTCATTTTTTCGAACAGAACAGCCATACAGGTGAATGTGGTGTTTTCCTCTACAAGTATTTCTTAAAGTAATAATAGTAATATTAACAGCTAGTATCCAAAGGACCATATCCAACACAGCAGCTCCACTCACGCAAGGAACTTCCCTGCATGCCACTGAACTGCCTCTGCCTCTCCTTTCCACTCGTTTCCCACATGCCCTCAAAATAAGCTCCTAAGGGTTGGGGAACACTCTGGAGCAGGAGGGGGGGCATGGGAGAAGGAAAAGAAATGGAAGTCCCACTGTGCCCATGAAATCCTGCTGGTGTAGTGTTGAATGCAACTCAGAGAGATGTGCCAAAGGACCTGGGCATGATCCATGGAATTGACGTTTTCATGCCATATCACAGACTACCATGACATTTTCCATGCCATATCACAGACTGCCATGTCATAACACAACCTACTTTTGAAGGCACCAACAGATTCAAAAGTGGTTATCCACATGGCATGGAGAGTGTGGCCACTGTTCCAAGAAACACAAGCCCTAAGCCCTCTTGGTTGCACAGTCATGGAATCCTTTGGATCTCACCCAACATTTCTTCAGCATTCCAAACACTACAAAGTACTTTACAACACACAATTGCAGTAATCTTTACAACCCTGTAATGTAAAGTTTTTATTATCCCAATACTGTAGATGGACACTGAAGCAGGGAGATAAAGCTATTTTGTGAGTTTAAGATGAACCAGGGACTTCCTGACTCACGCTCCAAGCCACTATACTATAGCAAATAAACAGTTCAATATGATTCTTTTTCTTTTATTTCTTGTGAGCTGCCCAGGTAACCAATGTTGTTGGATGGCTTATATAAATAGTTAGCAACAACGTTGTTTTTAATATTTGACTGGAAGCGCCCAGAGTGGCTGGGGAAACTCAGCCAGATGGGTGGGATATAAATAATAAATTATTATTATATTATTATTATTACAACAACAGTGCTAACCATGCTTATGTACAGGTGAGGCATCTAGATGCACATATATAGAACTTCTGACCACCATGGGGAGTAATATTATCTGTGATTTCAGGAAACAGAATGGAGCAGAACAGAACAGCATAACTCTTGTGGCTAGCATTGCTCTTTGCTTTGAAACAGAAATAAAGATATTTTTGCTTTTGATGGAAAAAGACTGTAGCCCTGAAGCTGTGCTTTGAAAACTGTATTGTGATTTTAATAGCCAGGAGGCTCTTTATTGATGAAAACAAACTCATACCTTGATATTTTTGATGTCCAGACTCGACCCAGCTTCTAGCAACACATCTACAGCACTAACATTTCCTGATACAACAGCCCAGTGCAATGCAGTGTTTTTCTCTATGTTGTCTACAGCTTTGAGGGAAGGATTAAACTTTAACAGAAAACGAGTAGGTTCCGTCCTAGATGAAAATATATACAAGTCAGCAAAGAGAAAACACACATCACCTTGAAAATGTATATATTTTAATAATTTATTTTTTTAATAGTAACTCTGGTATGCTGTTACCTAGGAATAAATTCTAGAGGTGTACTCATGTTAACCTGTTACTGCAAACAGAAGAATGTGGTACATTTAAGATTTAAAAAGTCTTAATAAATTTGGCATAATCAATCTGTTAATCTTTAAAGTACCACAGGACTCTTTTTTGAGTCACTTTGGAATAAGGACATCTAAACATCTGAAGTAAGATATTCAGCGCAGGACATAGAAGATTCATGACTGCAATCATTTTTCTGTGTTTTTGACAGAGGAAAGCATTTCAAGATCAGAGAAGGGGTATCGTTGAGCTGGACAGGATGCATGGTGAATAGATATACATGTTTGCCTATTTAAAGAAGAATTTGTACACGGTAGAAAAAGTTATAAGCAGCTTATGAGAAATAGCAAAATTACAGAAAGGAGAAGAGACAGAAATACTTAGGATTATGATATTATCTGTCAAAATGGTTTCGCCTGCAGTAGAGAAATAAGTGTTCAACACGGATGTATTGATTTCATGACAGTTACACTTATGGGAACTCATCATATTTTCCATTATAAAATAAACTCTGAACAATTGCTTTGGTAATGAATATGTCACTTGGTATTTCTTCATGAAATATTTGAGCTGTTTTGAAATAATACAGGTTAAATGCTGCAATCCTATGCATACTTATTCAGGAGAGGTCTCAGTGAAATCAGCGCAACTCACTTCAAAATAAACATTTTACGATTATACAGCACCTTAATTATAATCATTACTTACCCAATTACTTTGTGTGCTGACAGCATAAGAGGTGTTTGTCCATTATGATCAGTTGTATCTACACTCTAAAAATGAAAAGATATTACCATTTCAGGAAATGAAAGCCTAAGCTAGATGTACAAACAGAGCCATAAATTGACAATCCTGCATCAAATTAAATTAAGCTACTTATTTCATTGAACATTTACAGCTGAATAACATTTTTGTATGGCCCACAGGCCCTGCCTTTCTTACTCTGATATATATGATATGTATCAATTGTTCTCATGAACTGGGAGTTCTAGAACTGGTACCACTAAAAAGCAGCACAGCACACTCTGGGAACTTTATTTTCTATAAATATACACACCAAACCAGAGACATTAATAGGAAAAAGTGATATATCTGAGTGGCTTACCTTCAACTGTCATTTTTTGTTAGACTATTAAGTATTACAGCATAAAGTATTAAATAATAAATTATATTAAATGAAAATAAGATGTGCTGGCAGAAGCGGTTTGGTGCATCTAAAAAACCACTAATATTACTAGGAGGATTTTTCAGCCTTGCCCCAAGCTGGCAATTCTTTAAAACAAATTCATCAGTGGTTCAAGATCCTACTTCAGCAGCTGCATTTTGCAATGTTATCAGTGATGAAAATGGGAAGAAACTGATATGTATGGGATCTGAGAAAAAAACATGCATTTTGATGCACTTTTTAAATCGACTAAGTATGATTGTATGAATTGGGCTGACAGATAAAGAAATCTTCAAATTGACATGTTGAGCACTGAAACAAAGGCTAAGAGGTTGAGATGCAGTACCAGACTCTTCTGGTTATCAAGCTAGAATAACAGCAGTTTGTGCAGTTGGATCTCTAAACGAAACTGGAAAATTAAATAGACTCATCCAAAAGGCTGTTGCAAAAGGAAGTAAACATCTGTGGCAGGATGTAGTGATTTACTTTTATTTGTGCAGCTATGAAATGGGATTTCATAACAGTACCACTATTAGGATTCAAGTCATCAGTAAGGTTTCATCTCATAATAGCACCCACACAAAGGAAGTGCCCGGTGTAATATTATCATACTAAGAACATACCTGACCCTTTGATATGAGGTAAGCTATGACGGGCATGTGCTGAAAAAGCACAGCTAAATGCAAGCTGCTATATCCTTCACCATCAATTAGAGTTGGGTCTGCTCCACATTTTAACAACAGTATGACCATAGACAAATGCCCTTGTCTGGAAAGAGACAGAAGTGTTTAGTTTTAGAACACTAGCTGATATAGAAAATATAATGCATCATTTCTTATGGAAAAGAGAAACATTGATACTGCCAACTGCCGGCTTTAAAACTGTAATTTGGAATTACAATTATTAGCACAAAAATTATTGATAGCAGCCACACTATTAGTCACTAGCAAATGGAAGAAGAGAGATATTCCTATTGCTAAGTGACTGTGTGAGGTACAGTAACTGATGAAGCACTGATCAGATTAGAATAAGAAACGAAGATGGAAAATTGGGCTGGATTCACCTAACCAGCCCCATCAGCAGGAGCCCTGCAAAAGGATTTTCACTTGTACAATGTGACTTTTTCACCCTGTCTTGTGCCCCCCGGAAACTGGCTTAGAGGCATCAGGAGAGCCCTTAGAACAACATGCCCCTGGGGTAGGAGAGCAGGAATGGTTTCATCTGGCAAGCACTGAGGTTCCCACATAGAATGGTTGTGCTATGTTGAATTCTACCCACAGACTTACTTTATTTATTTATGGAATTTTTGAATGGACATATTAGCAATAATTTGGTTTCAAATGAGAATGTCAATTCTGTGAACTTGGCTATCTTCCTTTTTTTCTGGGTGTATATATATTGTGGGGTGTAGAAGTGTTTGACTAGTACATAGTAAACCAGGTGCAAATTCACATTTATTCATGTAGCTTACCTTGGGCCAGTCACCAGCTCACAGCCTAACCTAATAGGGCCCAATTGCACTGGCTGCCAATTAGTTTCCAGGCCCTATGCAAAGTACTGTTTTTGACTTATAAAACCTTAAATGGCTCGGGACCACAATACCTCAAGGGCTGCCTCTCCCCATATGAACCAACCTGGAGATTTGGAGGGTGCCAACATGAGAACGGACCTTTTCTGAGGTGGCTCCTTGTTTGTGGAATACTCTTACCAGGAAGGCTTCCCTGGCGCCTTAATTACATATCTTTAGATGACAAGTGAAAATGTTTCTCTTCAATCAGACCTTTGGTGATTAACCTTCTATGGCCTTTTAATTTTTTTTCCCAAGGGGGGGGCTATTGGTGTTTTTCTCCTAACAGATTTTGTGTTCTCATTGCGTATTTTTATGTTGTAAACCACCCTGTGAACTTCAGATGAAGACTGGCATATTAATTAATTAATGCAATAAATAAAAAAATATTGTGCTTATTTGGAAAACTGTATTAAAATCCTGAAATTGAATGAACCATTAAACCTGGGCAACAACTTTGCCTTTTGTTTGTGTTTCTTATTTTTATGGTCAGCTGACTTTTTGCCAACAACTGAGGTGAAAGAAAAGAATAGAGAAACAAATGAGATGAGAGAGAAACAAATTAGTAGTTATATAAAATTAGTAGTTATGTATGGATCAGGGGAGATAACAAGAGAGTGAAAACTACACCTTTCTAGCAACATAATTTTCACAAAAGCAAAACTATGTTTCCCTCTTGCATCACATGTAACATGCATACACTCAGGAAGTCTAAAGCATGATTCGCTCTTCATTAATTCCATACCTAACAGCCCAGTGAAGTGGAGTGGAATTTAAATCACCTCCTAGTTGATCCACCACTGCACCTTTGGAAATAAAGAACCTGTGGTAACAAACAAACAAAACGACAATGTATAAATAAAACTGAATGCTTGTTCTAAAGTGGATCGTTCGCTGAACATTTGCCCACAGTAGATTTTAGAAACAAATTTATTCAAGAATTGGCAAGACAGTCTTATAAAAAACAGAAATTTAAACACTGTCAAAATGATGACTTTTTCTTCAGTCACCCAAAATGCATTCTGAAAAATAACCATTCAGTGGTTATCATGGTAGTTTTAATAGCTAGAAGTATACCACTTTGGGTGTGAGAAGGAACAAGTTCTTGCAAATATTTTAATACACACCTGAGATACTAACATAAATGGCACTCTCTGCTGTTGTTGGGGAACAACAGCAGAGAGTGCTATTGCCCTTAAGACCTGCTTGTGGGCTTCCCATAGGCACCTGGCTGGACATTCTGGGAAATAGGAGGCTTGACTAGATTAAGCCAGTGGTCTCCTTAAACTTGGAAGGAGTGACAAAATCCTTTCCTGGCCTTAATTGCAAGGTTGTTCTCCCAAATGAACCGGCACAAACACTAAGTTGCTATCAGAGTCCCTGTTCCATGTACTTTGACCCTTAAGGATGCAGCAGACAGGGGAAAGGGTCGAGAGATTTCCTGTAATGGCAGTAAGAGTCAGAAATAGCCTCCCAAGAAAGGTCAGCATGGGCTCATCTTTAGATAGGCATTTTTATTACAATAGGCCTTTGGGTCCTTTTGTCAATGTATTTTGAGCGTTTGGTTCTTAATCTGTTTTGGTTGGTTGTTATTAGAGTTAGTTTATGCCTAGTTTTCCATTATTATATGACACAGCAAAGTACAAACGTATAAAAACAAAAACATACGCTTGTAAAAAGACACGTGGCTAATTGACAAATATCATGGTATTGTTTGGCATTCTGCGTACTCAAAGGCGGCATCTGGAAGAAGCAGCACCAGTCAGGCAGGCTAAAAGATTTAGCACTGCTTTTACTGGTTAGCTGATCTCAAAATATAATAGTATGTTGTCTTTACCCTGACTGAACCGGGACTGCTCTGAACATTCAAAATGAGGCTAACTGATAACCTCCATCACAAAGCATTTTGCAAAAAGTTTTGAAAATTTTAAAGAGCCATGTTTTCTATGAAGTAGTTTAGTGGAAGGCAGAACACATATGCTTGATCCAAGAATAATCAGTGGAAGAAAAATAACTGAATAATGCACCAGCCCTTACACAAGAGTTTACAGGTGGCTTTCTGCAGTGCAGTGTCACAATATATCAGGGGTTCTGTTAAAGTATAAGAAACAGTGTCTTGATTATGAAAGTTTCTCCTAGCAGTCAGATTCTTGCCTTGTGCAGAATATCAACTTAAATATCTGACTCATGCAAATGGCTATTTGGATTCCACCCACAATTCAAAGTAAGGCAAATAACAAAACTACAGTTACTGAAAACTAACATTTTTTATATTATCTGTAGCCATTATATCAATTATATTTGATCTTAAGACTCAGAAGCCTCACAAAGGTCACACTAACAAATGTGAATAGTAATAAAATGAAGTTTCACAGGCATAACTAATGCACAATATGGACAGGTATTTCTAAAACTAAGCAACATATTTTATTTATTTAAGGTGTTTGTAGGCCACTTAATCATTAGAATTTATTAGCATTCTAATATAATATTCAATTAGATAATTTAACACATTACAAAGAAAAATACCAAACAATTTTTTTATCTGTTTCATTTATATACAGTCCAAAGTCCTTACACATGCAATCACTGACAATACTTACTTTACAAGATCAAGCCGATTATTGATTGCTGCCCAGTGAAGAAGAGTAACATTTTCTTTGTCTGGCTGTCTTACATCATACCCTGCTTCTACCAATTCCTGACACCGATCCAACAGGCCATATCTGAAATCAGAGTAAGATAAATTTGAATGGCAAGGAGTTATAGCTTTACTCTAAGTCATCATTATGTCTAAATCTGACAGTAAGAGTGGACAATACAATATATTACACGCACCAACACAGAGTCTCTGGAATGCAACTTTTATTCCAGGAAAGCATAAAAAACACAATCTAGCAGGGGAGGGGAAGACTTTCCTATGAGAAACAAATCATTTTTGAGCAACAGGGAGAGAAATAGCTAGGCTAACACACACACACACACACACACACACAACATATTTAAATGCTGGTTACTAGTACCTTGCTCACTTATACAACATACTGTAGCTGAAATTCAATGCATTACTTTATAACACGTGAATTATTCAAGAAACTTACTGAGTTGCTTTGACAATATCAAAATTACTGTAGTCCTCTGCAAAAGGAAGCACATCTTGTTCTTTTGGTAGATCTTTTTCTTCATACATGTTAGACCAGCTATGTCCATGATGGCCAAGGGGACCGTGGCTATGATTTTTACACTGTTAATGAACAATTAACATATTTCATAAGAAATATTTTACCTGAAAACATTGTATTCTTAAGAGAGGATGTTGCTTATTTGCAATTTACAATATGTATTCCTGTTATAAACCATCTGCCATATACAAAAAAACAAAAAAAGTAATGGAAGCATTTAATCCAAGCCTCTGAGTAATTTGCATTCCTACCCATGTGTGAACGTGATGGGAATTAGGGCAAAAATAAATAAACAACAATGAGGGAGCACATAATCCCACATCCCAGTTCATGGTCAAACATATCAACTTATGCATCTACAGTGGTACCTCGTGTTAAGTACTTAATTCGTTCCGGAGGTCTGTTCTTAACCTGAAACTGTTCTTAACCTGAAGCACCACTTTAGCTTATGGGGCCTTCCGGTGCCGCTGCACTGCCAGAGCACGATTTCTGTTCTCATCCTGAAGCAAAGTTCTTAACCCGAGGTACTATTTCTGGGTTAGCGGAGTCTGTAACCTTAAGCATATGTAACCTTCAGCGTATGTAACCCGAGCTACCACTGTATACAAAAGTACACATGAACCTGTGTCTTATCCTATTATCCTGTGTCTCTTCCTATTACACAGAGCTAAGCAGAGCTTGTCTTATATGGAATGAAGGTGGCCACTAGTGAATCAGGCAGAAAGCAGTGCGGGCTTAAAATGCGGGGGGAGCTTGAATGCAAATGACTAAGGTTTGAACTAACACAAGGAGTGAGAGACAACTGGACTAAGGAACTGAAAAGGGCCTAAGGAAATGAAATAGGAATTGGTTGGTTAGCATCCCTTCTGTCTTGGATGAATGAAACACTATTAATGAGTGTCCCAAGGAAGGAAGACAACAGAGAAACAAGTTCAGTCACACGTGTACAGTCACAGCTGAGAACAGTTTCTGACAGCAATTAAAAAAGGGGCAGGGTGACCAAAGGTAGGCAAGCCTTTGCAGAGAGCCTCTGAGCCAAAGGCTGATTTCACCTTCTTAGTATTTTTTAAAAGCTTCCTTTTGGATTAGCACTGGCTTCTGCTTCCTAATTAAGCTGAAGAAACAAATATGACTGAAAACCAAGATGGGGAAAGGAGGCAATAAGGAATTTAGATAGGCTGGAAAAAACATTGCTCCCTAGTATGAATATTTATGGAAATCTCTGCACTATTAATGAAGGAATGTATCATAATCAGTTTCAGATGATATTTTGAATGTTAACTTCATACCATAATGACAGATTCATAGAATGTGAATATTAATCATTACATATAAATATTAGTACTTTCACTACAATATATTTAGGAATGTTATATGTATATGCACACACACACTTAAAAGTCTTCTTTTAAAAGTAATAGGAAAGTCACTGGAAGGCGTAGGCTCTAAAATAAAGGGTGATCTCATTGATGACAGAGATGGATGGATGAGCCATTTAATGACAGGAAGTAAAAGCAAGGATTACAATACAATTTCCCTCCAGAAACTTGCAGGTGACAAAGAGTCTCTGGCCAATCAGAATTCAGATCAGAAAAGATGGAGATGTTTCCCAAGGAATGTACATTGACATCCGTGTAAGATGCTTGCTGGAGGGAACTTTCCCAAAATTAGTCAATGCATAAAGACACCCAAGCAATCTAGAGCATTGCCATACAGGTTCCTAGAACAACATGGATACACCAAGGAGAATAGCAGTATTTGCGAAAGCTTCCTCCCTGAAGTTGCTAAGTGAGCACCCTGCAAGGGGTGTAGGATGTCGGGGTAGCTGCTAATCGGTGCACCTTCGCTCATGCACCTTTTCCACTTATGAGCTTTTCTACTGAGTAGGGCTGGTGTGTCTCAGCAGAGCACCTCTCCCCATATCAATAAGAATCTTTGATCAGGATCATTTAACAACAGATCATCATCTTCCTTTATACGGCATCTCACATTCATTTCTGGTTATATGCCTCATCCAAGTTCTCTCCATCGTTCTCTGTTGTTTGAATCTTGCATCCACGTAAGCCCTGCTCCTAGTTTTGTATTGTCCACACACAGATCAGTTAAGCTGAACACTCTTTATTTGAGGATGGGGGGAAATGTCTGTAAATGCAACACCTTTCGTGGAGGAGGGTGATTTCAGCTCGTTACCAAAAGGAGGCTTGAGTCAGGTCCGCCCATAGTTGAGCGGAGGGGAGTGAGGAAACTGGGATCCTCTTCCCATCAGCCCAATACCAGCCAAGATCCCTTCAGCCCCCCCCATAAAACACTTGAGGGGCTGCCCCCCCCCCAAAGTTGATGGGCATTGCCATTCAAGTAGTGCCACATATTGTGATCGATCATGGGGGCGGGGCTTACCTGCAGTCCCATATTCTAGTCTAGATGATACCTGCAGTTTCACACACTGTGAAAGGATAGCAGCCGCGGGCTCTCCTATACCGGTTGCTGCCTCGGCCCCCAACCAACCTCGCCATGGGATCAGATGGAGGATCCTCCATGCCTTCCCCTTGGGGTTTTGCTTCTGATCGTTGGGCGGTGGGAAGGAGCAGGATCCGCCCCCTCGGGAAACAACTCCCCACGCCCCGTGCTTTCCTTTCTTCTTTTTTGGAAGGGCACAAGGCGGCGGCGGCGGGGGGGAGTAGGGCCAAGGGACGCCATCTCCTCCTCCTCCTCGCTTTCTTCCGGCCTTACTGCTTCGCTTCTAGGCCTCTCCCTCCCCGGCCCTCGCTTAGCAACCCCTCCAGCCTCCCCCCAGGCTAGCGGCCTCCATTTCTGCCCGCCCCCCCTTTCGCGACCCCGGTGCTCACCTCACGCCCTCCGCAGCCTCCGCCGCCGCCCTCCATGCCAGGCCGCCAAGACCAGGCCCAGCCCCGCTTGCCTGACTAGAGCCGCTTCTTGGCGCCGCTTCCTGGTTACCGACGCGCACCTTCCCTGCCGCTCTGGCCCAGGAGGAGGAGCTGCTGCTGCTGCTGCAGGAGACGGAAGAGCGCCGGGCCTCCCTGGGCTGCCCCGGCCCCTGGCGGCGGGGAGGCAGCCTGCAAGGCTCCCGAGGGGGGAAAGCGCCTCTGCCTCCGCTCCCCAGTTGAATCGCACGCGAGTTAAAGCTACCTGAGAGGAGGCCCCATGCTCCTGGGCATACGGTTGTGTTGTGTGGGTAAGGGGGCCAGGGGTGGGTGGGTCGGTGTGTGCACATATAGACACGGAGGACAGAGCTCATGCAGTGACAAGTCCTCTTATTCCTGTTCTCATTTGCTCCTGGCTAACGCAGCTCAACGGCTGCAACGCTGCACGCCGTCTTTGGGAGGAGAAAGCCCCCTGGAGCAGCGGAGCAGCCTGAAAATAACAATATATTACTTATACCCCGCCCATCCGGCTGTGTTTCCCCTGCCTGAGTCTGTCTGTTAGCCGAGAAGCAAGAGCTTATCGTAGGGCAGCTCTTACTCCCTGAGTAAAACAAGGCAACTAGTTGGTCTGAAAGTTCCACTGAAAGCAACGGGGGGCTTCCGTTTTGACTAATTTGTTCCTTTTCATTTCGGCTGTAGAGCTGAAAGGGAAATTTTAAAACCTAGCTGCTAACGCTGCAATCCTGTGCCTAACCCTGCAGGGCGCAATGGGAATACCCTGCCTTCTTAGTAATCATGTATATAAGGAGGTCAGATCAGCATGCATGATTTTCTCTTCACAACAATCCTGTGAGGTTGATGAGCTGAGAAAGAAACTGAATGAGCATTAGAACCCAGGTCTTCCCGATCAAAATTCAACAGTCTTAATGGCTGAAGCCCCTCTAGCTTCTTTATGTATGGAACTGAGCTATAAAGATGTTCGCAAATGTTGTTCAGATCAAGATAAAACAGAGCAAGTATTCAAAAGGTGGGGAAGATGCACCTCGTAACATTGTAGTTTTATAAAATTAAGTTGATCACATTATTACCTATTTATTAAATTTGTATACCACCCTCCAAAGATCATAGGGCAGGTCACAACATAAAAATACAAATGGAAACATAAAATACATAATAAACAAAAGTAAAACAAACCAGTAATTATGGTGATCCATAATTTTTCCATTACAATTTCATAAGGTGATATTTTCTTAGCACCACCACCAATAGTAGGAATAGCCAACCTGATACCCTCCAATTAATGGACTACAACTCTCAGCAGCCCCAGCTACCAGTTACGGATGATGGGTGTTGTAGTATGACAACATCTCGTGAGCGCCACTGGCTGCACCTGCAATACTGTGAATAACGTATGGTACATTTGTGTGCTTCAAAGCATGCGGCATGAAAAATCTGGTTTCCACATCATTCCTTCTTTCATTTCATAAAAAGAACTCAAACTTCTGGGGAGAAATGATAACAGCATTCACCATGTAAGACCTTGTGTAAGATATCATGTAAGACCTTGTGTAAGATATTGCACAATGCCTTGCTTCTACCTATACAAGCAAACTATTGGATTTGCATTCTCTGTGCTTACATAAACTTACTGGCACTAAATTCAGAAAAGTCCATGCATACAGGGAAGAGGCCTTATGCTTGTGGAATCCAACCCAATATCCCAACACAAATCAGTTGAATGTGCTTGGGGCTTAGACTATTCATGAATCACAGGGAAGTGTATTGTATTTATAACAATAAAGATATTCTGTTCTGGAAAAGATAACATTTTGGAAGATCAAGGTGATCCTTTTATTAAAAACATGCTTGATTTCTACATAGCAGACCGATAGTTTCCCATCTGCCCATCTGTCAGTGGACTTGGTGAGCCACTGTTGTTATGCTGTGTACATACGTGAAAACTGTGCTTTCCTAATTACGAAAAATATATTCTTGCATGTGAAAACTGTGGTAAGCAAGCAAATAAAGCAACTTTAATTCCGTGGCACTATATCTGGGTGGGAGCAGATTTAAGAAGACAGGACAGAAGAAAACACTCCACTTTATTTTTACATTATGTCACTTAATGCATGAATGGGAAGAATACTCTGCCTTCTTTCTTCACCTTTGAATTTGATTTTGTGAAGACACTATTCCAGCACTGTTTTCACAGTAAATAGAAAGCATCAAAGCCATCTAGGGCCAGGCAAAAGAGTTTTGCATTTAACTATAGGGTAAAGCCTTGATGTCCATCACCAGCTAGTCTTCCTCACCCTAACATTAAGCTGTATACGCAAGAGGTGTCACTGGAAAGACTGCATAAGAAGTTTAGGCTAGGTGGTTCCTTGTCAAACAGGAACTTAGTTCTCAAAGTGGTAAACTATCTGCATCTAGTATGCACTTCTGAAAAAGGTAGGCAGAAGTGTTGCTATTCCCACTTAAAATATATGCATTCCCATAAAAGAGGGTGAACTTGTATGCAGAAAACATCTATGATAATTAGTGAGGGCAGTATTCCAACACATTTCTAGAATGCGATTTTTATCACAATTAACAGAACTGATAAGAGACCTTCTACCAACCCAGCTGTCATTTTTAGAATCATGTCCCTTTGTTATCCAGTATGCATTTAGAGCTTAACTACTGCTCCAGAATCTCTGATGTAGTTACAATAAACCTATCCGAAGACCAGATATCAGATGATAATGTAACTGGAGCTCTGCTCATTTATAGCTGACCTGAACAATCAAACTCAGATTGAAGCTATCAAGAATCACCACTGTTCAAACCACAGGGGAAAGAACAGAAGTTTTAAAGGGCCAGTCATTTGCCTGTGGGTTGTGCCCCAGAGTGAAGTGACATTGTAGATTCAGTTACAACCAGAAGCATGTTCACACGCAAATGTTCCAAGTGTAGATGGAAGCAGGGATGTGCATTCAATCCCCCCCCCCAGCATCCTTGTGGCCAGCACACAAGCAAACCTTGTCCCCAAAGTTCTCACGAGCATCTTGCCCACCACCCCATTCTGGACCTCCCTTGTGTTGCCCAATGGAAGTCTGCAGGTGGCTTCTACTTCTGTGAAGTTGAACATGTGAAGTTGAGAAGAAACATCTTCCATCATGTGCAGTTAGGCACTTTCAAGCAGATGCAAGACCTTCCTCACACAACATGAGGACAGGTAGGACAGGCAGGGAAAAGATCCATGAGGACACTGGTGGCAGGGCTTGTGTGTGTATTCCTGTCCCTGTACACACTTTGGAATCTCTGTGTGTCCGAGCTATCAGTCTGAATGCACCTCAAGATTCAACTTTTTAATCTGAAGCTTTGTTGGTCAAGGACAGGGAACTTTTAAAAAACAAAACAAAATCCACACCTTTAAAAAAGTTAGATCATTTTAGTGGCACAATGACCTTAACAGATATTAGAATCGTGTCTCATCAGGTGCGCTAAAAAGGTGCTGCTTTTTAGATCCTCAAAACTTGCTGCACTGAAAAGATAACTGTTCATAAACCTTTTGAAGTCGAGAAATCGAGCATTTAAAAGAGCCCAGGAATTAGCCGGTAAGGTACTGCGTCAGTATACTTCTTCCAATCGTTGCCATACTTGCTGGAGCATCGGTGTTCATCCCGGATGCAACGGTGAACCAGAAGAATGGTCATATAAATTATGTAGAAGTAAGGCAGAATGTGTTCAAAACCACAACATAGACAGTATGCCAGGGAGCCCATCAAGTCGCCTGTATAGTTAAAATGGCGTGCCACTCCCCAGAAGCCGGATGTCAACAACTTGCTGTGGTGTTTGATCCCATCCGCTGACGTATAGGAGCATTCAATGTACTTGGGCTTCCTGCCCCAGATTTTACAGTTGCCATCTGTGCGACGAAAGAGATCTTTCTGATGATTGGTCATTCTAAAGATATAGTAGCCCACTAAACCAAATAGTAGAATCCCAATTGCACTGCTTGTAGCCAGATGGACAGGGTGGTAGACCAAGTATAATCCCTAAAGAAGGAGAGAGAAACATACCCCATAAGCAAACGTTTATACAGAATTGGTACCTGTCTGCTTTCGTTAGAGGAGCCCATACTAGAGAATGAAGCTGTTGCCTGCCCGGGGGGGAGGGGGGGCTGCTCTTATGATGAATACTCTATAACACAGATAGATAAGCCACAGATGACCCTGCAGTCACTCGCTTTGTTATAATGAGAGCCAATATGGTGTAGTGTTCAGACTGCTGGATGAGGACTGGGGAGATCTGGGTTCAAATCTTCACTCAGTCATCAACTCTCTGGGTGAGTTTGGATCAATCACTACCTCTCAGCAAAATCTTCCTCACAGGGTTGCTGCAAGGATAAAATGGGGTGGAAGGAGACCACTTGTATCCTGCTTCTTAGGGGGAAAAAAGGGGCAGGATATAAATGTATTTGGTTTGGGATGTCAGGAGCCACAGCATGTGTCCAAAGCAGTCAATAAAATTGAACAGGACCTTTACTGTAGCAGCTAATAATGCCACTGTTGTTACTACTGTTTCTAGGGATTAATGAATTTCACATCATGAACATATGAAAATACCTGCAGTGTATAGAGATAAGGAAGCCAAACAGTGTCTCCCCAGCCCAGGTACCATCCAAAATGATCGTGACTGATGTCCATTGTTTTCAAATACCAGGCTTCATTCCAGAAAAAATCCAAAACATATATACCCTGAAAAAGAACACAACAGAGATCACTAGGGCTAGCCATAGATGGACAACTGTGAAATCCTTCCTTGAAAATTTAAATGCTTAAATCGCTAGATTTTGGCAGTATAGTCACATCAGGCTTCTTTTGATTGCTTCTGCTGAGCCTCATCTTACAAAGTGGATGTAGCCTACCTTGATTTCAGCAAGGCATTTGACAAGGTGCCCCATGATATTCTTGTAAAGAAGCTGGTAAAATGCGGTCTTGACTATGCTACCACTCAGTGGATTTGTAACTGGCTGACTGACCGAACCCAAAGGGTGCTCATCAATGGTTCCTCTTCATCCTGGAGAAGAGTGACTAGTGGGTGCCACAGGGTTCTGTCTTGGGCCCGGTCTTATTCAACATCTTTATCAACGACTTGGATGATGGACTCAAGGGCATCCTGATCAAATTTGCAGATGACACCAAACTGGGAGGGGTGGCTAACACCCCAGAGGACAGGATCACACTTCAAAACGACCTTGACAGATTAGAGAACTGGGCCAAAACAAACAAGATGAATTTTAACAGGGAGAAATGTAAAGTATTGCACTTGGGCAAAAAAATGAGAGGCACAAATACAAGATGGGGGGCACCTGGCTTGAGAGCAGTACATGTGAAAAGGATCTAGGAGTCTTGGTTGACCACAAACTTGACATGAGCCAACAGTGTGACGCGGCAGCTAAAAAAGCCAATGCAATTCTGGGCTGCATCAATAGGAGTATAGCATCTAGATCAAGGGAAGTAATAGTGCCACTGTATTCTGCTCTGGTCAGACCTCACCTGGAGTACTGTGTCCAGTTCTGGGCACCACAGTTCAAGAAGGACACTGACAAACTGGAACGTGTCCAGAGGAGGGCAACCAAAATGGTCAAAGGCCTGGAAACGATGCCTTATGAGGAACGGCTAAGGGAGCTGGGCATGTTTAGCCTGGAGAAGAGGGGGTTAAGGGGTGATATGATAGCCATGTTCAAATCTCTAAAAGGATGTCACATAGAGGAGGGAGAAAGGTTGTTTTCTGCTGCTCCAGAGAAGCGGACACGGAGCAATGGATCCAAACTACAAGAAAGAAGATTCCACCTAAACATTAGGAAGAACTTCCTGACAGTAAGAGCTGTTCGACAGTGGAATTTGCTGCCAAGGAGTGTGGTGGAGTCTCCTTCTTTGGAGGTCTTTAAGCAGAGGCTTGACAACCATATGTCAGGAGTGCTCTGATGGTGTTTCCTGCTTAGCAGGGGGTTGGACTCGATGGCCCTTGTGGTCTCTTCCAGCTCTATGATTCTATGATTCTATTCTATGATTCTAAATTTTCTCTTATTTGAGATGGGATAAAAGTTTTTGACAAAAATGCAGTTCTAGGCACTCTACACTTCAGAGAATCAAACTTCCAATATTTGAAAGTATAGCTAGCCCCTAAACTTGATGGGCACACACATGCACACTTATGTGAGCCATAATCCTTTACCACACTAAGATCAGAACTCATTAACTTATACTGATTATGGGCTACAAGTTTTAGCCTGAAGGCACATGAGGTCACCACTTTGCTGAAGTAAAGCAGATCTTGTTCTGTTCAGCACCTGGATGAGTGACTGGGAATCACATGTACGCTACCTTGAGTTCCATGATGGAAGAAAGTTGGGATATAAATGTGAGCAGGAGCAAGGGGATGAAGCTAGATATATGGAGCACCTATTAGATCCTAAATTCCATCAGTTTATATATTCAGAGCATTAACATTCACTTGGCATTTAACAAGGTCTTGGCTTACCTGGAGGACATTGACAAGTATCATTGAGTTAGTTACTTGTCCGTATAATTCTTGTTGTTTCGCTGCATAAGAGAGGTTGATCAGAGTCCATGCTACAATGCCTGGGCGGCCATTGAAGAACAGTTTGAAATCAAACCACTTTCCTAAACGAGGATTAAATTCAATCCCCATCATGAAGTCGTAGAAGAAGTTACCAGTGAATTTGCTAAAATTGTTTAAAACAAAAACAAAAAATTGAAAAGATTAATCTAAAATCAATTTCAAAACATGATATAGAGAAAATTCTTTTAAAAGGCACATAATTACAGTGGTAAAAGGTAAAGGTAAAGAGGCCCCTGACCATTAGGTCCAGTCATGACTGACTCTGGGGTTGCGGCGCTCATCTCGCTTTATTGGCCAAGGGAGCCGGCGTACAGCTTCTGAGTCATGTGGCCAGCATGACTAAGCAGCTTCTGGCAAACCAGAGCAGCGCACGGAAACGCCGTTAACCTTCCCGCCAGAGTGGTACCTTTTAATCTACTTGCACTTTGATGTGCTTTCGAACTGCTAGGTTGGCAGGAGCAGGGACCGAGCAACGGGCGCTCACCCCGTCACAAGGATTCGAACCGCGGCCTTCTGATCGGCAAGTCCTAGGCTCTGTGGATCAACCCACAGCGCCACCTGCGTCCCTTAATTACAGTGGTACCTCACGTTAAGTACTTAAATCGTTCCGGAGGTCCATTCTTAACCTGAAACTGTTCTTAACCTGAAGCACTACTTTAGCTAATGGGGCCTCCCGCTGCCACCGGAGCACGATTTCTGTTCTCATCCTGAAGCAAAGTTCTTAACCCGAGGTACTAATTCTGGGTTAGCGGAGTCTGTAACCTGAAGCGTATGTAACCCGAGGTACCACTGTACTTACTGACTAGTCTAATGAGTTTACATGGTTGTATGCTATAACGGACAAATATTAGATTCCTGCATCTAGGATGTCAAGTGGGAAAGCAAAAGTAGGGTGCTACTGGATTGATTTGTTTTATTTATCAGAATGAAAAATGCTCATCAAATGTGCAAACACCATAGATGTAGTAATATATGCAATGCCAACATACCAATCTTCTGCATTACTGGGGAAATAGTAGGCTTTTATCATTACAAATATGGAAACGGCATAGCCCAGGATATTTGCACACCACAAGAGAGGAATCCAGTTGTCAAAAATGATGGTGGGCGAGAACCAGTGGAAGTGGTAAGCATTTGCAAACCAGAGTATGTGCGTGATAAGCCAGGCTTGAAGTCCATTGACCTCATATTTGAGTACTGCGCCTGAAAGGGAAGAGAGTTGCATGGTCCAGTTTAGTGATGGCACTTGACAAAGAGGTAGGGAAGTCAGTGTGATATCCAGTGGTTGTGAACTTTGCAGTTCTGTACCCTGTTTTCATAAAGTGATGCAAGTCTTCATAGCATAGAGTTTTGGAGTGGGGAGGAACCAGCTCATCCTACCCAGTCTATTTTTATGAATCTGCTTTGAATGTAGTGGAACATTTTAAAAATCACCCACTATTCCAACCTGTTCCAATAGTACAACATGGGCAACTGTGTACCCAGATGTATTTGTAGACTGCCCTTTCGCAAGAGTTCTCAGAATGGTGAACACTTGACAATAAAATGCTAAACAAAGCATCAGCCATAAAACCTATTTTCTGTAAAATTGAGTATCAACTACTATTAGCCAGGATAGCCAAATGGAACCTCCATGTTTAACAAACACATACAGAAACAGGAATCCTGTGTTTCTCATGTCCTGCTTGTGAACTTCCTGGAAGCATGTGTCTGGCTGTTTTTGCAAACAGGATGCTGGATTGGATATATCCAGCAGAGATGTTCTTAGGTTACATTCCTTGTCTGTGATATGCATTGGTTTAGTTCTCAATCCTTAATTTGACATTAGGATGCTCTCAGAAATTCAGCCAATATTAGGATGACCTTGATGAAGAGAAAACGTTTCCCAAGTGATGGATGTCTTGTTAGCTTTGTGGAATGCTACTTGCATTTTTACTGGGGACCTTGTAATTGAGCTTTTGACACAGACCTCAAACCCACAGGCCGAACGCGGTCCTCTGGTCTCTGCATCTGCCCCTTGGGACACCCTAGACCACAATCCTTCCTGTCTGGAGCATGCCTTTGAACTATGATACCGCCTCTTGCTTGCCTGGATGTAGGATGTATACAAACAGAGGGTGTGTTTGTGTAGCAACATCACATTTTTGTGTGGTTGGAATGTAGCCTGCCGCACAAAGGTAAGCGACACCTATTGCTCCAACCACATTTTGCCTAGGACCCCACCCACGTTTTGCTTCTGGCCCTACCCATCACTGGCATGTGGCCTCTTGAAGGTTGCCCTTGAGGTAATGTAGACCTTGGGCTCCCTGCCTCTGCTTTAGCACACTTCATAGATTTTCTGCTGTCAAGCTTCCTGGGATCAGTTGGCATTGAGCTGGAGGCATGTTGCATGTGAATCACTTTTGCAGAGTCAAAAGGGTTTCTACAGTACAATGCAGCATGCCTAAGCATGTATACACTTCATTGTAGAATTTTATTTATTTATTTATTGCATTCATAGCCCAACTTTCCTGCAAGGAGCTCAAGGTGATAGACATGGTTCTTTGCCTCCCCCCTTTATCCTCACAACAACTCTAACCACTACCCCATACTGACTTCATACTGAGGGGCAAAATCTAAGCAGCTGAAAGACACAGATCCCACATTCTAAGAATTCCTTTGGGGTTTAGTTGTAAACAATGCCTTTTCTCCTGCATCACAAAAGCAACACGCTTATAGGCTTGAGTTTGCCTTTTTAGGTCTCTGCACATGGAACGACAAGAGTAGCCCATGCCATCGTTGTTCCCTGACCTGTATTTCTTGGTGATGCTAAAAAGCCTTGTGAAGAAAAAGTGTTGGCAAAAATGAGCTTACCAGCAGGTGTGACAGCCCCTTCTTGCACTCCTCCTCGAAAATAAGGAAGAAATTTGTGACAAAAGTCAGGAAGCATGTACAAAAATACCTGTAACAAAAATTAATTTGTGAGAAGCATCTTAGAATCAAAGAATTATAGAGTCAGAAGGGACCCTGAGGGTCATCTAGTCAACCCCCCTACAATGCAGGAATCTTCATTATAAAAATGTTAAATGATTTCTGAACTGTCAGGTAGTTATGAAGGATGGGTAATTTTGGCTCATGTTCTCAATGCTCTTATTTCTGACAGTTGTGTTTTTTCTTCTAAATCCCACCTTGATAATTTCTACTCCCTGCAGTTTCAGGCATTATTCTACGTTATCGACATTTCTTCTCCCTGTGTAAATTCTTATGTACCTACAGTCTTTCTAATGACTCAGTAATTGTATTTGGTGTGTGTATGTATGTAGAACATGAGTGGGAGGACAGTACTGGAAACAGCAATACAAATGAAAACGGGTCAGCAGTAAAATTATCACACACAGGTCCAGAAAGCCAGGGGTCTTAACAGCTGATGCAAATCGGGTGGTGACAGAATGCTGAATCCCAGAGTCTTGGGTTGTTGCCAATATCATTCACAGGATAATAATGGACAGTCTATATTCCCTAGTTTCATGTGTGAGCTTTGATTCTACCAATAAAATACTGTTTTGTAATCAGAAAAACTCAGTTTTGATCACATACCTGAGACTGCCTTACTTATGCCCTATTGGATTCTAACAGAGAAGCCTCAAGGCACATACCTGGAAGATTACCCAAGAAGCATAGAGGGTCGCAGCTTTCCAAGTCAATGGTGGTGTCTTGTGCCAGATATCCAAGAGACTGGCTTTCCCCGTCACCAAGTCAATGGCTGGCTTAGTTAGAGAACAACTGTACTGATCACATGACATTATGAAATAATATACAATGAAGGGTGCAAATAGGAGTAGAAAGATGACACACGCCAAGGAAAACCAGTCGACTTTCCTGAAACGTAAGAGAAACAAGAAACCGAATAGTTGCAAGATGCTGCTGCTTTGATTATGGCCTGATTTAGACACAGAGATAAATAATTTGTTTATTGTGCAGTGCTCGGGGTCTCAAGGATGACAGTAGAATTTGCAAAACCAGCCAACCTACACACACCCATATCAACTTATTTCACCTAGGCTCACTTCCAGCATTTGCATCCTCTGAAAAGCCATAGCAAGGGACAAATTTCAAGGAGGTAAGTTGACATATTTGGGGGAAGGTTCAGCATCCCGCATCTATTTTCTCTTTACTTCTAGAAATGGGCCTGCTCCCACCATATTTATTTTGGCATTGATCCCAGATCTGCGACTCCAAATAACCCTACTAGGGGTACCTTTCTGTTTCTTGTTCATAAACATCTGCATATTACTGTTAGAATATTCCGTTCCACCTTAAGGGACAGGCATGAGACTGTTGTGTGTCACATGTCTGTTTACAGTCCAGCACAGCTTGCTGGGAACTTCCGTTTGTGTATAGCTTTTGTTTTGCTGTCTTGCTTTGGACATGAAGGGGAGAAGACATGTTTTCCTTTCGTCCTGATGTATGCTGGAAAAACTGCTTGTAAATATGCTCAACACAGCCTCTCCATGCCACTTCTGTTGTGCAGCGTTTTACTCTGCTGAGTGTGTGTGCCCAGCTTCTGAAGGCTTTTGAAGCTAGGGTCGCAGTTTCATGCTGATCCAAGGACTGGAGATCGCCCGGCACACTGGCTGGTGGGCTGGGGCCAGCTGGGGGCCTGCCAATTGCCCCCAATTCCTTGGCTATATCCCAACAATTAACCCATGTAATCAATGAACCTAACTTAGCACAAGACACCTCCCTGACCTTCCTGCTCGGGATCCAACTCATATAATAGATAACCCCTCTAACACGGGCCTAGGTAACCTAAGGCCACATGCAGCCCTCAGTGTAAGGTCTGCAAGCAATGAGTTCAGGCCTCTGGAAAGAGGAATCTGCTTCTCTCCCCACAACCCTTCTGCATGAGGAGAAAGAGAGAGATGGGGGTGTCCCTGCTCTGCCCTCCCATTCTGGCCCTGGTCACTACTGGCATATTAATTACCCCCCCGAGCAATTATCCCTGAGGGAATGTGCCCCCCACATACAAAAAGGTTGCCCATCCATGTTCTAAAAACTTCCAGTACAGGAAGATCAATAATCTGTTGAATGCCTTAATCATGAGGATTGCATTGATACATAAAAATCCAACACTGCCTCAAGTGTGGCAACTTCTGAAAATTTTAATTGTATTCTCAGCTTCCAGACTATCTCAAACTATACCAGTTAGAGAGGATGTCTCCCAACAGGTTTCCAAAAGAGGCTTTTGAGTCAATTTCTTGCTTTCTTTGGTACACAGATAACTTTTGATACACATAAAACAATGCATCTAAAAGGAAATGAAGACATTAATCTGAAGTGGAGCCGTAATTTGCTCTGGAGAATGGGTTGGACCTACATCACCTCTAAAACACAGCCTTCCAGCCTTATGATCTGACACTTCTTCATGTTGCAGTACTGGAAGCAATTTTTATATAGCACCTAAAACTATGTTAGGGCAGGATTCTCTTACCAGGCCCTCCCCCATTGTCCTTGAGAGGTTCCAGCTCCATTCATTACGGATTTACTTTTTCCTCCTTCAGAAAACTGTGTTTGCCGACAGGCAGCCATTGGAACCTACAGGGAGAGACGATAGGACATTCATAAACTGTTGAGTGCAAAACAATAACACACCCCTGCCCGAAATTCTGTGACTTGCACTAACTTCTTCTGCTTGACTATGGCAAATCAGAGTTTGCTATCTTATTTGCAGGGGGAAATAATAGTTAGCATTTGTCTACAAAGCATGAATTTCATGTTATATCAATACAACATAAATAAGCCACCAGAGTTCCCAAGCATTGGATTTTTTTGCAGGCCTTTTCCTGGCACTTCCCACAACATTAGGTGCTGGCAATCTTAAAGCTGGGGTGGGGTGGGTCTCCCAAAGGCTAGCAAAGTCCTTTGCAAATCTCCTGCTCCTTCTTTAAAATCACAGCAAGTTCGGGCTAAAGACTTCTCTCCCCCTTCAGCCGGATCTCACTCCAGAGTGAAAGGGGTTTTGACAGGTGGGGGCCCCCTGATCAGGATCTGGTCCATGGAGCCTAACAAGTTCTGCACCCCTGGGCTAGGCTCTCCTCATGCCCATATGGAATTTCTTAAGAGACACGTCTATGAGACTATCCTACACACACTGCCATGTTTAGGATTCAGAGAAGGCTGAGTAGAGTTCTGCTTGCACGACAGGCCTTCCCCACATACTGAAGCCCTCAGAACTCCCTGAAAATCTCAAACATTGTGCAGGAGGGGATGTGGAGAGCTGTGGAGGGTGGGGGAGAGGAACTGGCAAAATTTGGCCAAAGAGACCAGAAGAACACAGCAGCAAGCTGCAGGGGATCTCTCAGACGAGACACAGCTTCCTGCATTTGTATGTGTGCTAGAGATCATAAACGTGGAACCAAAATGGATAGGATCAGACCCAAGCAGCAGCCTGGAGAGTCCCTGCAGTACTTCTGCCACTAATCATTTTGGAAGCCCTGGGCCTAGCCCACAGCTGTTTTGCAGAGGCCTACTATATCCACTCCAGTTGGAGAACAGCCTTTACCAAAGATGTCATGGGCTTTAAAGACACTCAAACTCAGGATGCAAGGGAGAAACGTGCTAAGAGGAAGGCACGCTTGGCAAATCCACACTGTGATCGACTCCCGTCCGGAAACCAATGTCCCCACTGGGGAAGGATGTGTGGATCCAGAATTGGTCTCCACAGTCACTTACAGATTAATTGTTAAAACCGTGTTTATGGAAGACAATCTTACTCGGCTACGAGTGATTGCCAAAGAAGAAGACGACGACTACATCCACTGCTGTCATTCCAAACAGCTTTTACAATACTCAGGATTAGGCCACTATGTTTGCATTGTTCTGGCTCACTGCTGCATCACACAGTTTTGACAGCTACAAAATGCAAGGCTCCCTTTGCCTTTAACAAAATCAGTGACCTTTTAACAAAAAGGTCCTCGCATACAAATGCAGAAAACAAAGCTCTAAAGTACAGATAAACAAGCCCAAGCTTGTACTACACTGTACCATTGTATACTACATATTTCCAAGTCTGACATTTAATGGTTTATTGAGGCTGTCATTGCTAAACAAACCTTAACCTGCCCAACACAATATAGTCCCAAGCAGTGCTATTTTTCTAGAAAAAGAGATGCTGGAGCTCACCATGAACAATTCTGCAGTCTTTGCTCTTAAAAAAGACTTCCACATATAAAAGTGAAAAAACTAGGTTTCCACCAGTGTGGTACAGTGATTGGAGTGTCAGACTATGACCTGGGAGACCAGGGTTCGAATCTCCACTCAGCCAAGACACTCACTGGGTGATCTTGAGCAAGTCACCGCCTCTCAGCCTCACAGGATTGTGGTGAATAAAGGGGGGGGGGACCATGTACACCACTTTGACTATCTTGGAGGAAAAGATGGGATATGAATGCAAATAATAACAATAAATTTACCTAAGCAAGCTCCAAGGAAATAAAAGTACCCTACAGTTTCCCACTAGGCCAATTGCTACAACCCAAAATGGATTATGCACACATAACAGGCTTCCATCTTCAAATCAAGTCTTCCTCTATCTGTGGCTTGTTGGCTACAGCTGATAGTAGTTAAAGAAGGAAAATTTCAAATAAAATAATGGTGCACACAGGTTTGTAGACATTTTTTGTCTTTACTTCTTCTTTTCTTTATGTATTTCTTAAGCCAAAGCAAGACAACAGCTTATGAATTAAAAGTTGACCCAACTGACCAAAAACATCCTTACAAAAAGAGGTCTTAATGCCAAAACTGAATGCAGTTAATAACGAGTGGTACAAAAAAAGCTTCCTGAAAGGTGCATAAAAATGAAAAGAAAAAAAAAAGACCTTAAAACCTCCATCTTATAACAAACTGTTTTCAGGTGAATTTTTAAATACTGAATTAAACCTTCTCTCGTGTTTTTTTCCTCATGTATGAAGAGTTTAGACTTTAGTATCTTAAATTATCTAGGACTGCTAACTTCAAGAGGGTAACTTTATTACCCCCTTTATTGGCGAACAATGAACTTCTCTCCCAAAGGCCACCTTTTCACAATTATTTTGGATCTCATTGATTGGACTCCTGTGCATATATTACTTGCGACGTCATTGAGGTGATCAGCTTCACTCTAAACTACTGTTTTGAGATCAGGTGGTCTCCGAGCAAAATGAACCCAGCCCGGTCATTTTTAAAATAATATAGGATAGGTGATGTGGTGCTAGTCTTCCCAGGTTCCAAAGCTTCAGTTAGCACAGGCACAACATTACCTTGCTGGGATGGCACACAGTGTGTTAAACCAGGGCTCCAAAATCTGCACTGGCTCCCAATTGTTTACAGGGAAGATTAAGGTGTTGGGTTTTAATCTACAAAACTCTTTATAATTAAGAATCAACACACCTCTAAAACCACACCCTTTATTCTGAAACATCCAGCACCATCATAAACTGAGTGTGTTCTTAATATCATCTATGTTGTATGTTTTGAACAGAAAGGCATTCAGTATGCTCTTCCCACGAAGGTCTGTCAAAACCTGGCTCTGAAAGCTGTCTAACAGGTAGGAAACCTCCAAGTCCATCTAGCACTTCCCAGACCTTACTCATGAACACAGAGGGATTTTGCCTGACTAGAATGTGCTCTTCAACAACGATAATCCCTCTTGCTTGCCTGGATGAAGAAATACCTGTTTGTGAATGTGTAAACGCGCCAGTTTTTGTACGGCTGGAATGAGTCACTGTAAAAAGTAGGAGACACATCTGTTGCTCTTGCCCTGTTTCATCTCTGGATTCATCTGACACAAGCCTCAGGCTAAAAAAGGTTCCCATGCCTACTATAAAACTTTCAGTTGCGAGAGATAATAGAATAATAATTTATTATTTACATGCTCCCCATCTGACTGGGCTGCCCCAGAATCAGGGAATCTTCATTATAACTGGGATATATAAGATCAATATATAAGGTTATATTATATACAGGGTTATGTAAGTTCCAGCCCAAGGGAAGGACGTGAGTCAAAAATTAAAAAATGGCCCTCTTCCATAACACCTTCAAAAAGTGTCTGGTTGTTTTTATTTATTAAATAAATATATTATCTAATTAATATAAACATTACATGTGCTATATGAACTCCAAATGATAATGCAAATATCAGCAAAGAATACCATACAATGTAACACATCCTGTTATAGAAACCTTTCAAGATTCCTACTGTATCTTAATACAAAACCAATCTAATATTCTTAAATAAATATATGAATTATCTCAAAAAATCTAATTATTGAAAGGGATGGGACACTTCAGTGTGATAATGAACTAACATTATTTCCCCTCCATTTTTGTTTGAGAAGGCCAACATCCCATCTAGTCTAGCATCTGGTTCTTACAGTGGCTGAACAGTGGCCTATAGGAAACCAGCAAGCAGGTTTGGGCACAAGAACCCTCTCTCCTCCTGTGGTTTCCAGTACAGTACACTGGTACCTCGGGTTAAGAACTTAATTCGTTCTGGAGGTCCATTCTTAATCTGAAACTGTTCTTAACCTGAAGTACCACTTTAGCTAATGGGGCCTCCCGCTGCCGCCACTGCACGATTTCTGTTCTTATCCTGAAGCAAAGTTCTTAACCTGAGGTACTATTTCTGGGTTAGTGGAGTCTGTAACCTGAAGCATCTGTAACCTGAGGTACCACTGTACAGTGGGACCTCAGTTTTCGAACGTAATCTGTTCCGGAAGTCTGTTCCAACTTCCGAAATATTCGAAAACTGAAGATCAAAGGACTGTCTGCAAAGTGAATGGAGAAAATTGTGAAATGCGCCTCGGAAGCCATTCGACTTCCGAGGTGTGTTCAAAAATGGAAGCATTCACTTCCAGGTTTTCGGCGTTCAGCTTCCAAAACGTTCGGCAGCCGAGATGTTTGAAAACTGAGGTTGCATTGTACTTTGTTTCTTTCTGTCTGCAGTAGCTGTTCTGAAATGCAAGGGCAACGGTGCCTTATGCATGTATTTAATAAAATTTATACACTGCTTGACTGTAAAAACAAAACTCCATCAAAGTTCTCCATTTCATAGAATCATAGAGTTAGAAGGGACCCTGAGGATCAACTAGTCCAACCACCTGCACTGCAGAATATGCAGCTGGAACTGAACCTGCAACCTTGATGTTCAGGAGCACCACACCCTAACCAACTGAGCTATCTAGTGTGACCCATTTAAACAAGTCTAAAAATATAAGCAACAGTGCGTGCTCTTCACTTCCTCTTTCTTTGTCCATTTTTTTAGGTTACAAAACAAATGATATAAGATCAAACATGGAAATGCATGTTTCCGCTTGGTACATTATTTACAGAGTAGAAACAACCCTGTCCAGATAGTTATGTTTTGTAAACTGCCAAACTAATTATTAGTCAGCAAAGTAGTTGTGAAATATTAAAACCTTATGACTAATAAATATTTAGCCTCTACATAGTGTTTAGCAGTGTTTGAAGTCAAGAGAGTGACTTGCACGAAACTACCCCAAATAATTCATTGCTATAGCAAATACAGGGACTTTCTGGCTCACAGCTGACTGCTACTAGTTTGAGGTCTGCTTCAACAATATTTGCACACATTTTCAATGTCAGCTTCCTCTAGTCTTGCTCTGGAGTCATTCTACACATTTTACAGAATAAAGTATTAGAATTCTGGTTGAATTCTGTATCACTTCAGATACAGGTACTTGTCCATGCTCTAGATCAGAGGGGGCTCAATCTGGGTGTGAGGCAATTTCCTTCAAACCATGTTCAGTCACTGACATCACTCCTGATGCTGATTGGTGGGCAGGAGTGAAATCCTGCATTGGCTGCATATTCCTGCAATCTTCCCACCGGGGGCACAAGGCAAAGCAGCAGGATTGAACTCCCTGCTAATTCCAAATCGTCTAGCGTCCGCCTCGTCGAGTGCCCATTCCATCAAATGTCTGTGGCAAACCCAGAAGTACCGGAATGGGTTACTTCCGGGTTTGGCACGCGTGCGCAGACACGGCGCTTTGTCCAGCGTCCTTTTCTGCCAGCGACCAGGGCTTCGGAGCGAATCCTGGTTGCAAAACAAGGTACTTCTGTAATAGAGGGTGTAAGCAAGGATGTATACTGGCACCCTTCCTATTTAATTACTATATAAATACAGCGGTACCTCGGGTTACACATGCTTCAGGTTACAGACATTTCAGGTTACAGACTCCACTAACCCAGAAATAGTACCTCGGGTTAAGAACTTTGCTTCAGGATGAGAACAGAAATCGGGCAGCAGTGGCGCGGTGGCAGCGGGAGGCCCTCTTAGCTAAAGTGGTGCTTCAGGTTAAGAACAGTTTCAGGTTAAGAACGGACCTCCAGAACGAATTAAGTTCTTAACCCGAGGTACCACTGTAAAGATAAAGAAGCTAATGCACTGTGCTGGAAAGAACATTACCAGCATCTCCTTAACTGCAACTCCCCCGTAGCTGCTGAGGTCCTCTCACAAATTCCGCAAAAACAAATTAGAGATGAGCTTGCAGTATCTCCAAATCTGGGTAAGTTGTGTACAGCTGTTAATCAAATGAAAAACAACAAAGCCACCGCACCTGATGGGATACCTGCCTGAAGTCTTCAAAGTGGGTGGAAATGAACTTGCACAACTTCACAAGCTCATGAAAAAAATCTGGGAGAGGAGATCCCAGCAGACTTAAGGGACGCCAAAATAATCAATCTCTTAAAAAAAGGTGACAGAACAGATTGCGCAAACTGTCAAGGCATCTCTTTATTAGCTACGGCTGACAAAATTTTTGTAAGGATCTTGGCAAACCGTCTCTTAACAATATCTGAGGTGACCCTTCCTAAATCCCAAAATGGTTTTTGACCCTCTAGGGGGACAGTGGACATGATTTTCACCTCTCAATAGCTTCAAGAAAAATGCAGAGAGCAAAACCAGCCTTTTTATATGGCTTTTATTCACCTGACTAAGACCTTCGAAACTGTAAATCGTAATGCCCTGTGGAATAACCTTTTGAAAATCAGCTGCGCAGATAAATTTGTGAACATGCTTCGGTTCCTCCATGATAATATGATGGCCACAATTGCAGATAACAATGGCTCTCAAAATGAACCATTCACATTGAGATCAGGTGTTAAACAGGGTTGCATTATTGCACCAACTCTATTCATTATTTTCATTGCCATGATCCTACACTTTGTCAAAGGGAAACTCCCCTCGGGAGTAGAAAACATATATTAAACAGATGGAAAGCTCTTTTATCTGAGCAGGCTGAAAGCAAAGAGTAAGGTTACTGTACCTTTCATCCTAGAGCTTTAGTATGCTGATGACAACGTAGTGTGTGCACACTCAGAAGATGACCTCCCAACCATCCTAAATATGTTCGCAGAAGCTTACGAAAAGTTTGGCCTATCACTCAACATCCAAAAAACCAAAGTACTGCTCCAAAAAGCACAAAACAACCCCTCTGCAGCACCACAAATCCAACTCAATGGTGTAACGTTGGAAAATGTTGATCACTTTTCCTGCCTGGGCAGTAATCTTTCCATAAGGGTCAACACTGATGCCAAAATCCAGCATTGCCTGAGCTCTGTGAGTGCAGCTTTCTCCCGATGTGCAGAGTGTTTGAGTACCAGGACATTCGCAGGGAAACCAAAATGCTTTTTTACAAAGCTATTGTACTACCAACCTTACTGTATGCTTGTGAAATGTGGACCATTTATAAACGCCATCTCCAACTCCTTGAAAGATTCCATCAACGGTGTCTTTGAAATTTTTTACATATCACTTGGGAATACAGGCAAACTAATGCCAGTGTCCTGGAAAGATCACCAGTGTCGAAGCAATGATTCTTCAACATCAGCTTCATTGGACTGGTCATGTTGTGCAGATGCCTGATTATGGTCTTCCAAAGCAACTACTCTATTCCGAACTTAAGAATGGAAAGCATAATGCTGGTGGTCAACAAAAGAGGCTTAAAGACTCTCTCAAGGCAAATATAAAAAAATGTAGTATAAACACCGACAATTGGGAAACACTGGCCTGTGAGCGCTCCAATTGAAGAACAGCCTTTACCAAAGGTGTCATGGGCTTTGAAGATGCTCAAACTCAGAACGAAAGGGAGAAACGCGCTAAGAGGAGGCACACTTGGCAAACCCTTACCATGATCAACTCCTGCCCAGAAACCTATGTCCCCACTGTGGAAGGACATGTGGATCCAGAATTGGCCTCCACAGTCACCTAAGGACTCATTGTTAAAACTGTGTTTATGGAAGACAATCTTACTCAACTACAAGTGATCGCCAAAGAAGAAGAATCACAATTAACAGAGGTGTCAAGCAAGGATGTATACTGGCACCCTTCCTATTTAATTACTATATAAATAATTTAATCCCTGATAATGGAATCCTCCTCCTTTTCTGCCCCCACCCTTGAGAATCGTAAATTGTCAATTCTGCTCTACACCAATGATTTAGTTTTGTTATCTTGGAATAAAATTGGACTTAGGAGGGTGCTGGTTAAATTGGACAGCTGTGTAAAAACGAACATCTAAAAATCAACTATGATAAAACCAAGGTCACTGTATTTGGGAAGAGGACTACCAAGTCCAGGTGGACTCTAGATTGTTGCACCCTTGAGCAAGTACCCAGATTTAAATATCTAGGATTACTTATTGATGGAAAGTCATAATGGAAACACAATCTGGAAGCAATTAAGCTAATATTTGGTCACTACTGGGCAGCTATATAGGTTCTTCCATTCAAAGGGTGGCCAGTTAATAAACCTAGCTATTAAGATCACTGTCTCTAAAATCATTGCCCAAATGCTCTACCGGGCTGAGATTTTGGGAATTGGTGTTAGATCTGAAATAGAGGTCCTACAAAATAAATTTATGAGGCTGATTTTTGGGACTTCCTGGCAGAACATCGGGAGACCCACCACAGAAATGAGTTGGGCCTTCCCTCACTAGCAGCCAGAATTGATCTAGCCTATCTGAGATGCTGGCATAGGCTAAATGCCTTCGAGGATCATCCCTTACTAAACTCTGCTGGTTAGAGCAGCTAAGGATAGAGGGCTGGGCACAAAAGTGCCAAGATAAGCTTAGGGCTTATAATCTTCAAATTGAGAACTACTTAGTCCTTAGCCCAAGTGACCTGTAGATAGATGGATACAACTACAAGTTGCCAGAGTCACCAATACTGCAGCAATCAATAGCCTCCTGCTTTCCTAATCCCAACAAGAAGTACCTAACTACTTCCATTTCAACATCTTTCTGTACTCTCTCTTAAGCCAATGCTTGCCTCAGGAGGCAAAACCTTTCTAAGTGGCAGCTACCAATGCTCCTGATTTGTAGTGTACAATCCAACACACAAGCAATCTCCCTGGATAAAGCAGATTACCTGTTGCTCCTCTCCCAAATCATCTTTATCCTCATATAGATAGTAAAAAAGAAAACTGATGACCCATCTCTACTTCTGTCCAACAACCAATTCCATCTGCTGTATCAACAAGCATCTGGGCCCCTGCACACACACCGTGTGTGGACAAAACTAAACTAGATTTTTATATTGCTATCTGATCTAATTCACTTGCACCAGAATTAAACCAAGAAAATCTTGAGTCTATGATAGGCAGAAAATCCACAGGCACAATATTTTCTTCTCTAGATCTGAGTGTCTGCTGAATGCTTGACTACTGCTTAATTCCTAAAAGCTCAGGTACCATAGAAGAAAGAAACTGGCAACTTAGTACAGCTATATCAAAAGTAGGTTGTTTTAACAGATGTAGATTATGTTTTACTTGTGTGGTTTGAACAGTTCAAAAGGTGAGCTCTGACCAGCCCTGAGTGTAAAGAAAAGGAAACACCCTACTGCATAAACCAATGTATTGTTACTTAACTGGAGCATTGTTACTTAACCGTATTGTTACTTAATGGAGCAAGTATTAATGCACATGGCAAAAAATATTTTAAAGAAATCTAATCTTGTCCAAGCATGAATACAGTACACAATACCACCAGTAGTGTAAAAAAGTAATTTATTGCTAAGCTCTAGGTAGCATTATTATATAGAATAATATAGGAACAGTGGCCAGTGATCTGCCATCATTGAAAAACAAATTATAAGATTGCCTACCTCCAATGTACAATTGTTAGGAACATCTCATTTTCTTTTTGTCCAATCTTTAACATACAGTGGAGAATGCCAACCTTGGAGTTTTATCTGAGCCTCAGGGCTTCCAGCACAGATATCTTCTCAAGGACACACATTTATTACACACTCAAGTACTTTTTATTGGCTTTTACAATTCCTTCTCCTTAGAGTGAGCAGCACGAGTGTGACCTTTCCTACTGTTATGCTCCTAGGTCACTCTCAAGACAAAAATGGTACCTAAAACAGGGGTCAGAAACCTTTTTCAGCCGTGGGCCGGTCCACCGTCCCTCAGACCATGTGGTGGACAGGACTAGATTTTGAAAAGAAAAAAAAAAGAACAAATTCCCATGCCCCACAAATAACCCAGAGATGCATTTTAAATAAAAGCACACATTCCACTCATGTAAAAACACGCTGATTCCCAGACCGTCCGCGGGCCAGACTGAGAAGGCGATTGGGCCGCATCCGGCCCCAGGGTCTTAGGTTGCCTACCCCTGCCCTAAAATTACCCATTCTCTCCCCTTCTCCTCCACAAGGAGCATCCGAGATTAAGAAAGAGCCACTGTTCAAAAGACACCTTCCTCCTTGGGAACTTTTACTGGTACTGATGTAAATGAATAGGTAAGAGTCAATGCTACTGACATTCTACTTCAAAACATGCCCCAAATCCAGTATGTTGCAGACCAGGGACTCCCAGAGAAAAGTCCCACTAATATATATATCCCCAAACACTCTATCTATCTCAAGGAAATCTTGTTCACTTATTGGGAGGGGAGAAGAGTAAGTTTCCATTTAGCTAGTTTTCTTTCAATACACCTTGAGGGAATTACTGTTGCATAATGGGAGGATTTCATTCCCACACTTCTTCCAAAGAGTTTAGTACATTTACCGAATTCACCTTTATCTGTACAACAACCCTGGGAGCCCGACGAGCCCAACGATGCTCGGTGAAATTTAAGTACAGGGTGGATTCTTGAACCAGGGTCATGGTCCAAAACTTGCTTGAGAATAAGCCTCACCCCCACAGTTGTTCATAATTTTAAACCGCATGGGGGTGAAAGCTATGTAGATGCAAGTATAACAATAGCATTTTTCGCCTGCCTCAGAAGCTGCCCCTCAAGCAGAATGCCGCCCTGCCTCCCCTCCCAGGACTACAACAGTGAACATGTTAGAGGTCTGTTTCATCCACAAGGACGTTAAGCAATCTGCACGATATGCAGGCTTATCTCGGTGCACAGGTCGTCAACCAGTCAGATGCTGAACACTTTGAACTCCGTTCAAAAGAAGGTAGGAAAAAAGGGGGGGCTCTGTTTAGTTACCGGTATACCAACCTGTTATGTACTCTGGCTTGGCAAACACACAAGGTCTTTCTTTTCTTTAAAGAGCAGACGGCATTATTGCTTCAACTCTACAATCCCCCCCCCCACTACATTGGTAGGATGCAAAGTTAAGAAAATAAAATGGAATTCAAGCCATTGCAGCCTAGAGATAAAACTGGCCACCGTTAACAGGAGCCTAAAATGACCCCCTTCATGCCTAGTGCCAGTGTTAAAACGAAGGGACGTTATAGGAAACATATTCAATTTCCGCTTTTTTTATAACTAGAGCTTATGAAACCTGTTGTCCGCTCTTTTTAACTCCCAACAACCGCGACGTGCACCTTCTCATCGCCGGAAAACCACCCAAGGCGGGCGCCGCTTTATTAATAGCATGCAAAACTATTTATTTTCTGCTTGCTTCGCTACCGAGACCTCGATTCACTCCAATATCCCATTTCGCTTCGGGTTCCAGAAACCGATTCCCCCCACTTACCTGCGCCGCTGCTGTGCAGCCGCCCGCGAACAAGGGACGCTTTTGTTCGCTCCAGCGCCGAGGGCTCGAGCTTCACTCTTCCCCTCCCGCCTCCTTCACCCTCCTATCTTTGCCACGCCCCCTTAAAATAGCACCCTGCACCCACCGCCCAATCACCTGCCGGATTTGTTCAGCATCATCCCGTGCTTCACCGCTGGATTGGTGCATCTGCCTCAAGCCATCAGCTGAGCCGATGCCAGTCACCATGGCAGCAGCCGCCTGATGAATATTGCGAAGCGGAGGAAGAAACGCTTTGTTGATAAAGAGCGCACGAGCGAGCGGCTTGGCCGTGGTGTGCATAAAAACGAATGTGGGAAATCCAACGGAAGCCTCCTTGCACGTGTTGCAAATCACTAAGAAAAACATGCTTCTTGGTGTGGCATTTTCTAGGAATGAGAAAAAGGCTTGCAATCCCGAAAAGTTTCAGGAAAGGGGCAGCTGAAATGGTCAATGGACAGGAGAAATTCCCATAGGAGGAAAAACGGTTGCAGTATCTGGCGCTTAAAAGAAAAGTAGGGCGCCGGAAACAAGTAAGACAGGACACGAAAGGTGAACAGGCGTCGTTGAAAATATTAGGACACGAGAACGTCTGATGTTGGACGATTCAGGGAAGAGCAAATAAAGCATTATTTGTTTGAAGATCACAGGGCAGTTCACAACATAAATGATCAACATGAGGACACAAATTACTGTACATTAAGGTTATCAGATTTTTTTCAATGAATCCGGGGACACTTTTCAACTTCAGTAGGAATGATAGGATTTTGTGTGGGGACTGATTTGTAAATCCAGGGACTGTCCCCAGGAAACGGGGACATCTGGTAACCTTACTGTACATACCACCCCCACCAACGTGCTAATAACCTCCTTCCCAGACAAAGCACATCTTCATGCAATGCACAGCTAAACCTCAGAATTCTCTCCCACAATATGTGGTGGCTATCAGCTCGAATGGCTTTCTAAGTAAGTTAGACAAATGCATGGGGAGAACAATGGCTGTATATTACAATGGTACCTCGGGTTAAGTACTTAATTCGTTCTGGAGGTCAGTTCTTAACCTGAAACTGTTCTTAACCTGAAGCACCACTTTAGCTAATGGGGCCTCCTGCTGCTGCCACGCCACTGCTGCGCGATTTCTGTTCTCGTCGTGAAGCAAAGTTCTTAACCAGAAGCACTATTTCTGGGTTAGCGGAGTCTGTAACCTGAAGCGTATGTAACCCGAGGTACCACTGTACTTCAAAGATGAGAGGCAGCATGGGTGTAGCCATGGGGGACAGGGAGGGGCAGTTGCCTCCCCAAATCAATAAATGTCAATAAAAATACATGGCTAACTGAGGTCCTCCCCCCCCAAGGCCCACACCCCACTAAAAAAAAAATCCTGGCTACACCCATGAGAGGCAGTATAATTGCTGTGATTCACAAGTTGGGCTGCTGAGCTCATGTCTTGACTTGCATGTTAACTGGGTCTTTTCCCCTTACATGGGCTCTATAGTTATAACTTCTACATCACAAACATAAATTCAACAGGTTAATTTTTGCTCTTTCCTTGTCTTTCCGTGTGAGATGGCATAACGCCAGCTCTGGAAGCAGCTGTTCTACATCTATAGAAGAAAATATGGGGGAGATGAGCATAGCAGTCTGGGGGATTTGGGCTAGGGTTAACTTGAGTCATGGTAATCCCAAAACTGCTGTCAGTTACAAGAAAAAAAGGCCACATAAAATGGGGGATTCTTAGTAAAGGAGAACATATGTGACTATTTTTGCACTATCACAGCAGCCCCAGAACATATAAATTAGAGAACATTGCTTTTTAGTCAGATTTGTCTCCTTTTAAGAACTACCAAGGAACATCCATGCAGGAGAAAAAGTTGCACAGGGAGCAAGCCTCAGTGGACACAGTTGTAATTACTTCCATGTAAAAGTAGGATTGCACTGTTTTAATATTGTGTTATAGTGCTGTAAACCTGCCTTGGGACCTTAGGATGAAGAGCAGGTAATTTAGAATAATAACAGCCCTCCAGGGGAATGCAGCTATGTTATATTATGTTTTCCATATTTCAGATACAGGCTGTGGTTGTTAAACGCCTTACAACTTTATAATAATGGCTTTGTAACTGTGAGTTGTTCACTTTTGATTGGAGAAATTGTTTTCCGAGACCAAGACAGACGAACGCCAACCAACCATGATGCAACATACACTACTAAAACAACTACACAGAATATGCAGATATTTCAAGCACACACATTTTGCTAAGTGCATTTAATTGAACCAAAATCTCGCACAATCATGCTTAAAACAGTACAGATGCCGAAAGAGACCGGGGTGGGGGGGAGCCAAAACAAACCCTAGACCTGAAATCGCAGCAAAAATGCCAATCTGGTTTAAATGGCCTCCTCCATCAACCCCGTAAACCTTCTCTCCACCCCGACCCACCAATCTAGCGCCCTACAGGATACAGACGTGAGTTCAGCTGAACATAAAGACTCCGTTCATTTATTTACACGGGAACCGAATTAACCGTTCTCAACCATTTCTGGCCGTGCGGGGAGAAAACTGAAATACCAAAGGAAGCCAGGGGGGGCGCGAACGCGTTACTAATGGCGTCGCGTCGCTCTACCCTCTCTCATCTCTGTGATGAAAGCCCTCTGCTTGGCGCTGGGATAACGAGAGTTTAGTTCCATTTTCGAATCCCTTCCAACCTCTATGATTTATCCCGGAAGTGCCCCGCGGGGCTTATGTGTGGATTCTCTCGCCCGGCCACCCCCCCCGGAAGCGAAAGGGTCCGCTTTTGCTCTGGACTGGGGCTGTCGCTGTGCGTTGTTTACAGCCGACCTGCTGTCGCCGAAGGGCTCCCGGGAGAAGCGAAGCCTCAGGCACCGAAGCACCATGGGCAGGAAGGTGACTGTGGCCACCTGCGCCTTGAATCAATGGGCGCTGGATTTTGATGGCAATCTGGAAAGGATATTGAGAAGTAAGGCAAAGCAAAGAACGCTGGTGTTTCTTGGGTGGGGGGGGGGGGGGCGCGTGTGTGCATACATATGCATGCAGTGATTCTTCAACTTCATTGGACTGGTCATGTGCGGATGCCTGATTATCGTCTTCCAAAGCAACTCTATTCCAGACTTAAAAATGGAAAGCGTAATGCTGGTGGTCAACAAAAGAGGTTCAAAGACTGTCTCAAGGCAAATTGTAAACAATGTAGTATAAACACCAACAATTGGGAAACACTAGCCTGCGAGCGCTCCAATTGGAGAACAGCCTTTACCAAAGATGTAACTCTGCAATGAATACCTAACTCTATGAAAGGCCGGCACTTCTCTTTACTCTGTGGTTGTGGTGGAGTTAGCTTGCCCTGTGCCCCACAGCAGCACAACAATAAATTATGCAAGTGGTAATAAATTATAATAAATGATGCAATGAGATGTTTCAGACACAGGTGCTCTTGTTCAGGGTGCCATGCAGATTTTCCCCTTCCAGGATTCTGTTTCTTTTCTCTTTTTTCAATTATATTTTATTAAGTTTCAACATTTTTAGTACAGTATATACAATCCAAACACATTTTCATCTTTTCTCCCACCCCGTTTTCCATGGAGTTGTTGTTTCTCCCCTTCTTCTGCACCCTATCTTCTATCTGTTAAATCATAATCACAATATTATAATGAATTACTTCCGTTGTTCATAACTCAAATCCTGCTCAAGACTTACCAGGCTTCTTTGTTGCACCTCTTACAGTGGCTCTGTAAGGCATGAAGCTGGTATGAGTCTTCAATGATGATCTGTGATGAGAACTGTGATTCAGTTTCCTATCTCTTTAAATGTCACTAGGATACCTAGTGATGACTCTTCATCATGTTGTCTAATTGGGCCCTGCATATTTGATTTGCTCAGCTGGGTGTTTTTTTTTAAATTGAAACACTGCTGTTTTTTGTTTGCAAACTCCAGTTATGGCAGAATTGGTTAATGTTTGTTCTCCTACAAGGTGACTGACATCAGGTGGACCACAGAGGCAGGACTACTGTGATCTCCAGCTGGCTAGCCCAGCACAGACTGGTTCAAGTGGCAGTTCTAAGCAGTTCTATTTTTCCAGAAAAAGAGATGCTGGAACTCACCATGGACACCTCCCTTGTTCTCTTATAACAGCAATGGCACCCACCTGAGAGGTGCTGGAACTGAGTTCCAGCGAGTTCCGGCTGAAAAAAGCCCTGGTTCCAAGGATAATGTTGCTGGAAAGCAACAGCAGGAAAAGGCTGTTGTGGTCAAGTTCTGTTTGTAGGCTTCTTGCAGGCATTTGGTTGGTGACTGGGGAACAGGATGCTGGACTAGCTAATCCTTCGGTCTGATCCAGAAGGACATTTCTTATAATTTGTAAAGCTTGTATGTTCCGTGTAAGCTATAAGAGAGCTCAGTGCATAGTTATTGCTCTGTGATGGCCATTTCATGCACCTGTGTTCTCCACTGATTGCAGTTAAAACAGTTCTGTGAATCTGAGTTGTACATAGGGCAGTAAGTACCCCATTGGAAAAAGAAAATATTCTGTACCAAGAAAAACTGATGCTGATGACAATTTGCATGTAGCACGTCCTCTCAGTTATTGAATGCCTTGATAGTCTCTGGCTTTTGAGATTTCAAAATGGAGCGCTCACGTGTTTTCAAGCGCTTTTTGTAGAACCATAAGAGCTGGGAATTTGCTTTAAAAACCCGAGATTCTGAGGAAGCTGTTTTGAGGCATCACATGCTGCCATTTTTTGTGCTCTACTGAGTCGTATCATTCATGTCGCTATACTTGAAGATGTAGGATTCTTCCCTTCCATGAGATTGCCAAAGATTAATAATTATAATTTGATATTCTAGGTATTGAAATTGCTAAACAGAAGGGAGCAAAATACCGGCTTGGGCCAGAACTTGAAATTTGGTGAGAATTGCTTAACCATTTCATATTTTTTATTACCCTCCATGCTGAAAAGACATGTAGTCCTTTTGCAGTTAAAAAGAGAAATATGATTTTCCTAATCCTCCATAACCTTGGGGAGTAAGGATATCAAGTATGTTAGAAATATGTCAAAGTAAATGTAACTGAAATGTTTCTGTACATATCTATAGCTATTGTAATCATACTTAAGTAAAATATTATTTTACATTGTTTCTGAAAATTGTTCAGATACAATGCTGTGCAAACTTAGCAGGGGTGGCATCCAGAGCAGTCGACTGGTCACCAGAATCACATTCCACCCTCTTGTTCCTGTCTTTATATGGGAGAAGGGAAAGCCAGTTTTCATCTGCTCACCTCTTCAGACAGGTGATCAGCACTTTTAAAGGTGACAGTGTTAACACTCACTGCTATGCTTACTCGTTTTTGAGTTGGGCTATGCAATGTTTGAAACATTTAACCTTAAGAGATTAATTGTCCTCAACACTTCTATTCTACCTTCTGAAATAATGTGCAATCTTCTTTCTGTCCATTTGTGGAGCAAAGGGGGGGGGGGTTGTAGTTGGAGGGGAAAGAGAGCCATCTCATTCATGCCAATAGCATAACCAGTAGCAAATTTGATTGTGGACAGCAGAAGGATGGGATAGAGATTTTAATACAAAAAGGAAATAATTCTGTATCCTACATACAGTGGTACCTCGGGTTACATACGCTTCAGGTTACAGACTCCACTAACCTAGAAATAGTGCTTCAGGTTAAGAACTTTGCTTCAGGATGAGAACAGAAATCATGCTTCGGCGGCGCAGCAGCAGCAGGAGGCCCCATTAGCTAAAGTGGTGCTTCAGGTTAAGAACAGTTTCAGGTTAAGAATGGACCTCCGGAACGAATTAAGTACTTAACCCAAGGTACCACTGTACTTATTTCTTTAATGTCAATTACCACTGGAGTAATATAAATATAATAATATAATATAAAATATAAATTTATATTTATATAAAATTTATATTTATATAAAAATATAATATAATAATATACTCTTGGTTCAAGTGGTTGCTTCACATTAATTGGTACAATTAATGTACAATTGCCTATAATGAAGTGGTTCTGCTTTAGGTAATTTCTCTTGCGAAAGCTCATAATTTCCTTCTTGGTATGAAAATAATGTGTTTGTCGATATGATTCTTGTTTTCATGCAGTGGATATGGCTGCTCTGATCATTACTATGAGTCTGATACACTTCTACATTCATTTCAAGTTCTGGCCAAACTTTTGGAATCTCCTGTTACACAAGACATAATCTGTGATGTTGGAATGTAAGTTACCTTGTAATTAAATGTGCGTACATTAGCTTGAGATCCATGGTTTGTTTATTTATTGGCTTTATACCCCATCCTTCCTCCGGAAGGAGCCCAGGGTAGCAAACACATCCACATTTTGTTTTTTGAAAAGGATTCTAAAACAGGAGAAACATTCTAACAACAGTTTCAGTTAAAAATACCTAAAAACAGTTACAATATGCTAGTACTAACCCTTTGAATTGGGCCTGGTAGCTCACTGGCAGCCAGTGGAGTGCTTTCAGGATCGGTGACAGATGTTCCCATTGGGCTGCCTCAATTACCAAACTAGCAGCCACATTTTGTACTAGTTGCAGCCTCTGCACCATCTTCAAATGCAGCTCCACATAGAATGCATTACAGTAGTCCAAGCAGAACACTAGAGCGTGGACAACTGAGGTCAGGCTGCCCTGGTCCAGGAATGACTGTAGCTAGTGACCCAGCCAAAGCTGAGCATATGCTCTGCTCGTCACAAATATGTACTCTATGTGTAGCATTCCTAGCCACATGCATGTCCTGTTTTGCTATGCAGCACAACCTCTCAATTATTTTCTGTGACCTCATTTCCTCCATGCTATTCTGTGAACAGAAAAAGAAGTACGTAATAATGTATTTGGAGCAGAACTTCTTCATAACTGGTCTGGAGTTAGGGGTGAGCAGTGCAGTGACCAGGTTTGCTGATAATACCAGATTCTTTAGGGTGCTGGAATACAAAGGGGTTGCGTGGAGCTGTACAGTACAAAGATCTCTCCAAACTCTGTGAATGGGTGTTAAAATGTCAAATATGGTTCATTGTAAGCAAAGGATGCACGTGGGGGCTAAAGAATAACAACCCTCAATTGTTCTGACTTCACACATGCCCTAACGGGTTGGTAACATTGCAGAAGCAAAAATATTGGGGTTGTGGTAGATAGCTCAGTGAAAATGTTGACCTGGTTTGCTGCCCCTGTGGGGGGAAAAACAAACAAATTTTGTGGTAGACATCAGTAGCAAAGGGATTGGGACTGAAACTAGCAACTTGATTATGCTTTTATATGAAAGTATGATATTGTGGCCAATTTTATCCCAGTGGGTGATGAAATCACTGCCTTGAAAGTGTGTGGGTCTTGTAGAGAAGGAAGCTCAGGACAATTTTGACTTGTTATTAACTCTTAACAACCTAGCAGTACATGATGCTATTTTCATTTCATTCATACTTTTGCAAGCACATGGAGGGGGCAGCCCTTGCACGACTAGTCTTGATTAAAAGGGGGGAGTCCTGGCAATATACTTCATCTTCTTTAACCTGGTTCTGTTCTTCACTGGATGCAGGCTTCTCATAGCTCTTTAGACTTTTTTATTTTTCATGACCTTGTTTCCACATTCCATTCTCTTTTTGCAGCCATTTCCTTCAAAGTACACACTGTTCTTATCTCCTGGTCTTCCTGTTCTGGCTGGTTTTCTGACAACTCCAGCAGTTTTTGGTAGTACTAGACTTCTAACCCCTTTAACAAGGCTAAAGGGAAAAAAATACATGTTCACCCATCTGTGTCGTATTTCATTCCATTATTTCATAAGTTTGTTTCATAACAATATGACCCTCATTTGAAGTACTGCGTTGTATTCAATGTAGTGCTGAGGGTATGGTTCTGTCAATGCAAGGATTTTCCTTCCGTGGCTGAACCTTCCCCTCTCCTCTTCCCCTCATCCTCTAAATCTGTTCCAGGGGTTCCCCCAACCCTTCAGAGTTGATTTAGGGAGGGGGAGGGGGAATCAGGGGGAATTCCCACCATGTTGGTAGGAATCCTTGTACTGGCTTCCCCTAGTGCAGTTAGTTAAATATGACCCATTGTGTACACTTCTGGTCATTACACTTCAGCAGAGATGTTGTAGAGCTGGAAACAGTACAGAACAGGATAGCCAAAATGATGAAGGGGCTGGAGCAACTCCCCTATGAGGAAAGGTGAAGCCATTTGGGGTTTTTTAAAAGTTTTGTTGTTGTTGTTGTTTTAAAAAAGTTAAAATGATTAACAGAGATTCCTCTTCTCCAGTACTGAGCACATTTGTACAAGCTCAGTCATATATAAATGAAGTGGGATCTGCAGAAAGCTAGAATCTAGTTTTGCCTGGCCCAGATGATGGACATGCAATGGGGATGCCTGCAGTACTGAATTGGCTGTTTCTGGCAAGGTGGGGTTATAATAGGAAGAGTGACAACAGTGAGAAATATTTCTGGTGTGTGCTAGAACAGACGTTTTGAGTGCATCAGAGTCTAGGTGTGTGAAAGATACTCAAAATTCCATTATTTTGTTCAGGTCCTCTCATATACATATATATGTGAATGTCATCTTTAGTAAGGAATCTCTTGATTACACTGATTTTTATTATTTCTGCAGGCCTGTTATGCACCGAAATGTTCGCTACAATTGCAGAGTGATCTTCTTAAACAAGTACGTGACTGCTTTCCAATCAAAGTACTCTCTTTTTCAGAATGTGCCTCTCTGGGATACTCTGTGTGCTTGTGTTTATGTGTAGATTTAATCCCCATTTTTAAAGTGGAAAAACTAATGCTTAGGCCTAAGTATATGCTTGATTGTTCTCTGTTGAAATAAGCAGATTTCAAAATCCTTAACTTTGGCTGGGTTGCAATAAAAAAACATTTCTCAAGGGCCTTGTTTTCATTTTGTTGCACTACATGTCTTCATGGTAGCTTTATTTGTTTTATTCAAGGAAAATACTTCTGATACGACCAAAGATGGCGCTGGCAAATACAGGAAACTACCGGGAGATGCGATGGTTCACTCCTTGGAGTAGATCGCGGCAAGTTCTTATACTTCATTGTGATAGCTATTCTAGAGAATTGGGTTGCTCCTTGATGTATATCATGCTAAACCTCTGTTAGAAGATCTTTCAGGAGGCTTTGTTGTGTGGCTTGTCTTAAACTTTTTTTAAAAATCATTGCCAGAATTGCACCCATGCTGACATTGCATCCTGGTATAATACTTTGTCATGAGCCCTGTGTGGCATGCTAATCATGCATGGCAGCCCTCCAAGGCTGTGTTTGTCCTTTGCATGAGACTGCAAAGCCAGGAGGGTTGTCCTCTCAGGCTGTAAAGCTGCCCTTGGGGCTCCCCCTGAAACTGACGCAGAAACTCCAGCGGGTGCAGAATGCTGCAGCGAGATTCCTTATGGGGTCCCTGCCACGGGATCACATTCATCCAGTGCTATACCAGCTGCACTGGCTCCCGGTGGAGTACAGGATCAGGTTTAAGGTGCTGGTTTTAACCTTTAAAGCCCTATACGGCCTAGGGCCCTCATACCTATGGGACTGCCTCTTCTGGTATGCCCCACGGAGGACCTTATGGTCTGCTAACAACAACACCTTGAAGATTCCGGGCCCCAGGGAAATTAGACTGGCCTCGACTAGAGCCAGGGCCTTTTTGGCCGTGGCCCCGGCCTGGTGGAACGCTCTCCCACAAGAGACCAGGGCCCTGCAGGATTTGACATCTTTCCGCAGGGCCTGCAAGACGGAGCTGTTCCACCAGGCCTTTGGGCAGGATGCAGTTTGACTTACTTTCCTTTGTATAAAACAAGCCCGAAGGAGGCCCCTAACCCATTCACAGGTCCTTGTATGATCAGTGGAAACAGTTGGTCCTGGCAAGTATTAATCACTCTCAGTTCTACCCTGATAATTGCCACCTGCCCAGATTTTAACTTGTCTGAATTCATTTTAAGATGGATTTTAATTAATTGTTTTTATGCTTATTGTGTTGTTTTTATGATGTTAGCCGCTCTGAGCTCAGCCTCGGCCGGGGAGGGCGGGATACAAATAAAAATTTATTATTATTAAAGTTGCATTTGACATTTAAAATTATTATTATTTGCTGAATTTGCATACCACCCTATACCCATAGATCTCAGGCTTGGTAGGTTGCAAGTTGTGCAGGCCTCATTTATGAAAAGCTTCTGCTTTAACTTGATTTTTTTTTTTTGTCGCAGAGTTTTAGCTGAAGAGGTTTGGCAGTGTGTTAAAATTTAGTATATTGAAAAGTGTGTTTAAGTGCTTATTTGTCGCATAATTTCCCCCCATACCCCTCTTTTAGGCACGTGGAAGAGTATTTTCCTCCCAGGATGATACAAGAGATAACAGTTCAGGTACAATGCTTTGATACATATGGGGGATAGCAGTATAATAATAATAAAATCCGCCACCTTTGACTGTCGACCATGGCTGGATCTAGTCACGTCAAAGAAGCGATTCAATTAAACACATTGTAAACTTCATACAGGGAAGTTCTGTTGGCGAAAAATGGGACTCCACAGCGCCATCTGGTGTTATAATGCTTATAAAGCGCTTTATCTTTACAAATGTTGCCGAGTCCCAAGGTTTAGATACTAGCGGTTTGATGTTACAGGTGCTAACTGGTGATTTTTGTTCTCCTTTCCATGTTCTCATATTTGGAATATAAATAAATTCAAAAACTAAAGTTGATTGAAAACTCATGTATTATTACTGTTAATGGGACATGCATAGCCTTGCACTTCGAATTTTCCTGATTAAATGTTACCTCAGTATTTATACACTGTATTCTCTTGCCAAAAAGGCAGTTTCTGCAGTGTACAAATTTAAAATGAAATCTCATGTAAAACAAGCCATAGGATGTTTTGGAGACCATGGGCACATTTGCAAATCAGGTGAATTGTTGTGGGTGCCACACCATATCCTATTCTTCTGGCTAGATTCTGCAGGAAGAGGGGACCCTGAGGCTAACAGCGAAGGCCTCTGTGGTTGTCATGTTGGCAACTCTCATTTAATTCCATTAGCCTTAATACAATGGTTATGTTAGCATAGCCCTTAACCATAGCTGTTGCTCATCCGGATTCACTTTCAAACCAGGGTTTGAAGCAAGTTTAAATTATCTGATTTAAACTAAAACCTTGCTTAATATTAAAAGTTAACACTGGACTAATTGGAGAGAAGGGCAGGAGACCCTGTGAGGAGGAATTGTGAAACCCCATAGTCCACTTGTGATACCTTTTTCCTTGGTTAAGGGATCAGAAACATGCCTTTCAGAAGTGCAGTATCCAGAGCTTAATTTCCTGACATGTTTTGTAGCTGAGAGCTACTGTGCCCAATATTACATCTTGTGACTTGGATTATAATTGGCCATCCCTGTGTTATGGTACAGTATGTTCCAACTAAAAAAATATAAATGATGTAAACACTAGTTTCATAACCTTTTTGAGAGGTGTTTTTATTAGGGTATTGTGAGTCAAATTGCATACAATAAATGCCTTTATCACAGCTTTAGACGGATCATTTTGTATGTTGGTCAATCACTGGGGCGTGGATTATTTTTTCCTATTCCAATGGCCCATCCTCACCCCTTGCTTGTCTTAGGAAAGTGTCCCATTTGGTGATGCAGTTCTGGCAACTTTAGATACCTGCATAGGAAGTGAAATCTGTGAAGAACTGTGGACACCAGTCAGGTAAGAGAGGTGAATTAAGGTTTGGAGAGGATTCCCAAAACTGCTAAAATAAATAAAATCCAAATCAATTTTGCAGTTAACATTGAAGACCCCTTCTCCCTCTCTCTCTCTCTCTCTCCCCCTCTGTGGAACATTCTAGAGAACAAGTCAGGTTAATCAGTAAGATGGCAATATGGAGAATTTTCATTGTAGATATTTCTGTATCCACAAATGTCCTTAAATTGTTTATTGCTTGTTTTAAACACTGAATACAGTGGTACCTCGGTTTTCAAACTTAATCCGTTCCACAAGTCCGTTCTTAAACCGAAACCGTTCTTAAACCAAGGCGCGCTTTCCCTAATGAGGCCTCCCGCCGCCGGTGCCCTTCCACCGTTCGGAGTCCATTCTTAGACTGAGGTAAAGTTCGCAAACTGGGACACTACCTCTGGTTTTGCGGAGTTCATAAACCGAATAGTTCGTAAACAGGGCTGTTATTAAACCGATGTACCACTGTATTTAGTAATTGTGCGTGGAGGTGGGGGCGGTTGAGCTTTTCTAATTTGAGGAAATAAATGTTCATATCCAAAGTCACTGATCATAAATACCAAACTTAAACCATAATAATAGAAAGAATGATGGTAGTAACGATAACTCTGTATGCATAAAAAGAAATCTGATAACAAGCGTCAGTAAATCATTAAATCAGATGGTATCTATGATTCCTGTAGCTTGAGGTGCTCATAGACTATGCCCATGTTATTACCAGAGCTTCAGTTTACATTTCATATTTGCACAGTAGTTTTTCTTAATTACTTTATAATGTAAGTATGGGCTTGGCATTCGTAAATTGACTTTTCTAAAGTCAATATATGGAGCTCAGTCATCCATGAACATTCGATTCAGTGTAAAGCAGGCATAGGCAAACTCCTGCCCTCCAGATGTTTGGGACTACAATTCCCATCATCCCTGACCACTGGTCCTGTTAGCTAGGGATGATGGGAATTGTAGTCCCAAACATCTGGAGGGCCAGAGTTTGCCTAAACCTGGTGTAAAGCTGCAAGGCATGTGGGACGTTGCACACTGGCTGCAGCGCTCTAGATTGGTGGCACTATCTCATACATTGGACTTGACGAGAGGCACTCTTACCAAAGAGTGGGCAACACTCACATAGATGACGATTTCCAAATGAAGACTTCATCCGTCTTGCTGCGTACTCTACTCATGCAGTAATGGTGTAAGTGGCATTTTCTGTATGGGTATATTAGTTGTATCCGAACATCTGTTCCCTAGAAGAGCTCTTTGGTGGCAGTGAAACTGCATTTTCCATGCAGTCAAACAGCAAGCTGTTGCTGTGCTAAATTTTGATCCAGTAGCACAATGCAAATTTTGGATCGCAGACAGCTGCAAGCTTTTCACTTAATTTGCGGTTCCTCAATTTCATAGTCCTCACATTGAAATGGGAATTGATGGAGTGGAGATCTTCACAAATTCTTCAGCGAGTCACCATGTATTGCGAAAAGCTAATACCCGAGTGGAATTGGTAAATTTTGCAACAGCAAAGGTAGGTCAAATAACCCCCACATTTTAACCTGATTTTTCATTAAATGGTGTGTGTGACAGTGATATCTAATCAATATAATTCAAGATGGCAAATGTAGTGTTGCCCAAAAGTCTCTGTTCCCAGAGTCAGACTTCCTTGGGGCCAGCAAGGCTGCTTCATTATCTATCTTCAGATCATAATCTGTAAAGCGTAGTCATGTTGAATTATCCTTTATAACCTAGGACTTGATTTTAGTGCTTGTGAAAAGAAAGAAATCCCTGGCGATGGTAGTTACCTTTAAGCCAGCAATGGCAAAACTTGGCCCTCCAGCTGTTTTGGGGCTACAACGCCCATCACCCTTAGGACCAGTGGTCAGGGATGATGGGAATTGTAGTCCCAAAACAGCTGGAGGGCCAAGTTTGGCCATCACTGCTTTAAGCAGATGATCAGTTTTTGGAACCCTGACAAGAAAACACAGGATAAATTTCCACAAAAAACTGATTACTTAATATCTTCCTTCAGTATGGATTCTCTTGTAAACTGAGATACTCTGCAGTGGCCAGAAGTTATTTTTCTGATAGCAGCAATTTGGCAAAGTTTCCCTCTTGATCATGGAAATGAGCTATAGTTCTTTGAAAAGTATCTGTATTTGATGTCTGGCTCCCACAACCTCCCTGACTTCTTTACATAATTCTGTAACCAGGAGCAGATTGTGTGGGGAGAAGTAAGTGGCTGAGTTGTGTGGGTGAAAGCAAAATACTAGGCCTTTTTGCTTTTATATTTGCGGAGCTGGTATTGTGAAAGAATTTCCCACTGCTTGTTACCTTGCTGTGGCACGGGTGGCCCCAGTTGTTTGTAAGGACTTGTTGAGAACGGCCTTGCCTTTACGCTGATGCTCCTATTAAACATATTGGAGCTAGACTACTAGACAAGGCAGGACTACCCTTAAAGACAGTCTGAAGATGCTAGTGTAGAATGCAGCCACCAGAGTACTGACAGGCACTTCTGTGCAATTTCATAGAACATCTACTTTGTGCAATATGCGCTAGCTGCCTCTTTGTTACCAGGCCCAGTTCGGGGTGTTGACTGTTAATGCATAGAGCTCTGAATGACTCCAGGCCTAGGTATTTGACAGAGCACTTCTCCCCATATCAGCCAGCCCAAGCTCCGAGATATGGGACAGGGACTCCTGCTTGTGGTCTCATCAGTACATTTAGCTTGCTGTGCAGGGACCTTAGAGTAGGTCGTTCTTTGTAGTGGTGCGCCAGCTGCAGAGCTCCCTGCCCTGGAGGCATAGGTGGCCACAACACTGATAGAGATTGCAAAACTTCTCTAGCTTCTGGAGTTGTGGTTAGATTGTTTTGAGCAAGCCTTGAGTTTGTCTGGTATTATACCACTGATATGTGTGTGTGGGGGGGTATGTTACAGATCAGGCATAGGCAAACTCCAGCCCTCCAGATGTGTGGGACTACAATTCCCATCATCCCTAGCTAACAGGACCAGTGGTCAGGGATGATGAGAATAGTAGTCCCAAACATCTGGAGGGCCGGAGTTTGCCTATGCCTGTTGTTGATGCTTTAATGTTGATGTTTTAATTGTGTTCTGTGAATTTTTAATAATATGGCTTTGTTTGCTGTTATGGAAATTACTTTGAGGGCACTTGTTGATGAAGCATTCTGTTGACGGACAAAAGTGTGGCTTCCCATAAATTGCTCACAGCAGCTCTCTAAAAGTAGAATGAATAGCATTTTTTTGCTATGTTATTTAAAAGGTTAATATTATTGTGGCAGTTAGTGACATATGGGCTGAATTGTCTTTTTAATAATATATGTGTGCATGCTTTTTTAGAATGGTGGGATATATGTCATGGCTAACCAGAAAGGCTGTGATGGCGATCGTCTGTATTATGATGGCTGTGCTATGATCTCTATGAATGGAGACACTGTTGCTCAAGGACTTCAGTTTTCTCTGGATGATGTGGTAATGCATTCATTTATTCATTAAATTGTAATGTACTAATGTATCATAAAAATATCTCACAGTGGTTTACATCAGTATAAAACAAAACAAAACAATAAAATAATAAAGAAACAAGTTAATAACAAACATCAGTTGTGGAAGATGTATTGTACTCTTAATTGCCTGCATAGGCCTGGTGGACTACAAAAGTTTTCAGTAGGTGTTTAAATGCTGGCACAGAAGGTGCCCACTTCTCGGAATTGTGCTTGAGAGTGCTGCAAAATACTCTTAAAAGCACACACCTGTGTGTTAGTGTGAGTGCATAATGGGAGCTTTATTTACTACATTCAAAGTAAAAGTATGTTAGAAATTCTTATGCCTTTAATATAAATGAGAAAACACATCAAAAATGGTTCTGTAAACTCAGTACCTTATTACAGGTTGATATCACTGTCGTTTTTTAGGAAGTGTTGACTGCCACACTGGACTTGGAAGATGTCAGAAGTTACAGGGCGGAAATATCCTCTCGAAACTTAGCAGTAAGAATTCCTTATATGTGATTCCCCTCCCCACAAGGTGCTTGTTAGGTTAGAAACTACAGCCAATGTGAGCTAAAACTGAAGCATCCAGACAGATACTGTATTCCAGAACATAAGAAAACAGCCTGCTTTTTTACAGGTAAAATGCCTCTCATTTTCTGAACCTTCTCTTTTTCCGTTTTAATTGAGCAGGGAAGCAGAGTGACTCCTTACCATAGAATAAAAGTAAATTTTGCCCTGTCATGTTTTGATGACGTATGTACACCTGTGAGCGAGCCAATCCAGTGGAGGTATCATAGTCCTGAGGAAGAGATCAGGTAGGCAAAATTAGGAAGAAGCCTGTCTCCTTGTATAACATCTCCCTGTCTGATGCAAACAGAGCAGAGTTGGACCGCACCACTCCACTTTTTCCCTCCATGATCAGTCCCATAAGCTTTAGTTTGTACTCCTGGGCTCCCCAACCCCCTTTACTAGATCAGCCATGAGTCTTTAGAGCAGGGAAAGAAATCATTAATTATCCTTATTGGAGATTTAAAAATGAGATGTTGAACTTCTGAACAAAGTGTTCTACAAAGTGTGCTCATTTTCAAGGCTGATATTTCTGCAAGCTTCCCTCCAAGGTTGATAGCTAAGTAAACAGATTTGGAGCAGTTTGGAACTCAATAGCAAGCAACATTTCCATTCTCCATAACTGAACACTGTTGAGCCTCAGCCTTCTGCTAAGTGGACATTGATTCTCTGTGGTGAAATGTGATGAAGAATGACAGAATCCTTCTTACAGACTTTTTCCCAACCTTCATTTTTGTACAGTCTACCTTCTAATTCCATTTTTCTATTACTATTTTTAATGCCTTAAGTATTCTTATGGAAAGTGAAAATTATGTACTACAATATAGCCTTCCTCACCCTTTCCCATTGTGTTCAAAAGTTCTAAAACTTAAAATGAACAGGCCCATCAATACTAGACACATTTAAATGGAATTTATTTCAGAGGAATTGACTTCCTGAAATAAAATACAGATAGAAGCCCCATGTGAAGCATCCATTGCTGGGACATTTCAGACCCTTGCTACCAGGAGCTTCTGCTCATTTGTGCTAATTCTAAGCAAGCATATGTAGGACTGTGATATAAACCTAGTTCTGAAGAGCACATGTCTGATGTAACAGTGTAAGGTCGTTCTGTAGGATAGAGTAAGGATTTGGTTGAATAATTGGGAATATAGCGGGTATACCTGAAGGAGCATCTCCACCCCCATCATTAAACCCGAACACTGAAGTCCTCCTCTGAGGGTCTTCTGGCAGTTCCCTCACTGCGAGAAGTGAGGTTACAGGGAACCAGGCAGAGGGCCTTCTCGGTAGTGGCGCCCGCCCTGTGGAACACCCTCCCTTCAGATGTTAAGGAAATAAACAACTATCTGACTTTATCAGGAAATGTTTAATGTCTGATGTTTTACAATTTTTAATATATGCTGTAAGCTGCCCAGAGTGGCTGGGAAAACCCACCTGGCTGGGTGGGGTATTATTATTATTATTATTAATTAATTATCATATCAGACTAAGACTGGGAAGCCCAGGTTCAAATCCCTACTCAACCATGGAGGTCAGTGGGTGACCTTGGCCCAGCATAATCTACTCTGTGAGGACAAAATTGTTTATTTGTGTACACACATGTGTGTGAGAGAACCATGTATGTTTCCCTGAGCTCCTTTGGTAGGATACAAATAAAATAAAAATAAAATAAGCATATTGCAGGCCTCTTTTTCCATGATTTTAGCACTAGGGTATGGATAGGATGCAATCATTGCTCAGTTCTGGAAAAGGAACAGTTCCCCCAGCCCATCTCACTTACTGTTGGTATATCTGTTGAAAGAGCAAAGCTGTGGTTTATATCGAAATGTGCCCTTCATAACTGATACGAAATGCCTGGATCCATTTCAGTCTGAATTCATGTCCCTGTCACGACACTGAAACTGTCTTGGTCACCCAGGTTGAAGACATTTGTTGATGGAGTGTGACCGTGCTCATTCTCCTACTCCTCTTCATGGTTCTCGATACCATTGACCAGTTTAAGTAACTTGCTCTGTAACCCTGTGACACCTACCTGGAAATAAGTCACATTGATTTCTGAGTAAATATGCACAGGATTGTGCTGTCAGTTTTGTGTGCGTGCGTGCGTGCGTGTGCGTGCAATGTAAATAGAGACCATGAAATTCAAAATAAAATATAGGTGCTGCCAAGGTGCAATCCCAGGAGAAGCTCCAATGATTTTGTGAGAATATGCCTTCTTTCCTCAGTCATCTTGAAACAGGTGCTCTTTTGCTTTCAGCCTTGGCCCTGCATGTTGGCTTTGGGACTATTTGCGGCGCAGTAAACAGGTAAAGACGACTTCTCCCTCATTCAACTAAATTAGCCATCCCCAGTCTTATGTCCTTCAAAAAAATTGGACTACAACTCAAAATATCTCAGGGGCACCAGGTTGGAGAAGGCTGATTTTTTTATTTTAAAAAAGGGTAATGGAAAGTCTGCATGGATTTTGAGATGAAGATACTTTTAATTTAGAATTGCAGGTTGCCCATTCTTGTTTCTTTCTGAAATAGGTAGCAAAACTGGTATTTATGGAGTGTTTTTTACTGTTTAAAGATGTTTTGACTTAATTTGATCTGCTTGATTTCCCCCCATTCATAGTATTCCACAGCCCCTAATGTCTTAAAGTTAAGGAGACAGTTGGGGAAAATCAGTAAAGATAAGCTTGGTGAATTGCCTTGGAAGCAGGACATAGTTTTGCTTGCCATGAATAGGGATTTGCTGTGCTGACACACTTCTTTTATTTTTTTTAATTATATTCATATGCAGGCAGCTTTATTATATAATTACTCTATCTTAAAAATCAGTGAAGTGCCCTTTGTCCAAAAATGGATTTCAGGGCAGTGCACACTTTTTAAAAAAGCACCCAATTATAAAAAAACAAACCAACAACAAAATTTAAGAGGAATAAAACCACCTAACCGGACAAAAATATATTTTTTAATGTCTGGGTAAGTAAAAAGGTTTTAATCCGGTGCCGGAAAGAATACATTGTTGATGCCATGCATATCTGCCTCAGGAGGGCATTACATAGTTGTGTTGCCACCATAGACAAAGCCATCTCTCTTGCATATACATGACGTACTTTTCCTAAAGATGGAACACAGAGAAGGACCACCTTGGACTATCATAGTGCATAGACAACTTGGTGTGGGAGGAGGTGCCTCTTCTGATAGTTGGGGCCTGAGTTGGTATGGGTTTTTAAAGGAAAGCACTAGCACCTTGAATTGCCTGATAATGAATATGGAGTCTATGGGTGGTATTCAACTAAATCATTGTGCCAGTTTCCCACCCCTACGTCAGAACCACATGTTCAGTACACTCCATGTTCACTACATTTCTGGTAATATGGCTGCTTCCAAGTAAATCAGCCAGAAACAAAACAAAAGGCCTACAGTGCTATTCTACCCACATCTACTTAGAAGTAAGTTTTATTAGGATTAGGATTGCAGCCTTACAGTATAAGAGACGTGATACATAAGGGAAAAGGAATGAGGAAGGCATTCCGGTACCAACTGTTTCATACCGTTCACAAACGTATTGGATATTTTTGTTATCTTCTGTGTACCTCACCTTGAGGTGGTTGCTTAGAAGGTGAATGATAAATTGATTATGATGATGATAGTCATTATGCAACAATATTATTATCCGGAAGGATCACAGCAGAAATAAATTCTGAGAAGGGTAGAGTCAAATGGGAGTTGTTCTCAGCCAAATGACGGAAGGGGCCTTGTTTTGTCACCTCTCCCCTTGCACTTTCCAAAAGCATATGAGAAAAGGTATGCATTTTCATTCTGGTCTGAGAAGGGAGACTTGGGACCACAGCTGGCCAGAAGTGAATAAGATTAGGGTGGATATATAGTTTGTGCAGCGGTGGGCTGAATAGTCAGATACATGGTTGCCAACAATGTTCTGTTTTCTTTCTTTCCCCACTCTGTTGCAATTCGTTAAGGGAGGATTTCTTTTGCCACTTAGTGGTGGCGTGGACAGTTCTTCTGCAGCCTGCGTTGTGTACTCCATGTGTCTTCAGGTTTGTCATGCAGTACAGAATGGAAGTAAGTGCACATGAATAGCTGTGATGACCGGAGGTTAGCTATAGATCAGAGATGTGATCCTCTGGATGTTGTTAGACTCCAGAATTCATGAGCCCTGGCCAGCATAGCTAGTGAGGGATGATGGGAGTTGTAGTCCACCAACATCTGGAGGGCCACAGCTTCCCCATCCCTGCTGTAGATGCTGGGGATGCTTCTACAAAGAATTTGTTTTCAAACTTTCCAGGAACTCTTTCCAGTTCCGATCAGTTTGCTGAATGTATGAAGCTGACTTAGATTGAGTCAGACCACTCGTCTGTCTAGGTCAGTAGTATTGTCAACACTGAAAGACAGCCAATCTTCAGGGTCTTGGGCAAAGAGAGGACTTTCTCAGAGGATGCTAAGAATCCTCTGCATGAAAATCATGTGCTTTGCTATTGAGCTGCAACCTTTCTGAGCAGCTGGCCCAGAACCTGTGCACGTTACAGAGGATCATGTGGCTTATCTTAGGTCACACACACACAGCTCATTTAGAGCATATGGCAAGCACTGAGAGTGTACTCTTAATATTCCCCTGAAGTTGTACGTTGCAGAGGAAGTTCAGTAGTCTGAGCATGTTGTCTTTCAGAGAAGGTATTCCCGCGTTAGTGGTCTTCTTACTGAGATGCTCCTGAGGATCTTTCAAGAAACCTCAGCGTTCTAAGCAAAACAGTTTTGAAAATGTCTTTCAAAGTATGTCTTGCACTTAGAGTCTATGCTTTAGATAAAGGTGGAATCTGTTTTACAGAGCGGGAATTAGAATCCAAGACTCTGGAACAAGAGTGAGTCAATATCTTTAATTTGGCCTAGCCCCTTTGTAGTGTTCAAAATAATGGAAACAATTCTTTTTGATCTTTTGAGTCACACAGTGTGTTATGCTGTAATCAGCACAGCTTAGAATCATACTCCCAAATTGCTTAAGACTGCAATCTTAAAACATACTCAACTAAGGAAGTAGGTCTTGTTGAACACAGTGGGATTTATATCAAACTAAACATGCATAGGATTCTGTTGTTGGTGTGTTAGAACAGAAAGCAAATTGAGCTCCTTTATTGAACCAAGGCTGTTTACCTGATTTCTCTCAGGTTTAATTTCTTTATTTTATTTATAGATTTTCAGTTATACGCTCTTATCATTTTACATTCTTGTTCAATAATTCTTTTGGACTCCCTACCCAGCATCCCATGACAGTTCTTTGTACATCTTAATTAGCTGCATATACAGTAATACCCCCACCTGATTTTCAGCCTTGTCACCCTCAGGTTTAATTTCATATCACTTACATTGTTTGGAACAAATGCAATCACATTTAAGAAGTTCTATTCTGCTACCAAGGAGTGGTAAAGAGTCCAAACTTTTCCAAAAACGGGAGAAATGCTTACTTCAAACAACTTTCTCCAAAGTATGCCTTTTCATCTTTAAATTAAATATTTGCTCCTCATTTTAAAGTAAGCTTACCAGCATCAGTAAACTGTATTCAGAATACTTACCAACACAGAAATATGTTCCTTTATGAAACGATGCAACTGCTTTTAGTTCTGATACACTCAGTTCATCTCTCATTTCCCGCCTCCCTCCTTTCTTACCGTTTTCAGATCAGAGTGTGCTGGATGATGTGCGCAAAATAGTAAATGATGAGGCCTACACACCAAAGGAGCCTCAGGAACTTTGTGGACGTGTCTTAACAACTTGCTACATGGCTAGTGAAAACTCCTCTCAGGAAACATGCAATAGAGCCAAATGTTTGGCTGAAGAGATAGGCAGGTATATGAATGATAAATGCTTGATAAACTGTAGGTTGTGATTAAAAACCTTGATTCAGATCTAGCAGTACCATTAGACATTCTAGCAGATACGCATCTGCATTAGCTACTAGCCATGTTGCGTATGCAACAGTTGCTGGAAATCACAGGAGGGAAGAGCCAACCCTTGTATGGGTATGGGATTTTCTCCACGTGAAGATAGTTGCCCCTACGTTAGCTGTCTCCCGGCATTAGTCAAGATGCATTTGTTTCTTCAGACCTCCGCAAATCATTGATGTAAAGTCAAAGATGTTGCTAGATTATTTCTGGCTTTTACTTTCATCTTCTGGCTTGTATTTTTTATGTATTGTTGGTTTTTCAGTATTTTATTTTATTTTGTCGGTGTATTTTAGAAATTCAAGTCACTTTGAGGTTGGTTACTGGACTGCTTCAAATACTTAGTAAGTGTAAATAGTAAGAACTGGGCGGGGGGGGGAGCACATTAACTTTTGTAAAGGTCAGCAAGGCTAGAGAACTTGGTAGTTTAATCAGAAATCTAAAGTGTCTTCTGTGACATTCAGTTCTAACTTGTCTATCTTGAGTGAGTTAAACACCTGACAAACTTTGGCTTGGTTCCTGAGCTAAGTTAATTTAAGGAAGTTCATGAAATGAAAGTTTATTGTTGCCTTCTCCCCTACAGCTGTTGCCTGACCCCCTAAAGTCTCTCTGGAGGTTTGGGGGGGTTGTCTTGAAGATTGTAGAAGGAGGGGAGGGTATTGTTATGGGAGATGGGGATGGAAAGTGTTCATTCTGTGAACTTCAATAAGCCATCTTGGGACCAAGCCTAGTTTTGCACAGGAATCTCTTCCCCCAGAAGCCTCTGGGGGGAACATTGTTTGCCAGGCTTTTCGTGATTCTTAGGGGCCTCTGCAGGTTAGATGAGGAGACAGGAAACTTTCCTTCTATGAACTTCCTTAGGTTAACTTATATTTGGTTCCAAGCCTTTAATCCTTGTTAGACAGTAAAGTATGTTAAAGCAAACTTATGAATTTTGTCTTGATGAGGTAGAGAATGCTTTTCTTTGGTGGTAAGTATTTGTTTCTTCTCTCAGTTATCATATAAACATAAACATAGATGGAGCTGTGAAGGCTGTTTGGAGCATTTTCAATGCTGTAACAGGACGATTGCCCCAATATAAAGTACATGGAGGAAGTGCCACGGAAAATATGGCCCTACAAAATGTGCAGGTAATTTTATCTATATTTATTTTTTCCTACTGATTTACTGGGGACTTGGTGATTCTTCTGACTATAGTAGACTTAGCTGCTGAAGTCAGATTTCTCTCGCTTTAGACTGACACCATAGAATTTCTCTTTCTTGCAGTTTTAGTTCTCTTTCTTCGCTAGCAACATCTATTGCCTACTGTCCTTAGTAAGAGGAGTTGGCCCTTTTGCTTACAATACAGAGTAATTTACTAAACATTCCAATAACTTACATTGCTCCCACTTAACTTTGTTATGTCAGGAACCTCAGGCCTGGGAGCTGAATATGGCCTTTCAGGCCTCTCTGCCTTGAGACTCTCCCCAGGCCACACATCCTCCTTAGGCATGTCCTTGTGAGTTTTTGCCTGCCTGGAATGTGTCCCTGAACTCTGATAGTGCCTCTTGCTTGCTTGGATAGAGGATAGAAAGGGGTGCATGAATTTCTGCGTAAGCACCAGCCTACTGATATTCATTGCTCCACCCACTTTGGCCTCTGCCCACCACAGGCATGTGACCCCCAGAAGGTTCCCCAGAAGGAAATGTGCCCACAGGCTTTATGTAATTCATACTGTTCTTAATATCCTCTTGCTGAGACTGATCGACCTGCCACAACCTGCCACTTGAGAATTCCTTCTTCCTTAAAACCTGGTTTTCTATATTTGACTTCTAGGCCAGGATAAGAATGGTACTTGCCTACCTGTTTGCGCAGCTGTGCCTATGGAGTCGCGGAATGCCAGGTGGACTGCTAGTACTTGGAACATCTAATGTGGATGAAAGGTATGCATCTTAGGGGTTAGGAATGAAGCTCTCTAAATAACTTCAGTAGATATCTAAAATGCTGATAGAGACAAAAATATCATTGATGGGTTTGGGTTTTGTTACAAAACAGAGTGCTAATCTAAAAAACACACACAAAAAACTTGTCAAGTTTTCTTCTGTATTCCAGTTTGGTGCCTTAGCAATCATTTAGTTTACCTGCTCAGCATTTTGGTTTTCTACAATCAGCTTGTGGGTTTTGTTTCTGCTTTCTCATTATCTTTTGTTCCACTTTCGTTAACATCGGTTAAACAGTTACTGAAAACATATACATAACCATTTAATTGGATATAGGAAGTGGATTGAGAAGGTTGTGTGTGTAGTACACACCTTTTACTTTCTCAATATGTTTGCTTAATATGTCTGATTAAAAATGGATGGCAAACTGTACTGAACAAGTAGAGTCCAGTAATTCAGTTATGTAATATCTGTCAACTATTACTCACCATGACGGCACAAGATCCAGCTGTTCAGGGCTGACCGAAAGTGGGAAGTGGGTCATTCCAGGAATACTAAGGTTTCTCATGTTTTGTCTGAAGCAACTAATAGCAGATTCTCCTTCAGTGGAAATTTCAAAGAAAGGAGTTGTTCAGACAGTCATGGTTGTGAATTTCAGTGACTCTACTCTGGATAAACATTAGTTGAACACAACCACTAAAATGTTTATACTTTTGCATGACAATGTGTAAGAATCTGGACCTTTTTCTCTCATTTCCTTTCTGGATTAAATGCAGAGTAAAAATACTTGTGTTCTGTCTGTCAGCCTTCGTGGATATTTCACAAAGTATGACTGTTCCAGTGCCGATATCAACCCTATTGGTGGAATTAGGAAGACAGACTTGATCAGCTTTATCCAGTATTGCATCGATAATTTTCACCTAACGTCGCTCAGAAGGTAAGACGTGCAGTGATGAAGCTTAGGCTTTCCTTTAAACTGGACTACACTCTTGACACCACAAACTCTTCTATGATAGTTGCATGTTAGTATGATTGAAGTCTGACCCCAATTAGGACTTTTGACTAAATTTCAATCCGTTTTTGAATGCCAGCAAGAAACAGTATTGCTTACCCTAAAGAACAATTGTATTTGACAGCTTACTTGACCAATGGGAAATAGTTTCCTGAGGCCAACTGTATTCCATCATCTTGACATTGATCGACAATTTATGTATGCTTGCCATTCAGTAGAAACAAAACCACAAAGGAGATAATAGTGGGAGCTGCATGTGACAGACACCTACACTTAAAATAGGTGCTGGGTAATATGTTTTATTGGAAAAAGCCTTCTGTGTATTCCCACAGCAGACATTTTCATGTAACTCAGAGGACCTAAGTAAGATTGAGGCACCTTTACAACAAAACTAGAACTTTATTTGTTTACACTTGAAGGGGGGGGTTATAGCTTAGTGGTTACCTTTGAAAGGCACAGCACTTTGTTTCAAACCAACAGTCATTACAGAAGATTTAAGATCTTCCTTAACTTCACACTTAAACCTGTCCTTGGAAAGTCATATCTCCCCCTTGATAATTGTTCTGGGGGAAAGGGAACACAGTGAGTCCTTGATGTAAATAAGCTTCCCCCTTGCAAGAAGAGCTAATTCTTCAAAGAAGACAAAAAAACTAATCTGGCTGGATTCTTTTTCTTTTTCAGTGTTGTGTCTGCACCACCAACAGCAGAGTTGGAGCCCCTGAAAAAAGGAGAGGTCACTCAATTAGATGAGGTAAAGGACAGCAACTACAAAAAACCCTTGGAAGCCTGATGTGTAGCTGCTTTTTGTTTGTTTGTTTGTTTGTTTGTTTGTTTAATGTTCCTGATTACTCTACGCTATGTGTTGGTTTCGTGACTCATGCAGCACAAACAAATCAATGCAAATGTGCAAACATCACATCTTTTCCTGAAATTATTTCTCCAGCAAACCAATAAGGCATCTCAATTATATTGTATTGGACATGATGTCAGTGAGGGAAGCTTCTGCGCAGCCGAGAAGGCTTGGTCTGACAGCTCTGAGTTAGTTTGTGGCAGCTGTGAGAAAGGGAAATTCCATGGTCTGGATCAATAGAAAAGGAGTTGAAGAGAAAACTGCCAGCATCACAGTGTCATCATGCAAATTTACACCACAACTCCTTCAGGAATACAATGTACAATTCTGGTTGCCTCACCTCAAAAAGGATATTGTAGGGTTGGAAAAGGTTCGGAAAAAAGCAACCAAAATGATCAAATAGATAGAGCGTCTCCCCTATGAGGGGAAGTTGCAGAATTGGGGAATTTTTAGTTAGAGAAAAGGTGAGAAAGAGGTGACGTGATAAGAAAATTAGGCATGCTATGGAGAAAGTGGTTTTCTCCCTCAGAAACTCATTGACATCCAGTGAAGCCAAATGTTGGCTGGATGGGAATAATTCTTTCTGCTTTGCTAGTTTTTTTAAAATTGAAAAGAGTTGCTTCTATATGTGAAGGAGCATTCAAATTACTTTTTATTCTGCTGTGTATAAAGAAAAGTCTCTTTTCCTAGCCTCAGAACGATAACAGGGCTACATGTACCATGAGTCTGATTCGGTTGATGGTTGCTCCTTAGGAACTCACGGTTTTTATCTTAATCCATGTGGTTTCAGGAAGACATGGGGATGACGTATGCTGAACTCTCTGTATATGGCAAACTAAGGAAAATAGCCAAGTCTGGACCGTACACTATGTTTTGCAAGCTAATCACAATGTGGAAAGATATTTGCACCCCAAGAGAGGTAATGAGAACCCTTGTCCCATGTTGGGAGGTGAGATTTGGGAGTTGGGATGCTGCGGAGATGAGTGACATGATATTTTGCAGGCAGGGTGCTAATGTTGGGCATGGTGTTCAAAGGCTGCAGCAATGAAATTGTCAGCTGCAGGAAAAGCTTAATGGCAGAAGGACTTGAGGTTGTCGTTTTCTTTTGTTTTGAGTGTAGAGGAGGAAGAGAATTTCATTTGGTCTGCATTTTTAAGCAAATGCAGGAATTAATTCTCACCTCCCAGACTAATACATTGATTAGAATATAATTATTTTTCAGATGTTGTATTTCTCCAAATTCTATGATACCGTTCTAAGCTCAAACATACCACAATGCATTTAAAAATGCATATTTTATGATGAAATGTATTTTAAAATGTGTATGTTGAGATAAAATACATATTTAAAGTTGCATTTTATTGCATATTTAAATACATTCTTTGTAAAAAAAAAAAATTAAGTAGCAGATTATTATGGAAACAGAATAGAACTGATTTATAAATATATATGTGAAATTGACACAGGCTGGAAATGGACTGATGTGTCCATTCCTATTGAGTGCTATATATATTCAGAAGAAAGGAGATTGATGAGTATTTGGAGGAAGACAATTTTATCAATGAATTGGCCCAAGATTGATGCAATATGGGAAGTTGGAGACTTTCTCTTTTTCTGTGTGTGCCAGACAGAATTTGGCCACCATTTTGGACAGAGTCCATTTTTTATGCACATGTCATTGGCAGGTCCTTCAGCACAGATACTGAGGCTTAAGAACTTTATAGATTGTTAAAATTTGACCAAGAATATATAAGGTGAAATCAGTTTGACGCTGAGAGATGCAGTGGCATAATTCAGACATCTTGCCAAGTCAGGATTGAGGAAGCTTGGAATCAGTATGTTCTGATACATATTCTGATGTGTATTCTCATTGTCTTGCTGAATCTAGTATGCTATACTAAAAAGATCCGTCTTTTAAGAGCCCTTTTCTCATCTGGGATTCTGATTGCTGTTGTGAAGCACCTTCAGGTTGTTTTATTCTGAAATTTTGTGTGTTGTACACCAGGTGGCGTCCAAGGTTAAGCATTTCTTCCAAATGTATTCTATCAATCGACACAAAATGACAATTCTCACCCCATCCTACCATGCTGCAGACTATAGCCCTGATGACAACCGATTTGATCTAAGGCCCTTTCTTTATAACACCGCCTGGTCCTGGCAATTCAGGTGCATAGATGAACAGGTAAGTGGGAGCCTGTTCTTTATTTAATGTCAGAGCCCAAGTGCGGGGAACATTTGACCCTCCAGATGTTGCTGAACTGCAACTTCCATCGCCCCCTAGGCCTAGGCCTAGTCCATAGCTAAGGATAATGGGAGTTGAAGCTCAACAACATCTGGAGGGCAACTTTCCATAGTTGTTGCCATCATGATGATGCATAATATACTCAGTATATGTATAATGGAAGTGTGGTTAGTACAGTGGTACCTCAGGTTACATACGCTTCAGGTTACATACGCTTCAGGTTACAGACTCCGCTAACCCAGAAATAGTGCTCCAGGTTAAGAACTTTGCTTCAGGATGAGAACAGAAATTGTGCTCTGGCGGCGCGGCAGCAGCAGGAGGCCCCATTAGCTAAAGTGGTGCTTCAGGTTAAGAACAGTTTCAGGTTAAGAACAGACCTCCAGAATGAATTAAGTACTTAACCCGAGGTACCACTGTAATGTACATCTCCAGTAGAGAGAAAACAATGGCCATTACAAGGAGCTAAAATATTCTATAGAAATGGATGTCAAAATATTGAAGTAGTTAAGTGTTATGGAGACCCTTATAAGCAAGCAGAAGTTCATTTAATGAACGAGCTATTCTTTTGTGCATCTATAGGCACCCTTTCTCTTGAGGTTGGTCAGAATGGCAGACGTTACCATCAAATTTCATAGCCAAGCAGGGATTGGAATCTGGGGTTCTTGGGTCCATGCACAAGAGTTTAGCCCAGAGGTGGAAAACCTGTGGCCCTCCAGCTCCCATCAGCTCCAGACAGCATGGCCAGGGATAAAAAAAGGGGGGATGGGATCTGTAGTCCAGATTCCTCACTGTTTAAGCCTACACTAGTGATGGGATTTGTTTATAACCATCTAGCTTTCAGAGCAAAGGTTGATGTCTGTGGATATCAAAACTACCTCTTTAAAGGGGTCCCAAACCCATTTCCTAACTTGCTTTTCTTTTGTGGGGACCATTGGGTGAGGAAGCTTCTGAGCCATTGTCCATCCCCTCCAGTACAGGCAGAATGGATAGCTTTATGTAGCCTTCAATTTTGGGTACATGAGTGGGGAGAAGACATGGGTCTTGCAAAGCTTAGGCTCCCTCCTGAATTTACCTGTAATGAATGTGGTGGGCATTCATGGCCATGCTCCCTCTTTGCCTCTGTCTTTTGCAATACTATTTCTCACACCTGGATAAATGTGAGCTTACCCCAGCCCAAGGCCTTGATTTAAATAATAAGAAGAAGAAGCAGAAGAAGCAGAAGAAGCAGAAGCAGAAGAAGCAGAAGAAGCAGAAGCAGCAGAAGCAGAAGCAGCAGCAGCAGCAGCAGCAGCAGCAGAAGAAGAAGAAGAAGAAGAAGAAGAAGAAGAAGAAGAAGAAGAAGAAGAAGAAGAAGCAGCAGCAGCAGCAGCAGCAGCAGCAGCAGCAGCAGCTTTTGTGGGGCTTGAACTGGCTTTCTTGCCCAAAGCAAGGTTCATTAGGTTCGTAGCTGAAGTCCTGCTTTGCAGCAGCATTCAGCCTTATCAGTGGAGTTTTAGACCTGGATATGGTTCTGTTCCAAGACAAGGTACTGGAAGGTATGGAAAAGATCAAGCAGGCATCATAATTATGACTTGCTTGTGGTCTTCAGTCACAGCCGTAACATTATTTTAATGTATTTTCTTTTGCTGGACAGAGGAATGTTAACACCTTCACATTTTCCCTGCCAAAGATTTTTACACCTTGGTTGCCTTTAATAGTATGTTTATGCATGCAATAAAATGCTAATTCCCACCTCCCTGAAATGCCAGACATGCTGTAATAGTATCTGACTTCCTGGAAACGCAAGATAAAAGATGCCATGTGGTCCCTGCTTCTTTTCTTTCTTTCTTTTAAGCATTGTATTGTTTTTCCATCATTTTTTCCACAACGTAGACCTGACCCAGTCTCATTGAAGTCAAAAGGGGAAAAAAAACACCTTACTAGCTTCAGTGAGAGCTCGTTTGGATGTTATTGCGGGGTCATATTTTTAAAATCTTTCTGTGCCTGTAATAATTTATGGGCATGATTAATCGGGGCTTAAGTATCTAATTACCCGGTATATTGGTGTAGTCATTAGCCTTTGCCAGATGCCTAGGCAATATTGCCAGGTCTTGCAGCCTTATGTGGAGCTTGGACTGCGCACAAGTGTTATGCTGGCAGCCGGATTGCTTAACTTAAGCAATTTGAATTGTCAGGAAGGATGACATTCCTAATATCTCATGTATTCAGGAGGCTAGAATTGTAGGGTAGGAAGGGATCCCAAGGGTCATCTAGTCTGGCCCCCTGCAATGCAAAAATCTCAGCTAAAGCATCTATGACAGAACACCAGAATGATTTGTGTTGCCCAGGATCCCTCTTCCCATTCCCTGCCCCACTCACTCACTCACTCACTCAGCTAGTTTCTGGGGCTGAAGCTAAAGCCACATTCCATGTGTTTGCGGACCCCTGCAACTCTTGGTATTTCCCTTTTCACTCCCGGCTACTTCCCTGCCAGTGTCCCTTTGAAGGCCACAACTGGCACAGAGTTGAACTGTTTGTGTGAGTGAGGTGCACATTTTCACACCAAACCATTTCTAGGCCTCTCTTGTGGTCCTTGGGATGCCGTAGAAGGACTGCTGTGCTCTCTTCCCATCAGAGCCATGGAGGGACTTTAAGGGATGTAACTCTGCTGGGCAGGAGAGAGGGAGACACCCTGGTACAGCAATTTCAATTGCAGCTGCTCAGATCCTGAATGCTAGTCTATTTCCTACCACTAGTGTACGAGTACCAGTTATGTGTTGCCACTACAGCCCTATGAAATGTTGAAAGGAAGTACCCATTTAGTGTGGAAACTGGCTCATTGGGAACATGCTCATCATGACGAGGGGGCATGTATAGTGACCATTATGGGAGTTGGAGAGGAGAAAGATGTTTAGTAGTAGTAATAATAATAATAATAATAATAATAATAATAATAATAATAATTTATACCCCGCCCACCTGGCTGCTTTCCCCCAGCTGCTCTGGGCAGCTCCCAACAGAATATTAAAAACACCATAAAATATCAAACATTAAAAACTTCCCTAAACAGGGTTGCCTTCAGATGTCTTTTAAAAGTAAGATTGCCTCGACATCTGCTGGGAGGGCGTTCCACAGGTTGGGTGCCACTACCAAGAAGGCCTTCTTCCTGGTTCCCTGTAACCTCACTTCTTGCAGGGAGGCAACCACCAGAAGGCCCTTGGAGATAGACCTCAGTGTCTGGGCTGAACGATGGGTGTGGAGATGCTCCTTCAGGTATACAGGGCCAAGGCCGTTTAGGGCTTTAAAGGTCAGCACCAATACTTTGAACTGTGCTCAGAAACATACTGGGAGCCAATGTAGGTCTTTCAGGAACAGTGTTATATGGCTTTTTAGTGTCCCTTGGTGAGAACAGACAGGGCAGAGCTTGTGCGATATGAGTTAAGCTATTTTCACGCAAGAGGAATTGCCACAGCCTGCTATGGCAAACAACCTGGGGTGCTTGCTTGCCTTCTCTACCAGTAGTTCTGCTCACAAGGAAGCACCCCAGTCTGCCATTTGGAACAGCATATTGGGTCCATTGACTCACAAAATCATTTCTGTGCTTCTCAATTTGTTTCCCTGCTGCTTGGAATACTGGTTGTGATATTTTACCCACAAGCAAATCTGTTTGTTGGGAGATATTCCAGCTTCCCTGCTTTAAACTGAAGGTTGAGATATGTTTGTCTTCCAAGCAAAGTGTGTTAGGTGACAAGCTTTCAGGAGACACTGTAGAGAAGTCATGGGCTGGAAGGGCTAAGAACCCCACCTGCTGATTCTGTTCCACTTTTTCTTGGAAGAAAAGGCCACAAGGGTTGGGGAGCTGATGCAGTTATTTGTGCATAACGTATAATTCAGCTCTTAATTGGAGTTTTGTCCTGCCTGGATCTTGATGAAAGGTTAAATGGTTGCTTGAACTTCTGATTTACAGGTTTCAAAAGTAGAATCCAAGGAAGTGAACTCCAAGCTTGAAGAAGTGGCTTGATTCCTCTCACTCTTGTTGATATCTTGAAGATCAGAAGTTCTGCAGGTTCCCTGAATTATTTTCATCATTATTTTTGATTATGTTACTGATTTATGTTACTGTAATATCAACAGTAGTAAACAATTCAAACTGAACACATAAAGTATGATTATGATTATAAAATTGTTCCAATTACACAGTTTAGTATGTTTTCTTGGTTTCTGATTGTCTCTTTATTAAGGACATTTTAGTCCTTGTTTTGAATCATCCCTCTCCACAGTTTGACATGAGACAGTCTCAGCTGTTTTTTTAAATCAATAGCTTTTTTTTTTTTTAGAAAAATCAACAATCACGAATAATAAATTAAACTAAATGTTTAAACAGAAAAGAAGAAAAAGCACTGACGCAGAATAAAATTGCAGAATTGAATTGAATCAGTCTATTTTCTAAGAAATTGCTCTTGCTGTCATGAACCTGTGAGATTATAGAAGCGCCAAGTTTACGAATTCTAAAGTTGGTCAGACTCTTCACTATAATCAGTAACATGTGCAGAATTAAGACCAACAAAGTAATAATTCAGTTGCACTTTTTGTATACATTAAAGATTTAAGATGGATCAGCAACATCTTGGATGACTGTTCCAAAACTTTGGTTACTTACGGGTCATATAATATGATTTGGCCATTTAAGTTGCCTGGATTTATTGCAGTGTTCTGGCTGGGGTGGCAACTTTTAGAACACGAGTAGTAGCTGTGTCTGAGGTTTTGGATGAAACAAAAAATGTTCAATACTTGGAAACCATTGGAATATATGGAAATAATTAATATGACCAACACCAGTCATAGCAACTCAATCTTTAGTTTGGGAAAATATTTGCTCCTCTAATGAACAGTCTGCATATGATTTTTCTCTTTTAACTTGTTGAACTGAAATCATAAAATTTTACAGTCACTGGCACATGTGGACGTGAAAAATGATTTTTTTTTTCATTTTACTGTGCAATAAATTCACATTTTAATGAATCTAATTGGCTCTGTTTTTATTTTTCATATTTTTTGTTATTTACATAGGTTTAACTGCTCTGGTCTGGTGGCTAGGACAGCAAATAGAGGCCCTGATTAAGCCTGGTAGTGGAGTATGTGATTAACTTTAAACACGGATATAATCCTGCTGACGTCAGAATGGCCTAAACAGGGACTTCTGGGTTCTTTGCTTGGCACTTTTGATATTTAATAATTTAGTTAAACATTAAAACCCTTGAGAGCTTGCCCTTGCATTGCATTTTTGCATTGCTACCTAGGGTAGTTCCCATCTGCCTCCATTTTTATGTTACAGTGCTTATCTCTGATGAATTTTACATAGTAGTTAGAGGCTAGCATATAAGTTATTGCCTTTTAGTGACAGGTCTGGTGGCTTGATTTGGCCCCCAGGTGCTTCATCTCTGGCTGCCAGCACAGCCACATCTCTCTTCCCTCCTACTCTAACCATCTGCCTACCCTATTCTGTCCCTTAGCTTTTCATTTCCACTAAAAATTGGTTCAGCCCAGACTCACCTCTGTAAGAACTAGGCTTTAGAACACCATATAGCATGCAAGAAAACATCATATGCTTTGGAGACAAAAGGAAAGTCTCTCCACAGTGGGTATGAATTCGGTTCATGGCTTTATTTGTGAATGAACACCAGCGACTGTAGACTGGACAACCAGATTCTGAAGAAAAACAATTTGTTACTGGACTTTTCCAGAGAATTTATGTAGAAGGTTTTGCTTACCAATAGGCTTGGGGGGGGGGGGGATCCGGTAAGAGTCTTTATGCTTAAGTAAACTTCTGTGTTGGCAGAATATGGTTGTGCAAGTCTCCCCACACACAGGAAACGGGGCAAGAGTGTGGAACAACTGAAGATTTAGAAAAGAGCCAAGTTCTCACAGTAGGAGTGGGGAGCTTGGAGACTCGAAAAGCATTTCAAAACCCACTGAGAGATCATGGTATAGAGTTTGTCTGTTTGTTCATAATATGTACATAAACAGGAAAGAGATGATGAATAACAAAGCTCCCATTTAAACTAAACTCCGTCTTTTCAGGGTTGCCCATTCTCGGCCTGAATGGTCTTCTTCCCTCTTGTAGAATTGTGTAGAAACTAATCTGTGGCTTCTAAACCATCATGCTCCATACTTGCCTATTTGCCACACTTTTTTAAAAAAAAGACAGTGGAGTTACTTTGACAGGAGGAGACAGGTTTGGAATGTCTGAAAAGCTTTGCGGTTCCTGTACCCATAATACTCTCCCTCCCAAGTAACTCCACATATGAACACTCATAAGTTGGCTCATTGAAATGCTGCAAGCCTTATTGGGATGGATTCCAAACAGCTTCTCCCCAGGGTCACATTTAATGTTGTGAGTGACACTGGTCCATGCGTGTATTAGGCCAACACATGAGAAGGGCATTTTCAAATTCTTGGGGACTGATGTTACAGAGGTGTAACAGGGCTTTAAATGCCAGAAGCAGATTTTAGCAACCGCTGTGCACAGCCTGTAATGCTCAGATTGGTCCTTGCTTTTCACCTGCACACCTACTCCACATGTCTACATCCCCATGTTGATTGCGTTTACACTGATACCTCTGCAGTCAGCCAGGCACCCTTGTATGTGGGACCTGCCGGTACCTCATGCAATTGGCACACACACCTGGCAAGGACTTTTGTCTCTGCTTTTTCCATATTTAATGCCTAGAGAGCTGGGATATGGAAGCAGTCATTCATATTCATTTGCTTTTTGGTCTTCATCAAATAAAAAACTTGTCAAAAATGTTTAAGAGGTGATGTGCCAGAACTATGAAAGGGGGGGCGGGAATGAAATGGGTCTTTTATGTTTAAGAATAGCCCAGATGTGTGAAATGTTTGCTTCAGGAGACTGTGAGCAAGTGTTCCCACCAAAATTTCCACAGTCACTTACACAGACTGTAAGTCATAAGGTGGTCATATGACACCATTGTTTGGCTATGCTGTCTTCCTGGAATTGACCTCATTACATTTTTTAAAAATACGTTGCATTCTGAGACACTTAAGATTCATATAAAGCTAGATTCTTTTGAAAGTTCCATAAGTCTCTCCTCTTGGCTCTCCCTCGCTGTTTTTAGCTTACTCGCACTAAGGTTCACAGTGTCATCTGTGTCTTGCAAGTGTGTGGCCAAAATTATAGGAAAAGGGGAATGAAATAGTCTCTCTTGATTTTTTTTAGGGGCCTGGAGGCCAGCTAATTTTTAACGAGGGCTATATTTTTTAGCTGAATAAGGGTAGAATAGCCAGCAATGTTGGCCCATATGTATGAGCTGAGACATAGGCAAAAAGCTCATTAACCCTCTCCCCCCCCCCATTGTGAACAGAAACAGAGGCACTGACTTCGTTTACTTCAGTGCCTCACTGCCATTTTCTTATGGCTTGGCATGAGCAAAAGAGTTTTTGGCTGAACTAAAAACAATAAGCCTTGTGGCAACTTGGAAGGCTGTTTTGGTTTGCTCATCTCATAAGTTTGTTGACTGGAAAAATAGCCTTTTGGGTAAAGAGATGCCTTTATCTGTTCCTGCAGTGGTTGGAGAAAGGATTTAAGTGCCTTCTGCCTTTGTCTCTGCTTCGGAGGAAGTGGCTGGTGTACATAATGGGGGCTTGGGATTAGGTAGGAGCTATGCAGAGGGTGAGAGAGAGAACTTGGAGAGGGGCTGGATCTAGGCCTTAATTTATCAGCTAGTGAACACTGAAACAAGCACATTTTCCCTTAATGTGGCACCTGTGCTAGCCGTGATCTGGTGTGAACACCGCACTGTTCCATCCTCATGTAATAGCTGATACAGTCTCACTGCAAGTGTTTGCGTATTTTAGATTAGGGTGTATGCTGCAGTGCTAGATTATAAGAGTTCCAAGCCCTCATGAAATGGCAAACCACACTTTTGGGGGCGGGGGCAATGTGTTTGAGAGATATGGTTGCTGAACAGAAATAGTGAGAGATCCTGAGAGGCTTAAAAAATGTATTCTATGATAAACATCTTAAGAATAATCTTATGCCTTCTAGAAGAAAAGGATAAGAACATAAGAAGAGCTTGCTGGGTCAGGCCAATGACTCATCTAATTTAGCATTCCAGACCCTCCAAGTGTCCCTATTTTCCAAGGACGCCCCTAATTTAGAATAGCCGTCCCAGTTTCTGATTCGAACCCGGAATATCCCACTTCTCCTTAGGATGTCCCTATTTTCATTGGAGAAATGTTGGAGGGTATGGAGTTATCCAAACCCCGAGCTGTCTGAAGGCAAGCCTGTATCGAGAAGGTTTTTTTTTAATGTTTAATGTTCCGTTATGTTTTTATATGTGTTGGAAGCTGCCTACATTGGCTGGGACAACCCAGTAAGACGTGTGGGGTACATATAGTAAAATTATCATTTTGGAATGGGACGTCCCTATTTTCATCAGAGAAATGTTGGCGGGTATGGCATTCTGTCCTCACAGTGGTTGACCAGATGGCTGAGGGAAACCAGATTGTGGTTTCCAGCAACTGGTATTCAGAAGCATTGCATAGCCATCATGGGTGGTAGCTATTTATAGCCCTGACCTCCATGAATTTGTGTAATCCTGTTTTAAAGCCATCCAGTGCCTCCTGTGGGAGGGAGTTCCATAGTTTAACTATGCACTGTGTGAGGAATTGTCTAATGAGGGCCAGAGCAATGTGTACCGGAATTTATATCTTGCAGGTACCCATAGCTGTGATACCGTTACCCACAGATCTAGTGGTCACACAAAATGACCACTATCAATGAAATCCTGTGTGTTTCTCCTCAAAAGTGCCATAGACTTGACTCGGGTAAATGTGTACAGTATAGGCCACACAATACATTTTAAATCACTCCCACTAGTGTCTGGTTCTTTGCAGCAGCAGTAGCCTATTTGCATGCAGCAGTTTGCAGTGTAGATGGAAGGATTCTGTCCCAGACCATAAGTGAAAGAGAGTTTCTTTTGGTGGTGTAGGCAAAATCTCCTGCCTAATCCGTCCCCTGAATGGCTTGTTGTGTGGAAAGAGTGGCTGAGCTGCAGGAGGGCAACAATATCCATGTGGTGAGTCCTTATGTGCACTTGGCTCTTACTTTAATTCTAATTGTTTTCCGACACAAAGGATTAGGAATGAGTAAATAAGATTTTACTTATCCCCTTTGAAGGGTCAGCAATTAAGAACCAGCCTCTGAACCTGATCTTTCTTTTTTTTTTTAAATGATCCTGCAGCTTGAGAGCTGCTTTGTGTAACTAGAGGCTTGCAAAAGTGAAAAAGCATGGGGCTTAAGGTTACCTGCTACTAAAGAAGGCTTTCCCTGAAGTATGGTCCAGTCATTTTATGGCCATACCAAGGACCACCTGAAGTCTTGTGCCAGCCTTGGGGCTGGCAAACCTGTGGCCCTCCAGAAGTTGCTAAACTGCAACTCCCATCATCCCTGACTCCTGGCCATGCTGGCTGGAGGAGATGGGAATTGGAGATCGACAACACAGGGCCACAGGTTCCTCACCTGACTTAGATAGTCTCCCTTTTTTGTTCTCTTGCAAAGAAGAAGAATTCAGAGACAGAAGTTTAGTGTTTTGTTAATGTCCTCACTGTGTGTCTTCAAGATAAAGAAGGAACATAAAGTTCTCCTGATAATCTATTTTTGGGCAGTCCAATTAGTTGCTTGCTACTGCTTTTGTACTAGAGAGCAGTTTATCCTTCCTATCAGCTAAGGCGATACCTGGTCTGTTCTCCTGGTCTCAGATGAGGCAATAATTGTTTAACAAAGGTGTTTTTTTTCAGTCAACAAATGTATTTTATGAGGATGGCCCAATAAAGATACATGTAAAGCTGTTAAGTCTTTAAAATACCACAAGACTTTGTTGGCTTTGCTGCAGCAGATTACCGTAACTTGGCTGCCCTGCTGGGAGATACGCACAATCACTTTTAAAGGACATGGTTTTTCACAAGCCTCCCAACACCTGCTTCTGTCAACCACACCCA